CAGCCAAACCATTTCAGGGATTCATTTTTCCACCTATCAAAGTTTAGAACTGATTAGTTTTTAGGCATTCTGGATAAATGTTAAGATGGCCATTTTGGAAGAAGAGATTTTCAAGATGGCTCCTGAATTTCAAAATGGCCACCATTTTTCATAAAAACATATTCTTTGTTAACTCAAATACCATTTGACGGATTTGGTTCAAATTTTTAATCCGTATGCCTAGAGACAAAGAAGCTCTGCTTGAGGAGACATTTTTAAGATGGCTACTGATTTTTAAAATGGTGGCCATTTTCTGCTAAAAAAGTAATCTTTGATATTTCAAATATCATTGGACAGGTTTGGTTTATATGCCAATGCCTAGGGACAAATGAGCTCTGCTTGAGAAGAAATTTTCAAGATTTCAGTTGAATTTCATTTTTGTAAAAAACGTAAACTTAGATGGACAGATTTGGTTTAATTTTTATATGCTAATGCCCAAAGATAAAGGAGCTCCTCTTCAGTAAAGTCATTATGCTATGATTACAATTAGCACGATTTTCTGAATTCCAATTCATAAATATAATGTTCTATAATTGTTTCTACACAACATGTTCTTAAACGCATTGTTAAATTCTTTCAACCTCACTGCATATATGATCGGATTCATGAAACTGTTGCTAAGTACAAGTAAAAATGACATATAGTATAAATACAAGAAGTTGTTATTTGGAATAAATGCCTTGAAAGTTGGCAAATGCAAGGCTGTTTGCCAGATCTCAATAGTTACAGTCACTACAAATGGAAACCAACACAAAAAGAAGAGTCCAATTACAATGCATGCTGTTTTCAGTACTCGAAGGTTGTTTTTCAGGGATGTTCGATCTGTTTGTTCATTATTCGTATTCCTATTGGCATTTTTGGTCAACTGTTTTCTAGCCACTTTAAGTATTCTTATATACATGATTAGAATACTTATGAAAACAGTGGTAAACATTGGAGCATATAGGAGACCTATAACTCGAGAGTCATTCTCAAAATCATTCCCATGTACACAATGTGACCTTCCCCTTTTCTTTAGATCAAAATACCAGTCAACTATTGAGATAGCTATGACGGACAATGTCCCAATCCAGACAGCCATAACTGCAATCCTCGCTCTTTTCTTAGTGACATTAGTGACAATAGTTTTGTATTGAAGTGGTCGAAATATTGCAATGTAGCGATCTAATGTTATACACAGTAGTATCAGTAATGAAACAAAACAAGGAACGCCCATAACAATTTGTCCAATGGCACACATGGCAAAATTCTCAATGTATTCAAAGGGCAGAACCTGGTATATCCCTCCATACACTGCTGACAGCCCAGCTGATATGTCCGCTAAAGCTAACTGTAAAATCAAAAAGTTGCTCACTGTCCGTAAGGCTTGGTTGTTCCTATAGGCTGAAATAATCAATGCATTTCCAAAAACGATGGAGAATGTAATAAGACACAAAAGTGACATTATAGGAACTGCAACAGAAAATCCATGTAGACTTGCCATGTTTCGATATCCTCTAGCAGCCAATGAAGAATTGTTTTCCATGTTGGTGCTTTAATTATCTTTCTTGTGTAATTAAGTTTCATCCATGTGTCTTTCATATATCTCATTGTCTTGAAACGTTTTCATTTAGCATGCTCAAAGTCATCTCATTTTGGACACAAAATGTTTTTGTGATATCTGACAAAGATATAGAACTGTGCATTCATTATTGTTTGGACTTTGATTTTGATGCGACATTCTGCCAATATATGTGTTTCAGTATAAAACAAAAGTAGTGTTCATAGTGTTATTTTATTGTGCTAAATAATATATGACTTGTCATCATACTTCTTTTAATGGTTTCCCTTGTCGTACTAAATAGATGACATGATTGATATTCTATTAACAATAATGTGGTTTTTATTTTATTCATGATAGGCCTATCCTTTACAATCCCTAAATGAATTATTTTATTAAAGGTGAAAAGTTGCATCATCTTAGAGATTATTGCAAACGAGGATCAAAAGAATGATGCTATATGTCCTAAAGGTTTGAACATACTAACGGAAAGCTGAAAGTGTCATGAATAAGGATCTGATAAGATTATGGAGCACTGGTGGTTAAGAAAATGTTTATTTAGCCCTTTCATCCACAAGGGCTAATTTTTTAAATAAAATCTTCTCCTCCTCCTCATTCTTACTAAAAAGCAAGGTAGTCTGTCCAGACATCTTCTCCTAGACTGTTGAACCTTGGGCTCTCATACTTGGTCAACATACTAAATGGGTCAATGAGCACTCTACAAAGGTCAGAGGTCATGGTCATTGCAAGATTAAAGGTCAGTTTCTAGGTATTTGCCTTTTTAAGACACTTGGTCTGTGCTGTGACCCTTGACGACCCAGGATTATGTGACCTGAGGTCAAGATCAGTGTTTATGGGTCAAGGTCATCTCAAGGTCAAAATTCAATATCTAAGTATTTGGCGTTTTAGGGTCCTTGAGGGCTTCTGTGACCCTTAACGGCACAAATTCGATGACCTAAGGTCAAGGTCAATGTTTTATGCTACTGATGATCCTAGGGTACAGTTTCATACATAAAGAATTATAAAGAATATAGTGATAATGAGTTTCATTATATTGAAATATTACAATAAATATACACTGTATACATTTAGGACCTGGAACAATAAGAATTGAATGCTTTGAACATGATCTGATTGGTGTCCCATTTCATTTATGAGAACATTACTATGATCTGCTTTGTAGATTTGATAGCTGTTGACTGTTAGTTGTTCCTCTCCCTTCACTCTCATGTGCTATATTATTGTTTCTACTAAGTATGCTCTTAAACGCATTCCTGAATTCTTTCAACCTCACTGCATATATGATTGGATTCATGAAGCTGTTGCTTAGCAACAACATGAATGACATATTGCGCATAATTGAGGTTCTGGGTTCAGTAAGAACATCTTTGAATGTTGGTAGATCCAAGGCTTCTCCCCAAAGCTCAGTACTTACTATCACTACAAATGGAAACCAACAAATGAAAAATAATCCAATTACGATGCACGCTGTTTTCAGTATTTTAAGGTTCCTTTTCAAGGAGGTTCCAATCGATTGTTCGCTGTTTGTATTAACGTTTGCTTGTTGGGTCAGTTGTTTTCTAGCCACATATAAAATTTTTGTATACATGATTGAAACAAAGATGAAAACAGTGAAAAACATTGGAGCATATGAGAAACCCAAGACTTTGGAGTCATATTCCTTGTCAATTCCATCCATGCAATGCAGTTTTCCTTGTCTTTGGAGATTTAAATACCATTCAACACATGAGGAAACGACGAGTAAACAGATCCCTGTCCAAATTACAATAACTGCAATTTTTACCCTCTCAATTGTAACAATCATTGGATAGTGAAGTGGGTGGAGTATTGCTATGTAACGATCTAGTGCTATACAGAGTAAGAGAAGTAAAGACACAAAACAAGGGATGCCCATAACAAGTTGTTCAATGGCACACCAAGCAAAATCCTTAATATATTCTATGGGCAGAATCTGGTAAGTGACCCCATACACTCCTGACAGTCCAGCTGATATGTCCGCTAAAGCTAATTGTAAAATCAAAAAGTTGCTCACTGTCCGTAAGGCTTGGTTGTTCCTGTAGGCTGAAATAATTAATGCGTTTCCAAATATGATGGCAAACGTCATTACAAACATACAGATTATTATGAAAACTCCAAGAGCTGTACCATGTATAGCAAACATATTACTATAGCCTACTGGAGCGAAAATCATCTGTGGTATTTTCGTATTGTTTTCCATTTTGTGGTTTCAGTCTGTGTCACATTGAATTATTGATTGTCTGATTGAAGGTTCTTCATGTCTTTTAATAGATCTTACTGATTGTTTTTTGTTCAACTCTTTTAATTGAATTTCTCCAGATTATAATAGGTAAAGTAGTTTTTTTGGTTATGAATTATCATTTTTCGAAAATTGTTATTAATTATGCTCCATTTGTATGATGTCCATGGTGTCCTTATGCTTGACAACTTACTGTTTCTATATATTGTGTTCTAGCTGTTCTGTTATGTATACATATTGAAAAATCCTTGTTGGGGACCATGTCCATATATCCACAGTTGTTGTAGAAAACATAAAAGTTACATTTTGGCATCCTCCTAACACAGGCCTCCAGAACAGGTACCTACTTCTTCCAGAACAAAAGAAGGAACTTAGTGGATGATGTCTGGAACTCTGCATTCGGAGGATTCATTTTGGGAAAGGGAGTAAGTGAAAATCTCAGATGTGATGCTAGTAAGGTATCTTGTTTTAGCGAGTATTAATTTCTTATTGATATATTTCTCAATTTTCATGAGAGGTAGGGGGGAAATCAGAACAAAATAAACATGTGCTTCCACATCTGATATTTTGATATGATCCCATCTGCCATTCAATACAACACTCATCACTCATGTAAAATGATAAAATGATGTCAGCAAGTGATGAGCTTTGTTAAACGATAAAGAAGACTACTAATGGACCTTAATGAGTAGAGCTTGATATCATCAACAATTACGAATAACAATGTGGGTGTACTCTGATCCATCACCTATCTAATCATGGGGGAAAAGATGACGCATTATTACAATAAACTGTTGATTGGAGTTAGTAAGTGCTTAGGTGTGTTTATTGTCCCACCTTAATGAAGTTAGTTAGGGATATAGAGAAGTCATCTGTCTGTCCATTCGTTTGTTTGAACTGGGTGACAGATTTGGTTCATTCTATAGCCTCGTGTCTTTTCTAAGGTAAAGGAAGTCTTCTTGGAAAGGAATTTCAGTATGGTTGCTGCAATTCAAAATGGCCACCATTTTTCGTAAAAAAATGTAATCATCGATAACTCAGATACTGGTTGTTTAGTTCAAGTTTTATTGCCTTATATCTTAGAATTAGAATAAAACCAGCATAACGCCTTTTTTTACCTAACCTATATTCCTGTGCTTACAGAGTCCATGGTTCTACTTGGTTCAATACCACGCATAGAGCTTTGTAGACTGTTAGATTGGCTGCTTGGCTGGCAGAGGAGGCAGATTGCTAAAAAGGAAATGCTGCAGGATGGAAATAGAAGTAGAACATCCAGTCGTTTTGAAGTGACGCCATCTAATGGCAGTGGGGACCAAGCTGTTGTGGATGTTCATTCACATGTAAGTGGAAGATCTTGGATGTAACATATCATCATTTTATGAGTCACTGGCATACCTATACAGTATGTTTGTGAATTTTATTAATGAAAACCTTTGCATATACCACAGTATATAAAATATTTGTATGGATAAATGAACTTTTTTTTGTAGTCCTCAAATGGCAAAAATCTTACTGTAGCAGATACTAGTCAGAACAGGAGCAGTTCTAAGTCAGGTAGGTAGCATAATGTATACAACCAATCAGTTCTGTATAAGCTACTTAATCAGTCACAGAGTATCAGGAGAAGCTCTTGTATTCAAATTAACTTTTTAACATTAGGTTTAATAATAAACAATGCACATAAAATTCAAAATGGCCACCATAAAATTACTCTATATGGCCAAAAACTAATCTGTTCTAGATTTCCATACCAAGAAATATACCTGAAAGCCTGGCCTGAAAGTTTAAATCAATCTGTCAATCAATTTTCTCAGGAAATGTGGAGACAAGAAAAATGAGATGCCACCTCACTGGTCCAAGTTTGACCAAAAAAGAGCAACAAATTCAATGTATTGAATTACTATTCTAGTATTTCAAATTGAAACATCATTTGTAATTTTCATTTCAGGTCGTTCAAGTCCATTCAGTAATCTCTTCTCAGGCCCCCCTGAAGATGAGCAAGCTTCCCCTGACCCAGCACTGGAGATGACTGCAGATGAGGTATACTCAAGTGCCAGTAATAAATCAGTTCAGAAATCAATTAAGTGAAAAATGCTGTTCAGTTTTGATCATACCCTTGATCCACTACTACTATACCCTAATATGGGGATCAAAATGCTTCCTATCTTTATATAACAAACAAAATTGGTTGCTTCACATTTTTGCTTGATTATGAAACGTAACTATGTCATAAAAAAAACTATGTAAACTTAATCATTAGTTATTTTCAGGCCTAAAAGTATATAATCACCTTTTGCGACCATACTTCTCATTCTTTGAAACAAGGAAGAACACTAATTTCTGGTGACATACTGTAGTCTCCAACTTTTTTTGTGGACATTTTTCGGTGATTGGTGTTCGGCTATCAGAGTCTGTAATAAATGGTAGGTAGTGACATTTTGCTAATTTTGTTAATGACTTGTTTGTTGTTGTTGTGAGCAGCAGGAGAGATGGGAAGATGAACAGTTGAATCAGACCATAGATCTGGACATGTGTCAAGTTGACCCCGCCCCCTTCCAGCTAGTAGAGCGCACCTCACTTTACAAGGTAAGCCTGTTTACACTGTTTCACTCTATTGATATAGCAGGGGTTTCATTAGCAGCTAGCAACATGCGATTTTCAATGTTTTTTTTCACAAAATCGCCAGTTGTTTTCTAGTGAAACCCCTGTACAGTTAGAGTATTCATGTTTCACAAGAGATGTTTCATTATGAAATTCCTGGGAAATTGACATAGTCTTATGTGACCTTAATATGATACTTGAATTCAAGTTTATCTTGGACACATGTTTATGGTTCTAAATACAGCATAAGAGATACAGGATTTTGTATTTGACCTTTCCAGTGACCATGACTTTGTGTAACCCCAACACTGTCAAGTGTCAAACAAGGTCAACTGTAATATGTTTATCAATAACTTTGACCTCTCTGACCTTATATGCCTCAGTCATTTTGACAATTTCCTCTCTCTCATGTGTACTTGTGAGTACATAACTGGAAAACATCATTATGTTAAATTGACATGAGTTTAATATATTTTTCATTGTGTTTCAGGTTCACTCATTGTTTTCACTACTGGGTCTGAGCCATGCATATGTCACCAACACAGGGCGCCTTGTAGGAGTCATTGCTCTGAGAGAGGTGGGTACAAGGTCTATGTAACATTAGTACATTTAAAGATATCACATTTTTAGCAAGTTGATAGAATCAAGGAAAAGTTGAATTGATTAAACAAATACTCTGATTTTGAAAAAAATGAATAAAATGTTTTCATGAATTACACTTAAAACTGATTTTAGTAATAAGGTCTTACATACAATTTTGAACATGCTTTATTGAAGAGCTTGTTTAATTTACTTCTTCAAAATATTAGGCCATAAGATCCAGATTACATTTTGTTATCGTAGAAGGAGAAACGTAAGAAAAACTGATCCTGATTCTGAACTTCTGCATTTGGAGAAATCTTAGTATAGACTGGAAATATCTATTAATGTGTATTATATTACTGTATGAAATATTGTTTTCTTGTTACTCATAGATTCAGAAGGGTCTGTTTGACCATTCTCTGTCTAACACTGTCAGGTAGTACGTTTGTGCAAACATAATCTCTGTTAATATGTTGTAACAATGTGGTTTACAGATCATTCAAGTTCTGTTATAAATTCGCCCAATTGAGTATATGCTGCGCGGTAATTATTACCCATTTTCCAATAACAACCTATATGACCCGTCAATCCCCAAAATGCTAGATCTCATTTTTCAGTTACAACCTATGTGACCCCCAAATCCCTAAAAATGGTCAAGATGTTCTGAATTATTTGAACCAATGGTCAAATAGAGTAACACATGAATATTAGCCTCATTCTAAAATCAAAAAATAGATAATACAGACAGCAATGCAAAACACATATTTTATATATTTCCTGGATAGATTTGAAACAGAAGGTTAACTCGATTCTGCTTATTTTGTTTGATATCTCTAAGTTAACATTCACTGTGATTTCAATATTGAGCTTTTCAGTTCACTGCGCAAAATGCAATACTTATCTGAAAATAATTGTATTTGAAGTTTGCACTAGGTTTGAAGTTTTGCACTAAACTCAGCACGTTGTTTGAAATAATCTGATTCTGATTTTTTATCATAACAACATGGCAGTCCATAGTTGAAGGCCCCAGGCGAATCTGGACAATGTTTGCTCGATGTGATATGATATTTTTTATATTAAAAGTATTTTTGTGAGCCTATGGGATTAGGTAGGCCTTTGTCCATAATTATAGGAGTGTGTTATATTAACTTAAGTTGTTAAAATGGTGAAAGATTCAATTGCGCAAATAAAAGGTAGTATTATTTGTACATTGAAAGACATTATCCCCACCCATGTCCAGTAGTAGACCTCAATTTATAGTTTTCCTTATTCTCATAGTTTTCAGGATTTTCACTGTCTACTCATCTGTTTATCAAACTTCTCTGTAGACTGTTTTAGCTTATTTAGTACCCCCAGTGTTGACTTACCAAAAATCTAGTGAGCTTATTTCTTCTTGGTATAGGTATAAACTTTTTACAACTACATGTACATTTATCCCATACTTGGACACGATTGAGGTACATAAATCAGGTTTGCAAATAGTCAGTGGGCAGGATATAGCTTTACAGGCTGAGTAAACACTTGCACCGAATTTCAGCAATAAGAACAATGAGTGTATGGGATAAACAGATCATCCTATAGTCTGTTCAGGATATCGCCCAATATAATAAAACTGCTCTTGGGACCTATGGCCCTCGGGGGAGATATGTTATATTCACCTCTGGATAATCTCAATATCCTGAACCTCATATAGGATAATCTATGTGTATATAGTGCTGGATGTTGCTGTACTTCAATTTTACTGTTGTTTCAAGTAAATAAGGTCTTGGGTGTCTTCATTATAAATATATCATGCAAACACTTTGTTTTATATGCCTCTGGCGCACATAATATTGAGGTAAAAGAATTTAATGTAGATTCTATATGTTTTAAATGGCTTGTTTGGTAATGATAAGTGCATGACAAAGGGTAAAGCATCTAGCAAGGAAACAGGGGATGCAAACAAGTGTACATTCTCTTGGAATAGATTTTTTGATTTAGTACATTTTTTGAACAGTAAACCAGTAAACGTCACTAGTGTCTCCAATATGAGTCTATCATCTACTCTATGTATTGTGCATTACCCCCAAATGCAACAACCCAAAATTACATTTAGATAATGCAACATGTGCTTGTTATTATTGCATGTTTAATTTTATATGTCAATCTTATCTGCAGGTGAGGTTAGCTGTTCAGGGTAATATGAGTCCCACAGTTGAAGGAGATGAAAATTTGGAGCCTAAAGAGCATCACACAGATTCACACGTCCCTGGCGAATTTCAACTTGATGTACGAGACTCTAGTGCTTAAGGATTATGTGTTACCTATTATGTTAATAGAGATTGTATTACTGGTGCAATGTTTCAAGCTATTATTGCTAATGCATTGCTAGACACCACTGCGTTTTCATCATTATATTGAAATGAATGGTCACAGAATTCATCCTGGACTTGTTTAACATTGTGTGAAATGGATTGTCTCAACAGTTCCATTTAACAATTCATGCTTTAAAAAGCAGATTTCAAAATTGAATTTGCATTTCACAGAAACCTTTCAGAAGTTTACCACTGAAATGTACAATGGTTAAATGAACATAAAAATGATTCAAATGCATAAATATTTTATTCCACATAAATATTTTGGAATGTAGGCTAGGCTATATTAACAGTAATATTGCATTATAGTCCTTTCTCAAAAATGGGCTTCTTTCTGTTACTTTTATTGATCCATCCAGAGGATGTGTCATTATTATGAAATATTTGGGACCAGCTATAACATGATACTGTGTATATAGCCCATAGTAGTATACCATGAATATCCTGGTCAACAAATTGTTAAAAAAGAAAGATTTGAGACTCATTCTGTCAAGAATATCTTATATCTAAATTGCTAAATAGGCATATTTCTGTACTTACACTTAAGGAAATATATTATATTAAATAGAGATCCCTCCATGGGATACACCCTGGATATGAATAGATATAAAATTGTGTGATATTGAATACATCAAGTAACATCGATGCTAACACTAGTGTCTCACACAAATCATGAGCCATGGGGGTAAACTCGTCATGTAAGTGCCCGCATAATATAATAATTAAAGACATTGAGTGTTACTAGGTTTTTGATTGACCAGTCAAATTGTTACTAGGTTGCAAACTGTCTCATCAGTGATTTGAGTTATGTATGGCTTCGATGAACTCTATAGTACTATTTGTTAAACCCCCTATAACAAGAAAAAGTATTGGGTAAAAATTTACATTTTTGAGCATTCCACTTCGCATTGATTAGCCTTTTTAACATGTAAAGTCAATGAGAGCCTATGTATAGGCATTTAGGCGTTCTTCCATAATACTTATTTTTGAAATAAAGATGGTGCCTTTATATTATATAAAATAGAGATAGAGACATTGGAGAAGTATTTCTTTCCATTTTACTTAGCTAAAGATACTTTTACTGGTTTTAGGTCGCATACTTATGATTTACTTTACATGTTGTACATAATTTGATATTGCTGTTTGGTGTTGACTTGCCTTAAATGATAGAATGAAAGATTGTAGAGTTTTAACCAATTACTTGATGAATGTTCAGGAATACCTGAAACACCTTTGTAAGTGGAACACCTCCATAAGCGGAACACTCTTTTGGAGTCCAGTTACCATATTGACTTATGTAAAATCAACCTATGTAAGTGGAATACTGTACCTTGCAAGTGGAACACTTCTGAGGTACCACAGGCATTCCACTTACATGGCTTTCGTTGTATATTTTATAAGCTTAAGACATTTACAATGCAATGCCAGGCTCTTAGTCAGGATTTGCCAAGGGGGTGTCCACCTTTAGATATGTTTAACAGGTTGTGCTGATTGCTAAGTCACTGTAAATATATAAAAATGTATCTATGTATTTCTATATAGATGGAGCATGTTAACGCAGTGAATTGCTGGTATATTTCAATGAACTGCGCTGCAATGTTTAATTTGAAAGAATGTACATAGATGTAATGTAACTTCAACAATTACTGTAATTGCAAGAGCACAAAATAGCACATTTGTGCTTCAAATAAAGAAGATTAATATATATAATTATTTATTATCATGTTTATTTCTATAATTGTATAAAAACAGTTTAAATCTTTTCATTAATATATGAGTACATCACTTTGGTCTATAAAATATTTCCATATTTTAAATTAAAAAAATAATTTCTTTAAAATTTCATGAAAATCATATTGAACACTTGTTGTAGTTCGTTCGTTGGATACATTAAATTACATTAAAATACATTGTAATTATGTATCACGATTACAATGACATTGATACACACCAGTAAGATCAATAAATGTAATGACAACTGTAGCCTAACTACATATTAATATAATATTAATACTGATTGCTCAATTTCTTAATGTCCATGGACTGACAGAAACAAACATGAATTTGAAATATAGAAATGACATTGACATGAGAATGAAATTTTGTACATAATGAAAATATGGGCAAGATTATACATAATCATGATTTTTGGTTTATATAAATACTGATTCAAAACATATTGCATCGCTGATTTTGAAATACTATGTACACATTATTAATAGTCCCCTTTCGCTAGGGTATATCTCTTTGGATTGTTCAGCTATCCTGAGATTTCAGCTACTGTTCATAACAATATAAAAGTATATGATGAATCATCGTAAATTTGGCTGACATTATGGCTTGTTCTCAATTTCATATGACTTCATGGTGATACTCTTCTAATCTTTTAAATTGGAAGATATTAAAACATGATTAAGGGCGATTTATCTCATATCTGCCTGCTTTAAAGCTTTGTCATCACTGCATATTATGTGGAAATCATTAAAACCATTCCTTTTAATAATCCAAGTTTGAGAGATTCAGATTTATGCAATAGTTGCGGCCCTCTGAGCTGCAAACTGCGGTGTATCGTTGTATGAATAGCTGTATTTGTTAGGTGCACCAGGCTCAACAATATACACTTTGTCCTTTGGTCTAATGTCTTTTCCTCGTATCCTTTCCTTGAGGAATTTCTCCATAGTGGCATTTGGTTTAGCAGTCTTTGATCTGAATATACTGTCGTGTCCATTCTTGTGTTGGGCCTCTTCCCATTTTTGGATATCATAGCGACCTGCACCAACTGGGTTCTGCAATAAACAAATATTTTATAAGATTCTGTACCTCTTAGTAATGATGCCAAAACCATGAGCCCCAGTTCATCTATTCAGTTAAACATATCATTTACACCCTGGAATAGATTTTGATATTAACAACTTTAATGTACTTACAAAGTTCCTAGTGAAGAATTTCTGTGATAGTCTGTCATTTCTCTGTGCAGAAGAGAGGAAGCCTGGTGAGAACTTCGCCTGCATCAATGGTTTTGTCTGAGCTTTAGGATCATATTGACCTGGGCCAGGGAATGTCTGAAAACATTAGACATAAATCTTTCATAAATCTCAATACTCATACTAGGATAGCACAAATTATTGCAATAGACCATAGCTTATTACAATATGCCATGGAGCTCTATAGCAAGAGCATAAACGGATTCGTAAGCAATGTTATAATGCATGATTCCGAACTGAATAACTAATAATCAGATCAAGTGACTTTTTATTGAAATTGAACTGCACTTTGCAATGCATACATATAGCACTGAAAATTACTTGTAGTATTAATAAGCCATGTACTTACAGCTTCTTTAGGGCATTGTGATAGAGTATGGCTGAATATTCTCTCTGAGTTAGAAGTAGGGTATTGTGCAACTTTGCCAAACTTTCCTTGTTTCTTCTTGTGTTCATTTACCAGTTCTTCATTGAACGACTTGATCTCATACTGCCCTGGGCCAAGATTGGCATTTTGCTGAAATAGGGAAAAGATACTGTTATTAAAAATGCATCCAGTCATGAAAATTATATCCATAATGGGCCTCTAGACTACTCCTGTCTAAATACATATTGGTACATTACAAAAACTTAAATACAAGAAATACAAGAGCTTAAATAAATAACTATTATCTGTTCACCATGTAAACTATGATTTATACTCATTTGGGTTTTACTTTGTTGTTTATTATCTTTTAAAATTCTTAATATAAATAACTACTAATAGTACTAGACAAATGAACTACTTACAGGTGCTGCGAGATGGCCAGTTTTGATTGGTTTATTTCTGTCGCCACTGAACAGATCATAAGGACCTCTTACACTTGTAAGTTTTTTATGTAAAACATCTGTGAAACTGTCAAACTGGTAGCTGCCAGGTCCAAGATCTGAGCCCTGAAATAAATGAAAGACATCATCATCTGAATCAAGAATGGGAGAACACAGTGAAGACACATGAAAGAAACCATCAACAGATACACTGCTTCATCTGAATCAACAATTGATTACTTGTTTTACTATCTCTTTCAATTCACGATTAACAGAGAATACAAGAGAAATTTTACACAAGGGAACCAACAAACAGACATCCTACATGTATACCATCTGAATCATCTGAATTAGGTATTCATGTTTACTATTTATTTTAAATGATGAGTAGTAAAACAACTTACCACAGTTGGAAGTGACCTTGGGAAGGATGAGCCTGCATCTAGGAGACCTATTGTGCTTATAGATTTCTTATCTTTCACTTCAATAGCTGAATGTGGGATGCCTCCATCGCCATATGTGCCTGGTCCTGGTGTTACATTCTGAAAGAAGAGTTGGGAAATGTAAAAATTGCCATGTTGAATGGGACTATAGTACATTCAAACAAATGATGCAAATAACAGTTGAAAAGAGATGGATACTCTTTAAAGAGAGAATCAGAGATAGCGAGCAGGCTAAACAAAAAATTGTTACAATTTTAGAATATTTTTGGCTCATGTCATTCCTTGTCATGTCTATTTTCTAAAAATCACAAAAGTGCATACTTTATTCAAGGAAAACTAAAGAATTTTACAATAATGTATTATTTTTTGGTTACCATTCTTATTATTTGGGAGAATTTAAACATTTTTCACCAATTTTTGCACTTTGAATCATTAATAACTTCACCAATTTATAACATATTGTGAATCTTTTAGGAGATATTGTATTTGATATTGTAAGGAATAGATTGGTAGGTTAATTATGCAAGTTGCTTGTAATTTTGTCACCCCCTATAGATCTGATTCTGCCTTTAATAACTAATTATAAAAAAAGTTATTTGCCTATATTTATGTACAGTGAAATCGGCAAAGTCCAACACCTATAGAAGTGGAACACCTCTGTTAGTGGAACACTTTTCAGAGTCCCAAGACTAACTGACTTCAATGTTAAATGAACCTCTATAAGTGGAACACCTCTCAAGTGGAACACTTTTTATTTATAAGTAGCAAAGGTGTTCCATTTAGATAGGTTTTACTGTATTTCATTTAAGTTGTATGAGTGTATAAATGTATGATGACATCATCATTTGTTGATAGCAGCTGTAGTTATTGTAAAATACGAAAATCAAACTTACGCTCATTGTAACTGGTTCTTTAAATCTTTTGTCTTTTGTTTGGCAAATTCCTCTCATACTACGAGGCTTTTCATCAGATGATTCCAAAAAATCTTTGATTTCATAACTACCAGGCCCCAATTTTCTTTTCTGAAAAATTAAATTCCTTCATATTAAATAATTGAACATGTTATGTACTTAAGCTACAGTATTACTCTATTTCATTTGTACTGTCGCTGTACTGTATTTTATTGTTTTTGTCTGAAGTGGTCTTTTATCAATAAAAAGTGCTGGGTAGGGAAATGAACATTCCCTTTGCATTATAGATCAATTAAATCAAAGCTTTACCTTAATTTCAACTTACTAATAAGTATTGATATTGTAATAGTGTATTGATTTTCTTTGAACAAGGGTCTAATTTATCAATAAAGGTGCTGGGTTGTGAAATGAACATTCCTTTTGCTTTATAGATCAATTAACCCAAAGCTTTAGCTTCATTTCAACCTACCAATAAACGCTTTAATTCCCATTGTTCTTTATGTAGTAGATGTGGCAATGCAGCCATACGTGCTACTTCATAAGCCCTTGCCCAGCCCGGCCCATCTGCCCTTTCTTCTACAGCCTGTGCATTAAAACTACCCGTCTCAACATTGTAGCTACCTGGGCCCAACTTTTTACTCTGAAAATACAAAGTAGACAAAAATAGTGATCCATAAAGACTACAACAGTGCAGAAGATAAAATGTCTGCATTTCAACATTTCCTAGTAACATGAAATTTGAGTAAAATTGGAAATACTATTTTTTGACAAGTATTTAGAATTGCATTAACAATATTACAAGCTTCAATAATTATATAAATTCAACTTGTGAATGTTTAATATTATTCACTATAAAATATTTATGTATACTGTGCATGTATATAAACGGAATATAAAAGCATCCATTATTTTCATGGACTGGTTAATTAGTCATATTGTAGTAAAAATCATGTTATTTACCAGTGTACTCGTTGCTTTTCTGCAATAAGGAGTCTGTGTGAATGTTCCTGGCATTTTACTCTTTGGATGAACACCTGATACATCAAACCTGAAAATCAAAATTAACATACCTTTTACAGTTCTTATTGTCATGTAGAATATGTCATATTAGAATGGACATATTTTAGAAGTCCATATTAATAGGAGTAAATTTGTTATTCATGGTATATACATTGTAAATAGGGGCTAGATTACTAGATATTGAGGTGGCAAATACTCCACATATGGCAGAATTTTTCTTGGGAAATACGTCCTAAAGATCACTGTCTTTAGGAGGTATTTCCTAATAAAAATTCTGATATCTATGAAATACTTGTCTATGATTAATTATTTCATGTAATGGGTAGATCTACTTGGTTACCCAAAAAGGAGGCTATAAACCATCACAAGCCTAATCTAGATTATTTGACTAGTTTGTCCATTTGATAAAGCTATATTAAGTATGGACATCAGGGTAAAAACCAGGTCAATTACTGTGTTGAACAAAGTTGGAAGTTGCTTATCATTCTCAGATTCTGGCCTGAACTGAACATCAACATTGAAGTTGAACATCATGAACATTATAAATATTTTACCTTGCTGTCTGAGTCCCAAATGGGCATCCCTTGAACTTCTTATCAGCCATCGTTAGTTAGAATTAATCCTTATGATCCTTGCGTGATGATCCGATGTGATATGGCTAATTTCACAACATTTATAGTGAGATAAACTAGAAAATCGAAGCGGATTACAACGCTGGTAGCACTCTTACTTTTGATTACAATGCTCACATGACAACGGCCTCAATAATATCTAAAAGTAAAACTGCAAAAACGAAATTGTACTATTAATAATGTTTTCACGATTTAATGATCGTTAATTTTGGGAAAAGTTAATGATTTTCTTTCAAATGAAGTTGTTGTTGTATATTTTATTAAATGTTGAGATTTTAAGCATATTGAAAAAACAATTTCCAATGTAAATTCCCTTGCGGAGTTTGACATTTTGATGACGTCATATGTAAACAGAAAAGCACGTGGTCTTTATGCATCTCACACAGAAAGTTTATTTTTGAGCGATTTGGATTATGGACGTTCAAGTTATCCATACATCTTTCTAATTAGGTAGAGGCATGGTCATTTATCCCACGATCATTGATTGTGGAATGTGTATGAAAACCTTATTTCTTTTATAGCATGGACTTCTGGCTGGAATAAGCCCATGATAAGCAGAAATAAATAAAACAGAAGTCGATTTTCTTATTTTATTTTTTATAATTGTACATTTAATTTCGTTGTGGATAAGTATGTAAAATTAATAATAAGCCTTTTTATGTTTGCATTTTTATTTGCATTATCTGTAAAGAAAAATTTAATTTAGGGCTGAAAATACAAATTGAAATCATTTCCAGAAATTACAATAGACATATCTGATGGATTTTTGAAAATCAAAATTCCCATGTAAACCAAAGGGAAATTGTATATTTGCCGCAAGTCATATGACAATTGAATTTGCCTGAAACTTTATTTATTAAAAAAATGTATGTGTTTCTTCCGATTCAACGATGTTATACTTAGTATCCATAATCCAAAGTCAAAATTATTTTTTAAGAAACCTCTCCCTTTGAAATAATACGTACAAAGGAGTCGAAAAAAATAATTTTCCAAATTTACTTTGAAGCGTTGTGACTTCACAAAATACAATAAAATTAATGTGCAAAAAAAGTTAGATTTTGAAGAATAGTTCTCAAATCTGACTTAGCAAACCCAATGTATCGCATAAGTTAAAAATGGAAATGACGATTTTCAAAAGGTCATCACCTATTGTTATAAAAAAAATGGGAAAATGTGGGACGTACAGGAAAGAAAGTAAAGTTTCCACCGTTATCATGGCTCATTGTAGATTACATAAATAAAAGATCTAACACAATGGGGGGGGGGGGCAAGGTTGCCAAACTTTTGAAGGGGAGTGTACCCGTACCGTCGTTCAAATAACGGGGTGGGAATGTGACGATTCTGGTACTTATAAAACTTTCCATTAGGGTCAAACAGTTATTTTAAACGCCTATTTTAAAACATGGAAGCCCATGGAAGCCTTCCTCATTCTTCTGATCTCTCGGAAGACGTATTTATTTGAAGTAGCCAATTACGAGATGTTTTGAAAGCGCGTGGTCATTGTATAATTATTCATTCGAATACAAAATGCAAGTGATTGAGAAAATAGGATTGTTATAGTCCGCGTTCATCCAAGCAAAATATTAAAACAACCATTTATATTTTGAACAGTTCTGACACCTGAGCAGGATAGCCTAGTGGCGTAGACTGGGTTTACTTTGCGGTCAAACGTCCCAGAGGGATATGGAGGTCCCGCGTTCGAGCCTCAGGCACGGCGTTGTAAATCATAGTTCTACAGAACACCCGGTCTGATTGTGAGACTGTAGGTTGGTTCATCCACTGACGGGCTATAGGAGGCGCCGGTATTCATACAGAATGGTAGCGAGCCCCCACCAAGGGCAGTAGTGGAACGACACGAATCAGTCCCAGTATGGTTGCCTTGCAACAGAAGAGACTCAAGGAAGAGACTCATGGGGCCCGCCCCCCCCCCCCCCCTAAGTTGTGCCAAGAAAAAAATTGGGTTCAAAGAAAATTTTGGGCCAAAAAAGGCCTCAGGGCCCGAAAAAGTGGGCCTTTTTTGTCATTACTGGGCATTCCAAGGCCTTATTTTTTAATTTCAGACAAAATCTTGAAGAAAATGGGCCTTAATATATCAAAATTTGGGCCCACTTTCGGTTTTAGGGGCCCAAATTTTTTTTCCGCGCAAGCCTGGAATTTGCCCCCCCCCCCTTGTTGGTTCCTGGATCCGCCCCTGTATTATGTATGTAAAACTACAAGTTGCACGTTTACATTTTACATTAAACTGATGTTTTATTATGTCAACACCACAAATGGTGACATATTGTTATGATCTCTAACCTTTTTTGGGTGGTGACATGATTCAGTGTTAATGTCTTGTATTTATTTGAGTTGGAAGGTGGCTTCATTGGAAACAGTCAAGTCTTGTTTTTCGGTCATCTCGTCTATACTGTCTAAATGTTATACCATTGCAATTCCTCAAGGGCTATCAAGGCATGGATACAAACAAGTTAACCCTGCCTTATTTTTAAAAATTTTGATGAAACCATAACAGAACTTCTAAAATGAATGACTTTCTGATTACCCAAAAAATTTGTGTGAATCTGAAAATACTAGTGTCTAAAGGTGTGAGAGTGAAAAGGTGTGACATGGACCAATTCTGTAACTTTATTTCCTTTTGTACTGATTCTAATTTTCAATTTTTTATTTACTGCATAAAAACATTGACCAGACCATATACCCTCAGATTGTGGTAAATGCCAACATTAAGGAATTTTATTTGGAACATGTCACATAGTTAGATTCATCTTTGGCCTCCAATTTTTCAATCAGGGCACCCCTCCCAATTTAATCTAGGAAACTCCTGCATGTAATTGGAATAAAAACAGCCTACATGTAGCTACGCCTCCGAAACAGATCATGGATGTCAGTCAGCTATTACAGATAAAATGATCAACAGTTTTCAAGATGGGCACCATGTTCTTTTACAAGTACTTTTAGGATACTCAGATCGGAGGATATTCAATGTAAATATGACAGTTAATTACATTTGAAATTCACTTCCAACATAACAAATGTGACTTGGTTGATTTCTCACAATTAAAAGATTTATTACATAAATATATAGAGATACACATTGCTTCTTGACAATAATAAAATGCATTCAATTAAAATGCTCTATAGAATTGGAATGCTGCAACCAATATTGAATGTTAATTTTACATGCTAATTTCACCTTAAGAATCCAATAGGGATTGGTACTTGACATCTCCTAACAATCATATTTGTAATGGTAATGTAACATGTTATGGAAAATGTGACTTGATGCTAACAGGCGTGGCCACTTCATTGAATGTATGTATTAATTGGTAGTCTATGGGTGTAAGAATATTACAATTTTTGCAAACCTAGCAATCTTCACATGTACCTTTTATATATGTATAATGGCATCATATTTTAAGCTCCATAAAAATTCAAAATATATAACATTTGCAATACATTTGATATTTGATCTATAATTATAACATATTGATAGAATCTTCTAATAAGCTGGTGATTTTGAGATTGAAGACAAACCATTGATTTGCTATTTCAGTATTGAACATTGCTGTAAGGTGGCTCATATTATACAATTACATGTATGCCATAATATAGTTCTATATTTGCTTAATTTAGTACTACTCTATATACATTCTGGTAGTAAAAGCAGATTTTCTAAAAGCATATACTAGGCCAAGGGAACATGATTTATAAATAGAAAATACACCGAACAACCATTTATGGGTGGGTCAAAATGTTTGCATTTTCTCAAAAAAATTCAAACAAAAAGTTCGACATTCCCTTTCATTTAAGCTTATGGAAATTGAAATGACATTACTAGTGTGAAATTATACCCCAATTAAATGTCCTTACTTTCAAAGGTAAACATAAGTGGGGCTTTATTCACTTAATTCACTGTCAAAATTACCTTTGTGAAAAAATGCAACATATGACCTGGCCCAAATAGTGGCTGAAAATGAGACATTAGAGTAGCTCCCTTGCTGTAGTATGAAGTTGACTGGTAGTAGTAGCTCATTTCTTGCATATCTACAATAAAGTCCACTCGTTGTTCACTTGTTGCATTACTACAATAAAATCCCACCAGTACCTCACTTGTATTACTACAATAAAGTCCACTGGTAGTTCACTTGTTGCATTACTACAATAAAATCCCACCAGTAGCTCACTTGCATTACTACAATAATGTCTACTGGTAGCTCAATTGTTGCATTACTACAATGAAATTCCACCAGTGCCTCACTTGCATTACTACAATAATGTCCACTGGTAGCTCAATTGTTGCATTACTACAATGAAATTCCACCAGTGCCTCACTTGCATTACTACAATAATGTCCACTGGTAGCTCAATTGTTGCATTACTACAATGAAATTCCACCAGTACCTCACTTGCATTTCTTCAATAATGTCCACTGGTATCTCAATTGTTGCATTACTACAATGAAATTCCACCAGTACCTCACTTGCATTACTACAATAATGTCCACTGGTAGCTCAATTGTTGCAGTAATACAATTGCGTCCACTGTATATATTCAATTGTCATAACTCTGACAGATATGATATGTTTCTTTTGAATCACCTCACCAATAAACAGTATAAAAATACATTAATTTCTTTCAAGAATACATTAATAAGTACTATTGTTACAACAAATTCTTGCATAACAACCAGCTTGTTTCTCGATCAGCACACATGAATATAACAGCCTGGGGTAGGTGATAACCCAGAAATTGCATGCAAAATTTATAAGGGCGACGTATGTGTATATAAATGTAGATTATAAAGTACAAATATTGTGAATGGTCAACTCATTCGCTCTGCATAATGAAGAAGACAACCAATTAGCTATCAATTTCTGTTATATATCATAAAGGTGTTGAACAACCGTATGGCAATCATAGCTTCCCAAAATCAGAGAAATACGCAGGCATGAAATATAGTGAAAAGCAGTATGATGTAGATTTTCTATCTTGATTGTATGAAGCTACAGCCGCCATACACCCAGCATAGAGCAAATGTAACGGAGGCACATATGTTAATCAACAGGCATTGCATGGTGTCTAATGAACTGGGTGTGAAGGCCTCGTTACTTCTCAAGTTTCTTATTAATTTTATAGAAGAGTTGAGAAGAAACATCAATATACATGTAACTATGTGGAAAATCGGAGATAGAGTGCAAACATTTAGAGATTGTATCGTAACAACCCGCGGCGCCTCCAGGGAGCTGTAGTGAAACAAAGCAGATACTGGACATGAAATGGAGTGTGTTAAATTCAATGTCAAGTATGGGAACTGAACCCAGGACCTTCTAGTTCAGAGTCTGATGCTTTAGTGAGTTTGCTACCCAGGGTCGTTACACTGTTATAGTATGAACTGAGGATTTTGTGCCTTTGACTCCTATTTTATTTAATTTTCACTTCTTCAACCAATATAAATTAATTTTAAAGTCTCTCTGGAGTTACCAAAATGTAACTAACATTAACTTTAAATGTTTGGCTCTGGCAAAATGACCAATTCCATGATTCATATTCTTAACTTGTTATAAATCAAACAATTTTCTGTACAACATAATATATACATCAATCCCTAGATGGTATCTGCATGAATGGCTGTATTATCACTGACAAAAGGGTAACATTACAACATGCTATATAATACCCTTCACAATATAAACAATAAAAATCAATAGTATACTACAGAAACTTGTTTAAGGCCTATCATTACAAGTCTTGGGAAGTGAGAAACTCAATATGACATATAGATTGAACATTTGTATATCTTTGTGCTAAATGCTCATGGAATGAAATCATTATTTGGTTACATACTGTATTTTGGTCACCTGATCATTCATTATACAGAACTTAATTATTAAGCATTTCATTCAATCCATTGCTATTCACAGTTATAATCCATTCTATGATGATCACATCACCTTTTTTTACAATAAACTAGAAAAACAGCAACTCCAGGGAGCAGCAGATCCCACCTAACAAATCATGTAAATCAAACAAATCAATGTTCAAGTTATAGACAAAGGTTAATTTTTAACATTAAATGGCAGCAATTTTATAATGAGTGACCCCTAAAGTCATGCAGAAGCAGAAGTCTTATGCTTATATTTAGCATAAGCCTGTGACTGAGTTGTCATTCAGACAGATGGATGATCAGGTGAATTCATGAACAGATGGATCAACTAAGTTCTCAATATCCCTACATGAACTTTGTTCGGTGGGATAATTAGATATAAAGTCTCTGTTTTGTCGATTCTTGGGTATCTTTCATATCCACATATCACTGTACAAATATACACAAACACAGTAGAAGTGTTGCATCAGATTTGCTAGAATTGTTCATTAAATTCCTGGGCTTTGACCAAACGGCCCGATTTGGCATCTGATATAGCGCCCCATAGATCAAACTTAAAGTCATCTGTGAACCCAAATGCGCCAAGGTCCGATTCATCTATAGCTTCAGCAAAGTTATGGGGATTGTTGAGGTTCTCTCCAAGTTCCCAAATTGTTTGGGCTGCAATAGAAAAAACAGGAATTGAGTCACACTTTTCATGTGAACTTATTTTCTCAAATGAAATTGAAAATTCATATAGCATCTACAAGAAATATTCAGTGAAATCTTTTCATACATGCAGATTACCTAAGGCTTATGTACTGGGAGGTTTTGGATATGGGGTTTATCCAGAGAGATATATGCATAGCTACCTAAGGGACTGTGAGGACCGAAATGTAGATGTGTATATCTCAAGAGGGATAAACTCCATATCCAAACCGACCATACATAACTGCTTTATCCTATTCCCAGTGGAGTTTTCAATTTTTTCTCATTTTTTCAGTTTTTCAAATTTTTTCTCATTTTTAAAAAAAGAAATTTCAAAGCGGGAAGATATGCCCTGGAGCCGGACATACAGAGGTTCTGAATATGGAAACCTCAAACTCAGGATACGAGATATATCTTACAAACTTATCTCCCTAAAACTCTACTTGGCATAGTATAAACAGGCTTACATCAGGTCCTTGTGCTATATTCAAATCTTTCCAGAGTATAAAAGTAGAAAATGTACAATAGTCAACAAGACACATGATGCAATACTATTGTTGCATCCGGATCTATTCTTACCTAGCTCTTCATCATTGATGCCCATGAATGACTCCAGCAAGTTATTTATTTTGTCTGTTGCCACGCCAACAACACCATCATCCTAGAAAATAGAAGACAAGAATTGCATCAACTATATAGCCTTGTGTCAGTTCATGAGAATTATGGCAAGTTTATAGAGATATGGCATATTTTATAGAGCAATATGGAAATATTATTGTATGAAATCATGTTTTATTGACAACTATACAGGAAGTTTTCAATGCATAATGTCTATTCTCAAGTGGTTTGCTCAGTATCTGATAAAACTGAGAGGCTGTGTTTATATAATATAAAGTGAAGTATGAAGTACTGTAGATAGAGGAAAGTACAGTATGTATAGAAATACACATGCAGGGGCGAGGACAGCAATAATCAAAGGGGGTGCAATTTTTGGGGTTTGCATCACTGCGAGAGATGCGAGCCCCAAAAAAGGGATATGGTGTTTACCCCTGGAAATTTTCAAAAATTTACATATGGTGCATTCTAAGCATTTCAAAATATAATTTGTCAATGTTCTTCAAACCCCCCCCCCCCCTGGCTACACCCATGACATGTCCAACTGCTGATCTGATAAAACTTTCAAATGATACAACATGTGTTAAAATTCTCTTCAAAGTTATGACTTCATCAGACACTTCAAAACCTTGGAGATGTCTGATAATATAAACATTTATGTCACCGTATATAAAAATTATCATGGTTATTGTATATTCACACAAGACAAATCACTTGAACAGATAACAAAATGAATATGCTTGTACAATCAAAGTTCAAGCTTATCAGCTAGGCCAGGCAAGAGATGTAACCATTGTTTTGATTTGCTTGTGTTTCAAGATGCTCCACAGAACTAATTATTTGTCCTTAGACGTTACACAAAATGTGAGTCTAAATGACCCTTCTCTAGCTTGGAGTTGAGTAGCTGGTTAAAATGACACTTAATGCCCATTTTTATGATATATCCCCCTACCATATTGGATACAATTCAAAAAGACTGTTACAGGTAAACCCATTATTATAGTTGGTTCAGGCCAGGCTGTAAGTGCACAAAGTCATGCCAATTAATGGTAAAATTATTATAGTGACATGGCTAATGTATTACAACAATGGAAATTCAGGATGTTGCCCTTTGTGCAGTTATTATGTGGGACATGGAACCCATTTTCTGCCAGAGTACCAAATGTTGCCCTTGATAGAAATGGCCAACCTAATGATGAATGGGGTTGGATTAGCCTTGGTTTAGATTTTAGATCAAGGAGATGTTTTGCAATTATGTATTTAGAACTATGAAAAGGCACAAACTAATCAGTGATCTCCACAGGATTTTTTCTCAAGTGGGTGCAAAATTCTCATTTTCACAATTCAGAACAAAATATGCCAATTTTTCATGATTTTTCTCATTTTCAAATGGGTGTAAATGGATTTTCAGGTGGGTGCAAGTCTATTTTCAAAATCTCAGGGGGGTGATGCGCCCACTTGGTTTAATGCTGGGATGATCACTGCTAATAATTATATAACCTCTTCTTCCAAACTTCATTTAAATATCTTATACTGCTTGTCATACCATATTAATTTTTTAAAATACTTTATCATATCTAAATATGTAATTACACTATTCATATAGAATTTAGTAGACGAGTTTCCTTTTTACAGTTGACATTCATCCTTTTGCCAATTATAGAAATCACAAGTTCAGTCTAAATATATGTATGTATATGAGTACATGTATGTGTTATATTAGAGCAATGTGCATGGCGCCAGATTGTGTTATGTATGATGTTGTTTGTGCTAGTTTATTCTCATAGCTAGGATCAGTTAAAATAGGTACAATGAGACTATGTAAGTGCACACTCTAGCCAACATACAATATCATGTAAAGTTCCTTGGACCATCATACATGGACTGACATCTCTGCAAGTCAATACTCTAACCAAGTATGAAATTCATGTACTGTACTAATACATAACGTATATGGTTTTACTCAAGGAGAACATAATTTCTGCATTAAGCCTGTCCATCAAGCTTGAATAATTCTCCACACCATTGCTTTGATTAATAATAAGGTACAACTGAATTAAAAATACAGCTCAACAATTTTCAACCCATTTAATGGCTTCTAAACATGTATATGTTTATATATGATCAGGTTATGGTGCGGCTTTTTGCATGTGTGATTAATTGTCAAAGTTTTATGCAGCATTAGCTGCAACGTTCATGGAAAAGGATTGCGTGACTGACTGTCTGTAACCAGGATATGATAACCACAGACACTACCACAAGAGTGAAAATGGCTGAAAGCATTCAAATATCCACATTTATACTGCAAACAGCACTGTATGTTATCCTGTATACGAGAAATAATGCAATCAGTTAGAAGTATACCAAGTTCTTACCTCTTGAACTGTAGCTGGACCTGTGGACCGCAACCTCAGTGTTTGTTTGCCTGTTCCTACACTGCCTGATTTCTTGTTTCCGGTGTTTGGCCCAATATTCGCTGAAATTTAAATAAATATGGTTTGAACTTTAAGCTTTAGAATCAAGATTTTTTAATTTTCAATAATAGACAGCAAACAGCTATATATGGGCATTGTGATAGAATCTGAAATATATAGACTGATAATTTTTGAAGTTTTGTCAATTATGCTCATATATTTGTGAATTCATGTGGTAAGAAATGTGTTTAAAATGTCATATCATTCTCTCATCAAAGGAACATCCTCAGTTGTTGCAAAACTATCTCATAGTTCATCAAAATTTGTAAGTGCATGGGCATGTTGTTAAAAAAGTGGAAAGTCAGAGTTCCTATGCAAAAGAATGGTGGCTTTTATAAAGGTAGGTAGATAGAGATAACCTTAATTGATTACTGCCTAATAGAAAGCATGGATCCTTCATCTGGTAAATTGCTAACCTTCGTTTTATAGCGAAGCATTATTTGGTATGAATTATGGAATAATTTTTCATACATGAGGTGCTTGTGGATTTTCAATTTTATGAAGTTTTTATCAAATATACAAGGAAAAGGGAAAAGTGTGTACAGATGAGCTATTATTGTACATGTATATTTATTGGAAAACTCAGTATAACAGTGAGCTACACCATGGTACCAGGAAAAGAGGAAGGCCGAAGAAACGATGGAAGGACACCGTGAAAGAAGACCTAACCCGCTTTCATATGTCGGATGACTGGCACACGGCTTCACAAGCCAGAGAACTCTTCCGAAGCCAAATCCACAAATAAAAGCATTTTCTGAAGAACTGCTTTCCACCCATCGTCACACTTGATGGGGACGAAAATGAGGGTCAGTATAACAATTCTAATGGGAGACACTTTGTAGTACATGAACCATTTTATAAAGGTACATTTAATAACACTGCAGGAACAGAGACTGCATGGATAATGTAGGTTTCACCATTTGTTAACTTCTGAGTGAAAAACAATTACAGAATTTCTATTACTCATTAACCTTTTTTATGGTATTCATAGTTTAGTTAATTGGAACTAGAATTTTATACTAACAATTTACAAATGATTCTAACCCATGTTCTCCAGTTCGCAAGATAATGCTGACTGGACCTTATATGTGGGTCAAGTAACATGAACTATCAACCAGAAAAAGATGGCCAAAGATGATATTGAGTTCATATAGAAGTCATTGTCAATTTTTCATCATGTCTGTTGCCACATAACTTTCTTAAACTACTTCAAATATGTAGGCCTACAAATCAGAAAAATAGGGAAGTTTTCCAAATCTGGTTGATCTGACATGACTCCCCTGTATTTTAAATTTAGTAAGCAACTATGAGTTTTCTCAGAAATGCTCAAATTGCGCCAAACAGTATCTTGAAAAAGATATCCAAAGGATCAAGACCCTCCTAGAAGTCACTTGTGGCAATATTGTCATCTATATTTGATGGGAAATTTTGAAAATACAACCCTGTATTTACAAATATGGTATGATGGGCCTGATACTGAAGTAGGATTACCAGTATGGCATATAATCATTACCAATCAATTACATTAGGTTTGAAATGATTTTTGAACCGGGCTGCCAAGAGCACCTATCATGAGGGTGGGGCTGCTTAACTGTAATATAGTCTATACTACGTAGGCAGAAGGTAGTTTATAACTAGACTCTATATGCAGGGAAGGTAATATTAAAAATACAACAAACTGACACAGAATGACAACTTGCCCTGAATTAACTACAGCTACATCTTCATCAGTATATAATCTACCAGGCGGTTACTATAGTAACTGACAATAGGATGTCTATTACTCCATCCTCCCTTACATCAGGTGTTTCAACCTTGGATTAAATGAGTGATTTGCCTATTTTCAGTTGGTTAAATTGTAAGGGTTCAAAAAAGAGGTTGGGTGATATAAATGTGATGGGATATCAAATGTTAAAGAGATCCTTGATCAATTTGATGACACACTATAGATGAGAATATAAAAGAATCGGATCAGGTTCAATATGGTAACATTCATGAATGTCACTTTCACTCACAAAAGGTACAGCAAATTTTGCTTCAGGACACAGCATTGACTTATAAAATCTATCTAATATTAGGCATCAATATACCTTTAAGGTCAACAATACTCAAGACTTATGAGGGTTCAACTCAAATATGTTTCCACTTGAAAGGTCACGCCTAACCATCGACAAGGTACAGTCACGTGACAGGTGACAAAATATGCCGTAGTACACTTTTGATGTACTATGTCACTATTAACTGATTTTGAGCGAAGACCATGATGTAGGTTCGATGCAGGTTTTCAAAAATAAATTTTAGGAGAACACAAAGGATTTTATGTTTGGTTTCGCGTGCATTCGATTTCAAAGACATTTACTTTTCTAATAACGTGAAAAGATCTTCGAGCAGTGCTCGATTTTTTTCGTTGTTAGTCTACCCATACGATTCTTCGGTTGGAAAAATGTTGTTTTTTACACATTTCCTTTGATAATTTTCTCCCCTGACGTCTCAGAGTGTCGAATATTTTTATGAGAATGTGTTTCTCTAAACTACACAGTTTAGGACAGGTGAACATTTAATAAACATTCATGCATTTGATATAATTTAAAAAATCAGAAATGTACGTTGTCAACTCACAGTGTATGTTGTCCCTGTAATTGAAATACATGAGTTATAATATTATACATTGCAATGATTTAATTTCAAAATGCATTAAGGGTTTTATGCGTTACAAGTGATGTTCAACGAACATGCTCCTGTATCCCTAGTACAGATAAACAGGTAAAAGTGATTTTTTCGTTGAATGCTATTTTATTTTATGAAAGTATTAATATGGTGATTAATATGTGACCACGGCGTGTTTTCTTCCGACCTCTTTAACCACTCGACGTCGGTACGTTACGTTATGTTTAGTTGCACTTTTATGAATTTTAATAATCTTAAGGAGTTCATGGAGAGATCTTTACTAGCTAATCCAAGATGACTTTATGCTACAGGATGTCCCCATAGGCAGACATATACCAATGTCTCCATGTATGTGTCGTATATCATTTTAAAGCTCATCCAAAGTTACATTAATTTGCCGAGTATCATGGTTCAACTCACAAATGGAAAAAGTTACAGGAATTTCAAAAGTTAGTGTTTGGACAAAATTAAAGTCAGTTTTACACCAAAACAATAGTCGGTGTGTCTCCTTAGCCGCCATGTTAACAGCAGCAATACTTTCCATATATGATCTTAAACTGGCTTCAAATAGGGATATGGCGTTTTGTAATCTTCATAAAACCTTTTGAAGGCATAAGAAGAGTTTCCTTGGAGTATCTACCCTAAACGTCATCTTTTTAGAACTCGATATCCATATATTATCTTCGAGAATAGCATCCATATTCACATTCAGGTCAGGGCTGTTTCCAGGATACTGAAATGAACTTTTTGGCACAACGCTATTGAAATGCCTGTTACTTTTTACCATTTGAACCATCATATTTGGCAAATCAATGTAACTTTGGATAAGCTTAAATATGATATATGACACATACTATGGAGAAATTGGTATATGTCTGCCTAGGGGGGAAAGTGCAGAAGTTCAAAAGCCAGGGTTATGGAATACTAAAAAATTATTAGTAACATTGAAATTTAATCATATCAATGACAATTTTATTGATTAACGTACAAAATATTAGAGTAAATTTTTCGATATGCCAGCCCTATTATTATAAAAAATTATTACTTTATTATCAAATATGTTCCTTCTATTACAAGTACATTATAGCATTTCATTCATGTAAAATTAACTGTGAATTGAGATCTGTAAGGCCAATGTGACAACATACATTCGAGTTGACAACATACATTATCTGTTTTTCGTAGTAGCATCCAAAGTAAAAAGCGGTTTTGCATTAACTCTGGATGTATATTTGTATACTTATCTTAAGTTGTGTTAGTCGTAGTTTGGCTGTTATTTGCATAGCAAAACAAAAATTAGAGAGAATTTTGCGAAATTCAGTCAAGATTTAGAGATCCCTGACGTACTGGGTAGATCTATAACAAGATATTGAAGTTGCTGAGGATCATTTGAAATAGATATGCATATTTGCAACTTAATTACAAATCGAATGCAACAACTGCCTGATGATGAACTGACACAATATTGATCAAATCAATGCTAGTTCTTACCTCGCTTCCTCATTCTAGAAAATGGCGATATAAAATGGCGGAAATGACATAGTACATCAAAAGTGTACTACGGCATATTTTGTCACTGTCACGTGACTGTACCTTGTCGATGGTTAGGCGTGAAGGTGTAATAATGTAAATTCAATAATCAATTTATTGTGATGGGAGTATAACTTCAAGAGATGTTCTCAGAGACTGAGCCATTTGGGAAGTTCATGTATAATTATCCGTTGCCTAGGACTAAAAGTCGTGCAATATGGGAGAATTTGGCATGTTTAACAGACAAACATAGTATGCCTCTATAAATTCCTGATTATTTTGGGATTCTTTTTATGTATGGGTTAATCAGCAGAATGATCCAATAACACACAAAAAGTTCAATCATAAACGAAGATTTCCTCATTTTGCCAATTAGCCCATACGATTGGGGATTCAGCTACATGTACATGAAAAGAATCCTTAAATACTCAGGAATTTATCAGGGTATGTTACTTTTGTAAGTTTTTTCTCTGATATTGTAATCATACAGACAAAGTATACAAGGATGCTCGCAGAACTATAGTCCAGGAACCAGACAACCCTGCATTCAATACAGGTTTATGGAACTTTTACTCAATAATTCAAATATATTAGAACATGACTACCTCATATACAGATATATTTTCATAGATGTATCATCTTGAGGATAATGTATGGAGGTGAATAAATCAAACATATCAAGCTCTTGTTTTAACATGTCCGAAGTCTAAGTTGTATAAAATATGTAAGACAATGAAATAAATACATAGAAAATTATACATTTAAACTAAATCTGAAATATTCATGAATGTAACAAAAGTTTTTTACTTACAGAATCCTGACTGCATTGGTGCTACTGTTCGTATGGTGAAAGTTGAGCCTTTTGGGATTTCTTTTAACATTTTTGCCACCTCAAAATGGCGACAGCCTATTAAACTTTTTTCATTAATTTTTTCAATATGATCTCCTACAGCAATAAAGGGAGTTTTGTCCATAATGCTACCCTCTTTGATGCGTTTAATAAAGGCATATCCTGCACCATTATCTGTGATAGTAAGTCCTAGTGCATCTTCTGATTTTGTTACATCCAATTCTTTCGGCTGTCCTCGTATATGAGCAAATATGAAATCTTCCAAACCAATTTGACCGCCTAGAAGCCGCGTCATATCTATCTTGTGTGTGTTAAGTGTACAGAAGAGGATCTGAAAGAAATATCACAATATGTCACTATACAGTTGTGATATGGTAATTAAAACCCAAAAATGGCAACACATCCACTAACATCAACATACTAAATGTCAAAATCACTCATAAAATGAATTAATTTGAAATTCAGACATTTTACTCTTGTGATAAAACATGTTAACATTGAATGTCATGTTATTTATGATAGAGGACTCATTCAAGTCTGTACTTCCTTGTAATTTAATTGTTTTGATTTATCATTGAATATTTTGTAAAAGGTTCTTCGGAGCAATAAAGTGGATATGAGAAATTCAGACAAGAATGAAACATAAAACCTGTCTAATCCAAAAACTACTGGGATCAGGCAAAAGTATACAAATTAGCAAGTGTTCACATTTCAAGATTTTTAAATATGTGGGTTAATGGAAGATATTAAAATTGGGACTAAGAAAAGTGTTCACATTGAGAGGTGTTCTGATTATATAGGTGTTCAGATATACAGGTTTCACTATACTGTAAATAGTGTGCATCATACGAAATTTTCCCTGATCAAAAATGGAGGTCTCGTTGGTGTGAATACAATAAAAATATTCCATTCTGCAATATATTATAAAATCTGAAATGCAGGAGTCTTGTAAAAGTTAAAGTAAAAGTTGAAGTTGTGTCTTTGAAAACTGGTGCAAAAACAGGTGAATTGTAAAGTTTCAAGGAAAAAGAACGAACATCTTCAGAAAAAATGGGGGGAGAGGATTTGGTCTGAATTGTAAAAACCATTTGTCATCATTTTCAATCAATCTAAAATGCTGTTGAATCTATAGATCCTTGTACTTGCAAGCTTGGGATTCAGACCAAGTGTTTACCTATCAAAACGTTATCATTACATGGCAGGGGATCGCACCCCCCCCCCCCCCCCTCTGGCTACGCCTATGCATGGTATGTGAACTCATTACAGACCACCCAGCTTATTCTAACAAACTGCAGTGCATATAAACTGTCAATACATTATATACAGCATATTCAATATACATGCACAAACAGTAATTAATTCAACAGTTTAATTATTTTTCATCTAACACATCTGTTTCATATATTGTTATAGTATACAGGTACATTAATACCATATTAATGTATACAATGTAGTGATTTATTGTTTTTGGAATACTGTTTGTCTTCTGCATTTTTATAGATATTAGATAAATAAGGAGAGAGTAAAATGAAGGGGTTGGAGAGGCCCAGGTCTATTGTTACTATTGGTATATGAGTATGATTTATAGCAAATAAAAACTGATATGGTTCTCAACTTAAAAAAAATCAAAAAAATACAAAACCCAAAAACTGTTTGTTTTATTATATTGACTTCTATAAGAGAATTTTTTAACAAGTCTACTCTCTTTACATGTGTAAAGTTAGAGGTGCCACAATAAGCTGAAGTATTACCAACCCATCCTCCTAAGCAGGTATCCAGAATCTGTACCTCCTTCTTCCCCGCCTGCTATAACCAATTTGGAAGCGCCCGATTAAACTGAATCACGGGATCTTATTATGCGCAATGACTTATACATGATTTCTGTCGCAGTGTTGCGACAGCCAATCAGATTGCGAGTTCTTAATCTGGGAAATGCTAACTGCTAATCGCAGGGGGTAAAAAGAAAGAATATATTCTGGATTTTGAAGCCCTGTGATCTGAGGTTGTACCAACCAAAAACAGACCCTTTACCCTAATTGTCTCAGGAGGATTTCTTACATTGAACCTATCCAATATCCTCATTTAGTTTAATCTATGCCCTATCATAATTACTAATTAGCTGCTATGACAATGATCAGTGATTGTCATGTATCTAGTTTAGAAAATCCTCATACTAATTTGTAAGACTATATACTCCGGGGCGGATCTGCGGGAAGCAACAAGGGGAAAAAATTTAGCATTTTCTTCAAAATTTGGCCTAAAATTAAAAATAAGGCCCACTTTTTGGGGGCCAAAGGCTCTTTTTTCTGGGCCCACACAAGGGGGCTCACCCTGGGCCCCTCCCCCAGATCTGCCAGTGATACTATACTACAATTCACATGGTCGGGTCAAGAAAATGTGTTGTCAAAATAACTGAATTCCATATAAAAAAAACAAAAAAACTTCTGATTCTAGTAACACCTTGTAAGAGCCTATTCTATTATTTCTTTTAAATTATTATGATCAAATTTACTAGGCCATTCTTTTAAAGTATTATATGGCTAATAGGAATATATTTTATGGTCAAATGATTCCAAAATAGATGCTTATCTAAATATTTATGACTAATATTCTTACATCAATTTGAATTTCCAAAAATTGAACTGGTTTAAAAAGTGAATATGTTCTATAAATCTAACACAGAGAGGCACAAATCAGACGTATTACCCTTTGCATTCGTTTGACTTCACTTCTTAAAAGAGAGCTTCGTCTTCTTTAACTAGACTCTGCACGCAGGGTACAGACGTATAGGGATGGTGTCTGATTACAAAGAGTTGTGGAAAAACAAAGCTTCAAAATAGTGGTTCAACTCGCTCCCTCTCACCTTATAACTAAAAATCAATTTCAAAATCAAAGTCAGCATTTACCCCCTCTCCCGAAATAAACTTAGGGTGGGGTATAATAACATCTGGTTGTGGGTTCAATTCCCACCAGGGTGGAGTGACTTTTTCACATCAGCCCTTGGCATAGGATTTGACCCAATGATCCCTGTTCTTAGATTAACCAATCTTTCACAGCAGAATACCCAGGTACAGAAGTACAGTAGTAAGTTGAACTGGTTTAAACTTAGTTAACAGGTTAATGTCATGGTGAAATTACATGAGCAACCTACTATTACTACCTACTGACCATTTTCTGAAGAGTAAAAAGTGAAATCCAAGGGAGTGAAAATATTGCACTATGGTCCTTTGATTGCTGTTTTAATGTTTAATGGGAAAAAAGGTTTGACCGACTCACAAAAATTGATTCAAACTATAGGTAAGGGATGGCGTACAATTATCAACAGTTGTGAAATAAAGAAGTTAGTTTCGTTAGAGGGGGTCGGCCGGGGAGGGAGTAAATGATGGTTTCATTAGCCAACAGTGTCATTGTGATTTTTTTAAATATTCATGTGAAAGACAAACCAACATTTAAAAATTTTGTTAGGTGAGCAGAGGGGGCAAACCATAACGAAATCAACTTCTTTTTTCCATGACTGGAGGTACGCTTCTGTAACTGGACACCATCCCAAATCTACAAAGTGAAGGATTGTATGCACAGTGCACACACAAGATCGACCTTGACTACCACTCAACGAATCTATAATGATTAATAAATCAATAGACATTTAGGGTTGATATTGTGCTTTTTACAGATATTCGACACACCTGAAATAAAACTGAGCATGAATCAAACAGGGAAACAATCAAACAGGAAGTTAATTTACCTCGCTTGGTGAAATGTCATAGCACTGGGCTATTTTCTGGTACAATTCCCTCACGTTAGTAAATCCAGATATAATACCAGTGGGACTACCATGAGCCTGTTGACAGTGGAACTTTAATGTGTGTCTCGGTGCAGTAACCTCTTTCCCAGGGCCCTGAGTTTGTCCCCCTGCCGCCCCATTTGTCCGCTGTGAATCTGTAGCTGGAGTCGAGGGAGGCGCGGACATATTTGGCGGCGGATTGTCGACTAAAGGAGCGTGAGCCTGCTTCTTCTTGCCGAAGATTGATCCTAAAGGCATTGTGCTATTTGTTCCTGACTGAATTATATTACAAATGTGCTAAATCTCTACCAGGATTGGCTGGAATCGCTGCATCTAAAATTAATGTCAATCGTCATCGGCGGCCATACTAGATATGTGACCCTACAGGTATACAGGTGCGAATTCTCAATTACGAAAATGACGTCACATCCCTTTTTCAATTCACTCTTAAAAATCAGTCTGTAAGTTGATTTTGCACACATCGATACTTAAATCAACTTTTCCACATATTATAAAGTTAAATTAAAGCGTAAGTCAAAACAAATCATGTTCAAGAATAAATTGTAACTGATTGATTGGATTTACTTTCAAGTCACATATTACCTGATGAAACAGGTGTTTTAATTGGCTATTCATTCTGGGTGTACCCCACGACTAATTTCACTACAAATCAATATTTAGAAGAGAAACAATGGAACATCTCTGTCCAAGTTATCTATTTATAATTACATGTGCTTGTGCACAGTATACATATATCTTGTGTTTCAAGAAAATAGATTGACACACATACATTTTAGTAGGATGTAATAAATCATTAGTTCAATTAATAATTTTGAACTGTACTTTGGCTATGACTAATCCATCTTCTCGTGGGAGGTTTAAATCATGACTTTATATTTACTTTAAATGGTTCAAGAATCACCATCAGTTTCTCATTGTGGTAAACCACGCCTTTCCCATCATTCCATGCAACAGAGAGTTGCCAGTTTTTGATCATCGTGACAAATGACACGATGTGAGTCTCTATATGCTGGTCTTTTAGTGTAACAACAAAAGTGGTTTCATTGAATGAAAAAAGGAAATATAAATCATTATTTTTATTGTTAATGCTACAAATGACAAACATAAAAAGTATTTTTTATATAAAATTTATTATAAAATAATGGAATGTAAATCCAATACAGTGTTTACATGCATGGTGTGTATTAAAACCATTATATGTGGATTATAATGAACGAGCCTGATTTCATGTCACACTATTGAATTAAAAATAACCTTGGTTCTAAAGGTCACATGATATGCCTATTGGCTATTGCCTAAAGATGAGAAGCTTTTTCTAATCTTAGAAATTACAATCACTACACTAATGATGTTAAAAATAATTTGGTAAAAGATATATTTTGTTTTTAAAAAATCAGCTATGTACAAATTATAAAATAATGGCCATTTTATTTCACATTTTATGTTCAGTCAGTTAAAGATCATGAAAATATGTGATTGAAAATGTTTCATAAAATCTACATCATACTGTTAACTAATATATAAAGTTGATGGAATGAATCATTGACGGATTACAAGATTAATATCTCATTGACAGTCGCAATATTTGCAAATCATTTGCCAATAATGCCATGCTTTACATGATAATTTCCAAAAATATTTACATACAGGTATTCCTTGTTTATCATACATGTTACTATATACTAAATATTTACATTTTTTGCATAATGAAGACAAGTTTTAAAATGTCTAAATACATAAATATACTATATGAAGATTTCAAATTTCTTCTGAGCCAGTAAAAACTGGTGTATACTTTAATGAATGATAACAAATCAATTTCCATAAAGCTAGAGGTATTTTCTGGTACTGATTTTTGCCTTTTCTAAAACTGACGTGAACTGCCTAACATTCCCCAAAAATTATTCATATTCAAGATATTTGGCATTCATTTTACTACTATTCCATTATTGCTTTCAAATGAATGATATACACCCAATCTGCTATTAAATCAAATGGTCAACCCTGCTGATTATAGTACTATATACCTTCCTTTCCAAAAATTTACTATTTGGAAATGAAGCATATTAAAACTGAACACAGTCATAACCTGTAATGCTAATTTGACAAGGTGGATGCATGGTATATCAATTAGTAATTTCTTAATTGGAATGTCCTATCCTGTTAATGGAATGTTTTCTTGTGTAAAGTACAGCACTTTCCCATTATGTTCAGATACTGGTGAGCAATATCACAAGACAGAGAACACAATTCCAATCAAAACCGTTCATTAAAGGGGCAACATTGTTTTATAGGTTTCTTGTATTCTCCAATCATCTTCAAATGAAAGGAATGTTAGAGTGACAATCTCTGATACAATGTTTATGATAGGTTAAGGTGCACTATGACTAAACTTAGTGCTAGAGATATGGTTGTGATGATATTTGCTTGTATGTTCCCTGCTGCTCCTAGAACCCACACAGTCTCTGTCTTCTCCCATGGGTCACTACCATCATTAAAATACTGTGGACACTCATCAACTGAAATCAAAAATTGTCATTATGTAAGTCTGTACACTTAGTGATATAATCAATTATGTGACATGGGGGTCTAAAACACCTTCTCAATTAAGGTGATAAAATCAAAATACTGTATGAGCTGGACACAAATAAAAGATTGATGTGTTCATATTATGAATTTGTGTACTTGTAGCCATTATTCAGAACTGACCCATGAATTTACATTTAATAGAATTATATTATGAATTTAAAACAAACAAATGTATTCAACTGGCAGTGAACTACTTACACAATCTTTCATTTTCATAAAGTTTTAAATGAAGACTGGCCCCTTCACTGGGAGAGAAGCTCTCAGCTGTTTGCAAGTCGCCACACTGAGCTCTAGTTGCACGTGAGATAATAAGGTTGCGCCAATCAAGACGCTGGTATACCTGGAAATATAGTAAAAATGTTCCTGTAATGTCTAGATTTGCTTTTTACAATACAATACAACATGGTTAAATGTACAAGAAACATTCTGAACAATGTGACACCAACTGATAAGACACAAGATGTCATATACAGTAAACCTGTATAAATGGAACACCTTTGGTATATCCAATACAGTGTTCCACTTGCAGTTGCAATTAGAGATTCATTCAACGTGAGACTGAAAAAGGTTCCACTAACAGAGGTGTTCCTCTATACAGGTTTTACATAGCAATACTTAGGGAAGTAGAAATCTCTTTAAGATAAAGACCCCTTGTAATAGTACGTTTAACAGCCCTTTTTATGCAATTTTAGGATAAACATAATGTTCAGGGCAAGAGTGTGTACAGAACAAGATATTAGTTTAAAAAACATGGCCAAGCTTGCACAACAAATACAGCAAAGAAATTCATTGTATTTACCCAACATCTGTATCTAGTTATGGCATCTTCCTCATCATAAGTGATCAAGTAGGACTTCATATCCTCCATCCAGTAGCCGACACATCTCAGTTCCCGATCAGGTTCATCTGGATACACAAAATTACATTATATTTGCCATAGAATAAATTACTTGGTCTCTGATTATTTATCAGTACACATGCACTTTTGAAGAATAATTGAGGAGGTTCTGACAAGAAGGTGGTATGTCTCCATTTAATTGCAGCTTTGTACACAAAATTAATTTTCTTTGTATCAGACACACGCTGCATGTATACTGTACTGCAAAATAACCAGTAGTTAAACCTGTTAATAGCAATAAACTGAGGATGAAAATATGACCCATTCTTACCATATTCTCCAACTGGTCTGCCGGTGTAGTCCACAGTGGAACAATATTCTGAGTCAACAAAGATGGTCTTGATGTCCTTGCTACACACTTCAAACACACTCTCAGTCTCTCTGCAGTCAATGCGATGACGAGGCCTGTCTGTGATACCTCTGATACGAGTGGTGAAGTGTTCCTCTTTGGGACCATGTTGTGTGAACTGGTACCTCCCTGCTATGGGGCACACAATGGGGGAAGGAGGGTCCACTGGAAATATCAAAAAAATTTGATGATTAATTTTTTATTACCAAAGTATGTTGGTAAGAAATTCTAATTTCTTCTTACTAAGAATTGCCAAAGTTTAACTGAAGCAATAACCTTGACTTGCTCATAATAGTATATGTGTTTATAACTAATTTTTATTATCTAACCAGAGTAAATCAAACTATTTCACACTTACAGATATAGGTTCTGTATTTCCATTCAACATTGTCCCTGTCAAATGTAAATGAAGACCAGGTACAAGCTTGTCTGAACTTGCGCACCATGAAGTTAGGTTGGTCCATCTCATCTTTGGTAATACGGAAAGGTTTGCCCATACGGAACCTAATGATATTGTGATGACGAGGGAGGAAGTCAAAGCAGATGAAATCAACCTCACTGAAAAAGATCACAACATATATCAACACATATTTCAATGTGATGTGATAAATACTATCAAGAATCCAGGACACAATAAGTAAAATTATGCTTTAGCAAGACATAGCAGTGAAAAGTATGTTTGAAATTAATTTTTTTCTCTTAAATCAGAACTTGAATGCATTAGGTATAACCAAATTATAATCCAAGGTGATTTCAACTTTACATGTGGTATTTAAGTATTACGAGTCCTTAGACCTTTATTTCAGATTGCAATAAAAATGGCTGCATGGACACTGTGTCAATAACTCACTTTTCCACATTCTACTACATCATACTTACCACTTGCCCACAGTTACAGCTGTGGTGAGGAAACGAGAGTCTCTTGTCTGCTGGCAAGTGAAGTAGGTCTCAATATATGTGAACGCATCAATCTTGGTCTTATAGTAGATATGTGTTGAGTTGATGTACACCTGAGTGTCATATTCCCCAACGGTGAACCACTTCCCTGTGTAGTTACGGGGCAGGTTACAATGTGGTGTTACCATCTGATCCATTGGCACAACTGGAATTAAGATTGGCCACATGAGCAACAAAGCATTATTACAATGAGGTTGTGCTTTTGGAAACACTTTCACTTATCACTTTTAGTAACACCTAAAATAACACTCATATATATAGTGTTCATTTTAAAAGCTTCTAGATTTTAAAAATACATCAATCTACTTAGGTGGTTCAAAAAGTTTTGCAGTTGATGCCATAACTTCAAGGAAAATAGGACTTTTGCAATGAAACTTGGTACACATATGTGTTATACATGTATATTTATACATTATATGGTAAAATTTGGGACCTCAATTCTGATTGGTTCTTGAGATATGGTTGCTATGGTAACCACAGTGGTGGGTACCATGTTCAACCCGAAATTACGTTTTTCCAAATAGTTTTCTTGCTTGAATAAACTCTTTGTAAAGTGGCAATTAGCAGGTTAAGTGTCTTTGGATACTTAAAAAGATAAAAAAAAAGATAAAAGTTCTTATAGAGCAGGACAGACATATTTCATTCGAGGAAATAAGTGATTTTTACTGGATATATCTAAGGGGTCCTGCCATACAATTGTCACAAAGATCTTGAAAAAGCGGTATGTTGCAGCAAAGTGGGTTCCAAAGTTCCTCACAGTGGAGCAAAAGGAAGCGCGTCTTGCAGCATCTAGGCAATTTCTGGATACGTTTTTGCATCATTTCCAAATGCTCCCTGAACCAGTTCATAAGTCTCTTGCAAAGTCTTGCCATTTTGAACCATGCACTGTATCAGATTTCTATGCTTCCATTTCACCAATTTGGTTGGTGTGGACACATCTGCCATTTTGGAAATTTTGGAAAAAAAATTCAAAATTTCCTCACTTTTCCATCTCAATTTTTCAACTGGGTTTTGGACAGTATACATCACAAAGGAACTTATCGTGTCACTTGTCTATTGTGATGTCATAGACACAATTAGAAAAATTGAAGAATTTGAAGAAAAATAGCCAACCAAAAAAAGTAAAAGTCTTATTTTCCTTGAAGTTATGGCATCAACTGCAAAACTTTTTGAACCACCTAAGTATACAATAAAGTATGTGTTTGATATATGTATGTTCAACAATAAGATACATAGTTAAGACACAAAGTGATAAATATGGCACTCTGAGGAGCAAAATGGCCACCATGTTATTAACCAAGCATGCCAAAAACTTGAACAGATCTTGGCACTAGTCTGCTCTTGCACCTGTAAATTTTTAACACATACACACAAGTTAAGTGGTTTTCCGGGAATTTTGCTGACAAGATTTAGGAGACATCTACCCACCTAACCAGATGCATGCATGCCCAGCAGCACATCCACAAATATAGCAATTTTTCAAAGTGTGATAAAAATCATATTGTCTTGTAAAGTGCCACTGAACAACTCACCTGGATTAAGTACCAGCCTGAGAGGACCATCGTAAGGACTCTTCAAAGTAGAGCATTCAGGGGTGTTTGACATGGTATATCTACGCTTGTTGTCAGTACGTTGCTGGTCATCTCGAGTCAACTGAAAATATACAAGAGAAATTTAATCATTGCAATGTGTATAACAAGACATTTTAACATGCAAAATGTCACCACCTGGCTTGTTACAGATGCTTAACCCCAATCACCAAACACCAACTGCCGAACATTCACAAAAAAAGTTGGGAGACCACTTTTGGTGGTGACATAAGAACATGGTAGCTAAATGTGAAATTGGAAGCATTTCAACTAATCAAAACCAGAGTCAAAAATCCTATCAGTTTGTCAAGTATTTCATCTTGATTTGCAGAGATTTTGCGACATGAATCCAAAATGACAACCTTCAGATTTACACCCATTATGCCAGAAAACTAATAATCAGTCGTAGATTTTCATACCCAGAAACATAACTAAAAATGCACTAACAAAACTGTGAATGGAAGTATACTCACAAAGCATCTAAATCTCTCCCTGATGATTTCCTGTCCCGTATTTAAAGCTGCAGCAAATACGTTGCCATAGTTATCTCGCCAGCTTCCCATACATTGGAACCGAATTTCTGAAAAATACATATACAATATGCATAATTTTGTTTTTGTGTATGTATTTGTGCATATACTTTAAAATGTGAATTGTAAACACCTTTTAGATATCCATCTGAATCAGTTACATAAAAGTATAATTTCAATGAAACAGAAAACCCAAAAATGTCATAAACGATAAATTTTGTTGTATTCAAAATTTTAAAAAATATTTTTAAAATAATGAGTGGGGATTCCACAAGCTCAAAAGAAGACCCCAAAACATCACTACATCCCAGACCCAAAAATTCATGCAGAAACAAACGTTATGCTTTGAAATGTTACTTCTAGACATTAACAAAGGGCAAAAGTACATGTATATTGAAAACAAACTTACGATCAGTTGAGGAAGTACTGACATCAGGACAGTACCCAAACTTCATCAAGAACACTTCATTGTCCACATAAGGTGAACCAGGCTCCTGACAGGCAACAATTTTACTGGTAGAGCTGTCACAGATACCACCTCCTCCAATGTCTACTTCATATGTAAACTGGAACACTCCCTCAAACATAGTTTTGCAGTTTACAGTTAATAATGATTTTCCTGAAAGTAAATGATTCAAATTGATTAAAATGTTTGGGAAAAGGAATGACTGTTAACTGCTGAACCATTTAATGAGCATAATAAAAAATATTGTAATTTAATTATCAAGGATTATTTTAATGTATGAAGATATGTCCTCCTATGGAAAGCAAGTGCGAACAATGAAACAATGTATTAGGACAACAATTGAAAGTATAGTAAATAAATCATTTTTTCATAAATCATTAAAAATCAATAAAAGTAATAATGTTCTGTTTAGTGTAAATGAAGGAATTTCAAGTATTTCTTATGCCTAGTATAGCTAGTCTGTTTGTAAGTTTGTATTTACATCAACTGACATACTTTTGTTATATCAGTCTTGTCTTCTTCAAAATTTGATTATTTCTATACATTCGAAAACTTACTGAACATGGTTAACATTGCATTTTGTGGTAGAATATCCCGACAAACATCTTCAAGTTTGGCATCAGTACGGGAATCACATGTTGCTGCAATTCAAACAGAAAATCAGTTGAATGAGAGTTGGGACACACATGATGACACAAAAAAGTGCCATCCACCTCAAATTGAATAACTTTTTTGTCTATATGATTCCTGATTTCTTCTTTTGCACATTTAAACGGACTTCATGGAGCAACTCTTCAAGAAGTCTCAGATGACAAGATCAATTATGTGGAGTTTTATGATGGTTACAAGATGTGATCTAAATGTCGTCCATTCCATGGCACACTTCTGGATTTTTTATTGGCAGTTATTGACCACATTCGCCTGACATAAACCCACAAGATTTTTATCTCTCGGGGTACTTGAAGGATCATATGTGTATGTAACAAACCCCCAAACCACAGAACACCTGAAGATAGAGATCACAAGATCCATTTCTGTGGGGAATGTGTTAAGGTTATCAATAACTTTACCCATAGAATGCAGGTGTACCTAACATTTAAAGAAAATCTTATAAAGCTCATGAAACTGCATCCAGTTGAGCTAGTCATCTGAAACTTCTCGTGGAGTTGCTCCATGAAGTTCAGTTTTACTTTGCAAAAAAAGAAAGCAAGGAATCATATAGATGAAAAAGTTATTTAACATAATGTGGATGGCACTTTTTTGTGTCACCCTGTACATGTATTCTGATTGTGCATATATCCAACTGCAAAAGGTCTTTCTAAATAACTGTACCCTTCTCAGCAACCAATCTTAAACTGTGTGCCTTATTTAAACAAGTTGTCGCAAATACAAACAATTTTGTTTAGTTGATTTATTCAGAAATGATAGAGCTTTATCATAGGTAAAAAATTTAGGTGAATGAATTTAATCAAATACTGTAGTTCATCTAAATTGCTTATGCATTCTTTGTGCTTTTCATTGGAATTTATAATTTTATGTTCCAATCAGGAAAATTGAGCTACTGTGACATGCTTTAAGGATCATATAAACTTACACATTTTATTTTCCACTATATTTGGAGTCCTATAGTACAGCTCATAACATTTGTAGCAGTTACTTGATCTGAAAGACAAGATATTATCCATAAGATCAAATATTTCAGTGATCTCCACAGCATTTAAGAAAGTGGACACAGCAACCACCTGAGATTTTGAAGATAGGCTTGCACCCACCCGAAAATCCATTTGCACCCACTTGAAAATGAGAAAAAATCATGAAAAATTGGCATATTTTGGCCAATTTTTGTCTGAATTGTGAAAATGAAAATTTTGCACCCACCTGAGAAAAAAGCCTGAGGTGATCACTATATTTACAAGAAAATTATTTTGTGGTCAGACTTAAAAATGAATTTTATAGTTCTTCGATTCACATTCCGCACAGACACATGGTTCAATGTTTAAAATCTAAGAAAATTATGAAAAACTGATACCATACTCAAATGAGGCAATATTGTTGAAATATTATTGTTCAAACAAAGTACACTCTTACATAATTTACTAGACAACAGCAACCCCAAACGTAGCAAATCCCATCAAACAGCCATGACTGGCATTTTTACATAACAAAAATGGCTACCTTTAAAATTGTCATTAGTCTTAGACAGTGTGACATGCTTATAGTACAGTTTTCACATACCAAATATGAACTAAATTGCTCCACTGCTTTTCGAGTAATAGTAAAATACGTTAAAATGGTGGCCATTATGAAAAATGGCCATCTTCTACCAAAAGTGTCATTAGACAGTTTGCCATGCTTATAGTATTCACACACCAAATATGAACAAAATTGCTCCACTAGTTTTCGAGTTATAGTGAACATGTTAAAATGGCCCCCATTTTGAAAAATGGCTGCCTTCTACCAAAAGTGTCATTAGACAGTGTGTCATACTTATAGTATTCACATACCAAATATGAGCAAAATCGCTCCACTACTTTTCGAGTTATAATAAAATATGTTAAAATAAAGAGTAAAGGCCGCCATTTTTCAAGATGGCTGCCATGTGCTTCTTTAATATCTAGATTTCTAGCTTTATTAATACCCTATATAATTTTTTTACACTTAAAACATATTGCTATTACAGTTTTACATATTGTACCTAAATTACTGTAAAACCGGCACCAACATGGCCGCCATTTTTAAACGAGCAGCCATTTTGAAAATCGACTTTCGAGCAGAACTTCTATCCCCATAGGGTTTATGTGTACAAAATATGAACAAAATCGGGCCAACAGTATTTGAGTTATTGCCTGGACGGATGGACACATTCCCTATATCCCTCCAAACTTCGTCTGATGGGATAATAACAATTGAGGCTAAATTTTAATCCAAATACTAGTTCTGCCATTTAATTCAACGAAAACCATCATTTTTATATGTTTTATATTATCCATGAGTTAGTTGTTGAATCATATACATGGTCACTGGTCAGGACTGTCAGGACTGTACTTACTGGTCATAAAACAATATTTTACTGTCAAACTTTCCATCAGCATCTATTGTCTGATTATCATTTCTAATGTCTATACATTTGCCAGTGAAGAGCTTGTTACTGATGCCCTCTGAGTTAATAATGTGATCAATGTCTTCACCATTCTCCATTGTATACCAGTCTCCCCAGAAGTGGTCTGGAACTGAACATGATCTAGCTCCTTGTGCATCTAGAAAATAGGAAAGAACAGATTAGATTAATAATATTAATTATATACACTTTATGTCGATTACAGTTAAATATTGATATACGTATCTTTAAACTGCTAAAATAGTGTACAGTCTAAGGCAGGGAAATGTAATTCTATCAAACCTAAAAAGAAACAATTAAAGGTCATGGTGTAATGCAATATAACATGAAACAAGATTTATGGAGCACCCATCCAGATACACGCATACATGCCCATCAGCACAAGTCAACCAAATAGCACTTTTCATTGTCATTCACATTTTAGGTTAAAATGTAAAAGCGCACTTATTAAAAATTGTACCTTTTGGGAATCTGCAACTGGTTAAGTATTTTGGTTCAGTTGTAGACAGATATGTACACTCACTGATAAGTCTTCATTGCATGATGTGAAAGTTAAGGGACTCATAAACATGTTAGAAGTCATAATTTTGAAAAGGTAGAGATTTGAAAGGACATTTCAAATATTGCCACTCAAGCTTTTTTTTATTTGATTGAAATGTTGACTCATCACGTGTATATATACGTATTTAAACGTAATTGGCTTTAAAATACATATTTGGTACTCGTATATACAGTGCTGATACAAAATAATTGATAAGTCGTATAGTTGGCATATTTTCTTGAATTTTAACTTTTAATGTCCCAAACTGCAGAAAAGTATACACTATAAATCATATTTTCCAAAAGAGTGTCTCCAAGGCTTCATACCAACGTATGTATAATGCATTTGTCACGAGTTTGAGCTGAAATTTCGCCAAAATGAAGTAAGGGTAATATCCGCCAGGTTTGTTTACTGTGGTTAGCTTTTAGTGGTAAGTGTTCAGAAGCAAATAATTCATGTGCGCCAAATAATCAAATAATCTGATTGGTTTTAACTTTAGTGTGCATGCGCATGATGTGTGCCATGTTTTTTTTCTTGTGATTTTGTTTCGTTTCATGGAGTTTGTATTTTAGTGTAACTTCCACAAATATGGTGGACCAATGACAGAATTCACTTCGAAATTTAAGCGACCTTTTTACCTATAATAGCAAAACGTTTGTTTTATTTGTATATTCTATCTCACAGGCTGGTATCGAAAAATTTGTCCGCTGTGACGGAGCGTGCTATTTTGCATAGAATCACTAGGAAATCCACACAATTTATTTTTTTACTCATATGTTTTGCTATATCAAAGAAAATTACTGACTCCATGCAATGGATATATCATTTGCGGGTAACTTTAAATTATGTTTGAAGTCTAACAACGTTATGAGTAAAAGCTATTGAAAACGGCGTCGGAGTATCATACTCCAAAATGTACCATTTCTTTTATTTCTTTTTAATGGTACAATATAGCGACACGATAATATTTACATATGTTTTCAGCATAACTCTGAAGGTATTACTGAGATCTTTATGTATTGGCTATTTTTAATTTTTTTGGATAAAAAATAATAATTAATTTTTTTGTCCGCTGTGACGGAGCAGTTTCAAATCTGAAATGCGTTAAGAATTTAGATTCATAATATATTTCTTTACAACTAAACTTTAGAGGAGCGAGCGTGTCAAATCTCTTTCGTAAAGTATTCTGAAAAATGAAACGTAATAAAAGTACACAATTCAAATTCTGAGATGTATATACGACCACTCTTTAAGCTTCTTTTCTCAGTTTGTACTGCAATCCAACTTATGCATGGTAACTCATGAAAATGATAGTCAACTTCCATTTCAGTAAAGGGTATTTGCCTTTCGTAGTGCCCTCTGTGGATCCATCCGCCTGACATGGTCATTTTTTACGGTAACTTAATTATTTGAAGTAAAATGATTTGCTGAAGATGAAGCTAAATACATATAATGGTATGGACTGTGGATTGTTCTACCCTCTTTAGTCGTTCCAAAAGGTAAGTTGAATGTATCTTGAAATACGAAAATGCAAAATTTGATTTTAAGATCGTTCTTTATTTGACTAAGAGTTATGGCTATCTGATGCAACTACAGTAAAATATGTGTACAGTGAACACATGTGGAGCCCAACAATGTGTTCCCAGTTGGTATAGATGTTCACTCCATAGAGGCAATTTCATACAGAAGTCAGAGGAATATTTGATAAGAAGAGGTGTTCACTAGAGAAAGATATTCATTGATACAGGTTTTACAGTGCAGCACGTTTACAAAGACTTTTTTTATATATTATATTTTTTTATGCAAAACGATGAATTTCATGAATTTCAAATAATTGCAAATTAAATCTGTATTGGGATCATCTTATATACAGTAATATAATATTATGTGGTAAAAGGTTATACATCTGTCGGCATGCACGTCTGTGCGCTATTTCGAATAAGTAAATTCATATTAGCCCTATTTACACTACACGTGTCATTTCAAGACGTCTAGGCGAAAACGTATTAGAAATATTATGTTGAGTTTACATCATGTTGATTTCAGTACAAACCTCCGAAAAATACTAAGAGTGGTCATTTTTATATCTCAGATTTACATTACCCCATATCTCCAAGAGGCTGCTTGTCATTATTTAGGAAAGTGATTTGTGACGTTCTCTCTTCTAAGGGTACTTTTAAAAGATATAATTTGAATCTTAAATTCTTAACTGCTCCGTCACAGCGGACAAAAAATGTAAACATTATTTTTTATAAAAAATATTAAAAATACCCAATACATCAAGATATCATTTATACCTTCAGAGTTATGCTGAAAACATATGTAAATATTATCGTGTCACTATATTGTACCATTAAAAAGAAATAAAACAAATGGTACATTTTGGAGTATGATACCCTGGCACCGTTTTCAATAGCTTTTACTCTTAGCGTTGTTGGACTTCAAACAAAAGTTAAAATTACCGCAAATGATATACTCATTGCATGGAGTAAGAAATTTTCTTTGGTATAGCGAAACATATGAGTAAAAAAATAAATTGTGTGGGTTTCTTAGTGTTTCTATGCAAAATAGCACGCTCCGTCACAGCGGACACATTTTTCGATACCAGCCTGTGTATCTATCTATAAGAGTCTCAGGGGTACATAGACAAATCCATTTTGGTAGGAGCTCTCTGTTTAGTTTGAAAACTCACCCTTTATTATTTTGTATCAGCACAATACAAACAATTTATTCCAAATTTTGTCACTTGTGTTCTTATCAACAGCGATATGTACAGGGATAGAACATTACTGGGCCTCTAGGAAGACCAGTTTTGTACTGATAGAGGGACCCAGAATAAATATAGTTTTCAAATCAAATCAAATATCGACTGCGGTAACTCTTTCAACTTTTTAGCCAAGACTATGTTTTGGTCATAATCATTGCTTTGGTGTGTATTGCACATTACAAATTTACTTCAGTTGGTTCTGAAAACTCTCAACATTATTTTAACACTAAATCTAAACGCTTTTATGATTACCATTTTTTAAATTCTTCAGGGAAAAGATTTACACCTTGACCTACTTTTACCTGTGATCAATTACTTGTACTAACTAAGGCCCTTACACTATTTGCCAGTTATTTTGCCGGTTATATTTGGATTAGGAATAAATGCAACGAGAAATTAACCTTTTTTCAAATGATTTTATAACTTTTCTAAACTTGATTGCAATTTTCAAAGATGGTTGCACAGGTGCGAAAATCACTTCCTGAAAGTCGTTTATCTTCCATTAATACATCTCCATACGTTTTAAAACTCACTAATTAGAACAACAATGCCAAAAGCTCATTACTTAATATAGACTTACCTGTATAATGACATAGATGTGCAAGATATAAGACTGCAAATGCGGCCAAGCTCAAGAGTATTTTCGCCGCCATTTTACCTGTTACTCATTCAGACCCCTTGCATAGTCATAAGAAATGTTTGCAAATAAGAAACAAGAAATCAAACCCAATTGTGTAACTATCTAACGTATGTTTATGTGAGGAAATGTGTCCCATAACAATACATTCCTTGAAGATTAGCGAGAGGGTCGTTGTTGTTTGTCATTTATTTCTAAAAAAAAAAAAACTCATCATCACATGTGGGGTCCTTATTTCACCTATTTTACCTGTATCTTATGCTGCCATCTTTAAATAAGGATAAAAGTTAAAGCATTTTATAAACCGATACATATGTAATAAGGTAATGTTATTACTGTATTACTTTCTCTCCTAAACAATTGAATAATTTACAGCATATCAATATGGTAACTTGCACCATATTAATGATATTAATCAACGATACTTCCCAGTCTTGTGTTTTTATTGATTTAATTTTAAAAGACAGCCAGTCATCATTTCAGGATCTATAGGACCAATTTGGAATAACAAGCCTTTGTGACTCCCAACTACACATCCCATCCTTGCGTTAGGTATTTAGTCTTGTAAAGGAGGGGGGGGGGGCGTCACAGGGATTTGTAGGTAGACTAAATCAAATCTTAGGTCAATTTAGGCAGTTGCATCTTTCAGCAAAACCATCCAAATGCAGTTTGAGCAAGATAAGAACAACCAACACATTCAGTGTATTTGGGACGAAATGAACTTGATGTAAGTGAATGCAATTTGTTCTGGTTGTTTACCTTTTATTATTTTAAAACAGAACATGAACAGAACAACATGTTTATAATTATGTGTCGTGATCTAGATCATGCATCAATTAATTTCTATTGCTCTGCATGTCACTGATATATTGAAGGAGAAATACATTGCAAATAAATTGCCTTCTCTCAAATCATCTTTGGTAGTGTTGACAGTTCAGTGGTTATAAACAAAGAAAGGGACAATCTGTATTATTGTTTTATAACATATCATATATTTTATATATATATATCATTTCATTCATAATCAACATTTACATAATTTACATTATATGTATCATATACATCTATTCAATTCATATAAAATTGTAAACACCATATGGAACCACACTACTAACAATACTATATACAATAATCACATATATCAGGCCCGTAGCCAGGATTTGCCAAGGGGGGGTTCAGTTTTCAAAAATTTCCAGGGGGGGGTTCACATTTGACAATTTTGGCTCAAATATGGCTAAAATCACTTGAGAAGTGCTCAAAATGGTGAAAAACCGCATGATTTTGAAATAATTTTTGGCCAGGGGGGGTTACGGCTACGGGCCTGTATATGAGGGTTGTTTTAATGTAACATTTACAAGACACTTGGAAACTGATGAATACTATTCATATATCAATTTACCCCATACTAAAACAGATAATAATGCTAATTATGATAAATAATGACCTAACATCAACTTACTTATTGAGTAACATTAGCAGTATAAAATAAAACATTTTATAAGCTTATTGCCTCTTTAAATTGTTAATTTGATATGATTATGTTTACATTATTATTATAATCAGGAAATCTAGCAGGGTGGAGAGACTTTTATTTTGTGATACCATTGATTTTTGCAATATAGAAGTCTTAGATTAGTAAAAGTTCTAGATTCATAATGAAGAGTTCAAATATATTGAAATACATTGATGTTTTGCCCCGATCCCTGATCTAAATTCCATTTACAATGAAATAACCATTTAGGTTTTAGTATGAAAATATATATTGAAAAACATTGATGGTTTGCCCTTATCCCTGATCTAAGCCAAAAGTCCTAGATTTAATATGAAACTACCATTCAAGGCTTTAGTATAAAGAGGAGTAAAATATATTGAAAGACATTGATGTTTTGAAAGCAAAATCAATCAATGATATAGATAAATATGATACTGCATATTGGCAGTATTCTATTCTAAGCAGATAAATATTCTAATATGTATATATATTTTTGGAATTCAAGAAAGTCTCAAGTCAGACTTTGGTACAAGTATCACCAGATCTTTTTTCATGAAAGACAAAAAAACTGTTGAGCTGTTGAGGGCAGACATATTTTGTATATCCTCTAAGGATACCAATCCTGGCAAGAGTGATCAGATCATTTAGATAATATTTCTATATTATGTCAATATGAGATTGTAATATACAGCTGTCACATGTTGGTTTACTGTCTTTAATATTGTAAAAATTCATAACTTATTGTGCTCCTTTTTAAAATTGATTTAGCATACAAAATAATTCTAAGTTTGGGTCTAAAGGGGCAGCAAATGATAGTTTAACATGGTGGAATCAATATTTTCAAAAGACGTGTCAATGAGCCCTTTTTAAAATCTGAAAAAATATTGAGAGATGTCCGATTAAATATGGCAGTGTGTTGTTGTGAACTTGCACAACATGATTTTATTTAGATTAAATGTGTAATATCATAATAAAAACTAAGGCATTTGTCAGAGTTCTTCGAATTTCTAGATATACACATGATAAGGTAATTGGTAAAAAGCTACTCTCAGCTTATCTCTCTTATTTGCTGCCTCTTTAACCCTAACCGCATATAATCTATTCACATTATAATATGCATGTACTATGGAAATAGCAAGTGATTGACACAATGTCACATAAATAACCATATCTACTACAATAACCTATTCACCAAATAATATACAATTTCACATGCCTACAAGTACCATGGTTACAAAAAATCCACTAAAGCAGACAAAATATATGAGAAATACTCCTCAATCTGTACATTTTTTTCATTTTCTGATTCAGAGCCTGCAAAAGACAAGGTGAGGATAATATAAGCACCTAGTGCAGAGTCATCAGTCATTTTTGAATTTGAATGTATGATATAGGGGAAATCCGTCTAACTTCGACGATGGGGTTACTTCGTCATAGGACTATTTTGACCATGGGGCTATTTTCGACATTTGCTCACATTTCTGATTCACGAAGTCCACCATGTTTGTTTTTGAAAAATTTTAAATCTCCAACAGGCGAGATCTTAATACAAGATGGATGACCCCGGAAATATGAATTATCGGCAATTGTCGAAATAACCCCATGGTCGAAGTAGCCCCATGACGAAGTAACCCCATACGTCGAAATTCAATGGATCTCCCCTACATGTATTTTAAAATCAATTAAACAGGGTTAATGAAAGTTTTAAAAATGTAATTCATTTTATAGTCACATAGTGGGCATTAAACCTCTCTCCCACATATGACATTTTGTACCACAAACATGTACATATAACATAATTTAAAACACAGCTGTTTGAATATGACTGTTGGCACCGCACCGAGGGCTCAATTATCTGCACCAGGTGATTTTAGCTGGCTCAGACTGCACAGGGTGTCGTTGGTGACTTGAAAAATGGCAAGCCACAACTTGGTTTGATTCTTATGTACTGGATAAGCATGTAAACATTGCTCAAATAAAACAAAAGGTGATGGTCAAACTAAAAACATTTCAGATGCGTACCTGAGTTTTTACATGAAGGCAGATTGAATATCGATTAATTTTGTAACATGCTATTTAGCACAAAGAGAAACTCGCAAAAGGTTGCCATCTATTGACCTTAGATTATTTCAACTAACTTTGCCAGTACATCTTACAATTCCAAGGAGTATATGAATGTTGGGTGTAAAAAAGCAGACTAATTTTGGAATGATGACAAACAATATTCCATACTTTCTAGCAGATCTTATTTACAACTCTGTAAAAGATTTATAAAATACATTCAGAGTATTTATAATCTATTTTCGGAAAAATATATGTCTGAAAATTCTGTTGTGTATTAAACAGTTACAACTGCAACCATTCACCATAGTAACTGTAGAGTGAAACATCTAATGGCATTCTTATTAAACATATATTTTAAAAAATAGTATGCTATTTGTTTTTACAAAGCTTTATAATGTACATGTATCAATATACAAATACACTTGAAATGTATTTTCTAGATTGGATAAAATTGGAATAAACGTACAAGTAGGTCAATATAAGCAAGGATGACCTTTGTATTTGGGACTCGCATCTGGGTTCTACCTTATTCCTCAAACCAAAAGCATGACATCTCAAAGAAGAAATGACAGAATTGGTACATTTATGTCGGGCTACTTCATCAAACAAGTGCTAATTTACGCCATCATATCGTAAAATGAGACCAATGTCGTAATTATGACTATGGACTGTGGAACTATCAGATATTAAAATACTATAGCTTGAATAATACATTCACTGGTATTTTGTTGCATTGCAATTTTATCAAAAGAGATGCTAACATCTAATTCACCGTAGTAATATCTAACGATGTACATGTATCTGCAAAAAGTCATTTCAATAAAAAAAAATACGGATAAAAATATTTTGTTTGTATAAGTTAATGTTTCAACAAAACTATGTCAAAAACTCAGATGCGAGTAGGTAGTTACCAGTTTCACCACCAGGTGACTCATTCGGGTCAGATAACATGGCTGGTATAGTGGAAAGTTCCCCTTTAACTCAAATATTCATCAGTTTCAGTGGTTCAATTTTCATATCAACCTTATGTATCTAATAGTTATGCAAATCAAAATATGTCCAGTGAAAGAAAATATTATCTATCCAATACAGAAAAGATATTTCACTTTTTGTGATTTTATTTAATGACGATTATTCCTACTCGCACCTATTCTAATAAAGCTTCTGACAAAAAATTAACATTTTTAAAAAATGTAAAATAAAATCATGGTTTATACTTCCATATCATCCATTTCAATATCACAGAATTGCAGATGCAACAAAATAATACCATGGTGATGACACATCTTTTTGATATCTCTCATTCATTTTTCTTCAAAATGTACATGTAATACTCCGCAAATATGACTATATATGATTATGGCTCCTTGTAGTCATGATGATGATTACTTTGATGTGGTCATGGCCATTCAGATCTATTCAAACTGGTCATAACCGGAACCTGTCCCCACGTCATCCTTAAAGCTTGGCTGAAACAGAAAGCATTTGGTTTTTATAATCAAAAGCAATTAAACATGATACATGATAAGTATTGTTTGTAACTACACACTGTTCACAAAAGGAACTAACTGTGTCTAGTTGATAGCACATAATACATGCATACCATATCATACCAAATTGTAGCTAAACTTCGGAACTTTTTTCATAGTAGGGGGGATTTATTTCAAGTTTGTAGAAAATATGAAGGTACATAACATAGACACTGCATGTATTGGCATTGAAGGACCTAATCCACCACCATTCAATAATCAATATAGGTAGGGGGACATCTAAAGATGGTACAATTTTTTTTATCTTTATTGTTAGGTTATTGGTTTATTTTCAGCCTAAACACATATTATATAGTTTACAATAATGTTGAGGACCTAGGCTAAAGAATCATTAATGGGGCCCCTCATGACGTAAACTTTTGTTAAAAAAATAATAAGACAGTTCAGTATGTGAAATGTACAGCAATGACAGATGGATGGTATCCAGGTCAGCCATGTTACCCAGAGTATGAATGATGAATCTTGGGATGGGGGTGATAGGGTCATTGTAATATCCCATCTATGGATATGAATATAATGGCAGCATTGCTCTTTACCCCACTCATCTGAAGTTTTTTCGTTCAAACATTTAAAGAGTTTAGCTTTGCTAGTATCAAATACAACAAAACTAGACAGTGAAGGCTACTATGTAATGAAGCCGAAGTGTTCTCTGGGGCAGTGCCATGAGATAGCATGTGACAATTTGGAATCATGATTTCAGTTCAGAATGAAAAAACACCATTCACTAAAATTTTTGTTTTTTCATGCTTTAGAACATAAATGCATCTACAACAAAATAAGATAAGAAAAGACTGTCAACATTTCAGATATTTGACTGAGATGGAGAATTATTTGCCTAAAACAAGGTACACGGTATGTACAGTACATTGAGATTGGATTGAGAGAGTTCCCTTATTTACTATCTCCATAATCACGGTGCCCGATACTACCCAACGTAAATCATTCCGGACTTGTTTTTCACTTGTTTTTCATAACCATTTGGACTCATTTTGAAAGGGAATGAGATGAGTCATTCAGCAGAATGGCTCAAAAAGATATTGCAATTCAATCGTTTAGAAAAATACATATATTAACTTCTACCTAAGACATTCTTTTTCATACCCACGTATCTATTTTGGCGATTGTGCCATCATAGATCATATTTATCGGCATTAAATAACAAAAAGTGCCAGAAATATGCTCTAAATCTCCATTAGTGTCATTTTACCAGGTTTAAACAAAAAATCATTTTATATCGTGGAACACTATCCACTACATTAAAGATCGTGTTAATATCTTAAGTATCTGTACCTTCAATTTGCCATAAATGTCCGAAATGAAAAAAGTTGAGTTAACGACGGCGAATGGTCATTATTCTGACACGGACTTGTCTTGTTATCACTGGGTGAACGACTGTGAATTGTAAACTTAATGCTTTCGACGTAATAAAAATATAATGATTTGGAATTGTCTTGTATTCATACGTTCTGTTGCTTGATAATTTGTCTATTCTTTTGGAAAAGTTGCATTTGGTATGTTTTTGTATTCTTTTCAAAAAATATGTGGGGCTCAAATTATTACTGTAAGTTTACAGTAAATCCTGTCTTAGTGGACACCTCTCTCGTAAAGAGGTAAAACCTATAGATTTAGGCCATTAAATAATTTAGTGCATTGAAAGTTAAAGGGAGAGTCTAAAGTTGTTAACAATCCAGAGGCAAACTAGTTGATTTTTAACAGTGTAATGACCTTCGTTATCAAGTCGCTACTATAGTCTCAGCTGTGGTGGCTAACCTTTATGGCTCAGGGGTAGAACGTCTGACTCGAGAGCGGGAGGTCCTGGGTTCGATTCCCGTACGGGGCGTTGAATTTAGCACATCCTCTTTCGAGTAGTATCTGGCTTGGTACACTATAGCTCCCTGACTAGCGTGCCCAGGGGCCGTTACAACAGTAAATAACGATTAAAACTGATTATTTCTTCTCAACTTTCACTAGACTTCTTGCTTAGCATTAATGTGAGCATGGAAGTCAGTTTAAAGCCAATAAGGGTGTTTTAAAGTCTTATTTGAGGCAAACTTATGCTCACATTTTTCATATTCAAAATAGCGACGAGTGTCTTTAAAAAAGCGAAGAGGCAAAACACAAGATAAAGTAAAAAATCAATTTTTCTCTCTACATGCATTCTTGCCCCTTGAAAGTATCAAGTAAAGAACAATAACGACAATTGCTACTCATTTAAACCATTTTAAATCATGATTTTCGTTCACAATATGGCTACTTTCATTATGAATCGGTGTATTCATTGGATACAAGGCAGGCTGGTGATTATCTATCAAAATGAGCAGAATCGCTCACATCCCGAAAATAACAAGACTTTAGCAAACAGTTGGACAAAAAAGGCGTTTGCGGGTGCCTGAAGTAAGGGTATATAGTATGGTAAGTTATCTAATTGTATTATATTTACATAAAGTCAAGTGAAAGCAATTTTATAACCAAATTTACAAACATACCTCTACTTTTTTCCATAAATCAAGTCCAAATGGTTATGAAAAACAAGTCCGGAACGATTAACATTGGGTAGTATCGGACACCGTGATAATGATTTAGGTTAAAAGAGAGAGTAAAGTTTAGCATGTATTGCCTTGGTAAGAACCATGACTAGCACTTACACAAAAATTTTATGATTTTTATAACAATTAACAGTACCATAAGTACGTCAATGAATAATGAGTTTACGATAAGAACCACCACCAATTTTGAGGTAAATCCAGGGGTACATCTAAGTAAGCATATTGCCAGTCAGTTTACCTGAGAATTTGTATTGTCTCCAGGTGTTTCAGATTTAGGATTTAGCTGCATTTAATCAAAAGAAATGACTTCAACCAGATAGTGACAAACATAATCTATCAAGAGCTTTATACATCATGCAAAATCACTATCAGTATCAAGCGAAGGTAACAGCCGTAACCTTCGCACCTTAGATTGCGGATGGTAATTGACGATTTAGATATTTTTAGTGTTCATTGCATTGAATTAAACTACTTTATAGTTGACATGATGATAATTCGATGCAATATCGAAATCGACATTTACCATCCACCATCTTACAGTGAAGGTCAAAGCCATTACTTTTGCTTGATACTGACTGGTGAAAATGAGAATTTTGCTTCATTATCTCAAAATATTTGTGTCTTTATTATTAATTCTGCATACTACATATTCCTTCTGTGCATGCATGCCTCAATAATGCCTTCTTTATTATTCTGAACCACCTCTTCCAAGCCAATATATTTTGATTGGCCGAACATAAATAGTGCCTGGCTTACATTGGTGCCCCCACTTCCTACATGCCTATCATATTTTGACCCTCCCCCCTTAGAAATAAGAATAGTTCTTGTCTTATTCTGCACCTCCCTTATATGGATACCCCCTCCCTCATATATGCAATGCTTGCCTTATACTGCACCTCCCCTCTGGACCTCCCCCTATATGCCTGTCATTGTCTAGTGCCCCTCTCTATACATGCCTGCCTTATTCAAGTCCCCATACTATGATACATGCCTGTCATACTCCAATGCGCCCCCCCCCCCCTCCCTTATATGCCCTGACTTATTCCTGTGCCTCCTCCCACACATGCTTCACTTACATTTATGGAATGAGATGGAAATGTTATGCTACTAAGCTGCAAGTACATTAATAAACAGGCAGCTCATCTAAGATATTGTAGAGTGGGGCCTGCATCCTTACCATCTATGCGAACAGGGAATTGCAATACAATAATAATCAACAATAATTTGGATGGAAAAAGCCTATATTCATATATACACGTACACTACTATTATACAACATATGCTGAGAGACAAAAATACACCTAACGTGTACTATAAGTAATGGCCCAGTGATCTCTCCATGTCACTTCTACTGGGAGCCCCTACTTGAAACCAAATGCCACCCAGTTGGCACCTTGTACTTCAACTTCTGATTTGAAAAATAAGTCAAGTAAGCAGCCATCTGGAGATTTTTTAAGATTTGAAAAATTGCACCCAGTTGGGGAGAACTGTGGCCATTTTGAAAATTCTGCCATGTACATCGTTCCACAAAATACATGTACACTCTAAAAACGAGTGTTGTTATGTTAACGTGTTAATGTGTTTGTTTTTGGTATATTAACACATTGATGCGTAATTACAGGAGCTTTTTTAACACGAGGCGTTTGCTTTTTAACTACGTTTTTGACAAGCGTTTTTCCTGTGTTAAGCGTTAAATAACTGTTTTGGATTTTCTTTGAAACACTTTTATTAACACTGTAACACTTGAAAAACGCATTTAAACTATCAACGCTTCAAAAACGCCTCACGTTTATAACGAGATGCGCATACGCAGTCTTTTCTAACGATATCCGGTCACAAGGGCAGGCCTGTCAACTGTCCCGCAATTTGCGTATTTGTCACGCATTTGCTGAATAATTTGAAGTCACGCCAGTTATTTTTGCGTGACAGAAAATGTCACGCAAATACGCATTTTATCTGGTAATTGTCAAGCAAAAATATTTCTGTAGAAAATTTTTTAAAAACGATCGTCTACACAGCAAAAATACGAACGACGGGAAAAAACGTACGCATTTCGTTCGGAATTTTCACGCGAATTACGGATATGTCACGCATTCCGTTCGAAATTTTTCGTACCTATAATACCAAGGAACACGATAGACATGTATATTAAATGATACACTAAATGTGTGTCTCATAATTCCCACATGAAAAATGTCAAGATGCTTCGTTGATATTTCAAAATGGCGGATGTCCAACCCGAATAAACACAAAGCGTTGAAATACATTGTTGATCGCATTCCTTGGTACTACGGATATTCGAAGAGAGAAAAAGTGAACCATTGAATAAAACTTGAAAAAATGAAGAAACAGATATTACCAATTTTGTCTGCACCCTTATGACAGGATATTTTTAAGTGTTTCAGAAGTGTTTAACATTAACACTTTTTTTAACACATTGTTGGAGATAAACACGTTTCGTATTAATTATCTGTTGCAAGCCCTGAAACACGTTTTTGTGTTAAAAAAAAAACACATGAACATGTTATAATGTATAATTTAAATACACTTAAATATTAACGTCGAAACGTGTTAATTAATATAGTATTAACATTAAAACGTGTTAATTATCTGTTGCAAATAAGTGTTAAAACAAGCGTTGTTTTGGCGTTTCCAGTTTTTAGAGTGTAGTCCCAACAGGGTTCTCACCAGGAAATTTTTAGATCCCAGATTTTTAGCGGTATTATGACTACTTTTTTCGTGGTATCGTGACTACTTCTCCCCCATGTGAGATCAGAGATATCCTATTAGTATACTTTTCAACATACTTCTTAAGATTATCTTGCTATTTTAATCCCAATATTTATTTCTAACACCCCAGTCACATTTGTCGCACGGCGGCCGTAAGTCGACCGCAGATCAATTAAATCAGTGTATTTCTGCGGCGAGCGTAGGAATAATAACTCGGAGTTATAATATTTGTTCATTTCTGAGGTCCCCGTAGAAATCAACTGGCTCAACAAGATTGAATCATTATTTGTCAATGTTTCACGATCACTTTTCATTTGGTATTACATCCTAGCACTATGAATAACATTTATAAATTGTCCTGATGTAAATAAAATGAAAAAAAGTATTATTTATCAACAGAAATTTAAAATTCACCGTGCAGCTGCCGTGGGAAATGTGACTGCAAAAATGATAGACCGCACGGCGGCCATGGGAAATGTGACTGGGGTGTAAAAGGTTTCTGACTTCCTATGCCTTGTTTGTATCCAGTTTTATGTATTTTCTCAAGAGTTTTACCGCAAATAATGTGACAAAAATGTAAAATTAGACTCCGGAAAAAACACTTTAGACTCCAGAAAAGCTATTAGACTCTGGAGCAAGAGGGTTTTAAGACATTAAAAGCCTAGTTGGAACCCTGCCCAAACATTGGCCCACTCTTCTTATTGCTTACTGAGTTATTTCCCTGGAGAAGACTGAGAACAAAACCAGATGTTTGATGAATTTTTCTGATTGTTCTGTAAGATACAAGATACATCTTGTTGAGAATTTATTATGAGGTATAATCAGTGATTTAATATTGCTTAGAGTACATGTATGTATTGTACAGTATTTGTGTTTTTCATGCATTATCCTATTGCACTTTCAAATTGTTCAACTGATGAAATATCTTGACTGAGGCGTTTCTTTAAATTGTCATTATTTATGATGATTACTTACATATGCACTTTCTAATGTTCCCTCTTCCTTCATCCTCTTGAACTTACAGCCAAGTACCAAGATTCCAATTAGCTGTAACAATAAATCACAGGTATATAACTGGAGAGCATGTTTTATGTGGTATATCAACATGATAATCCATGACATTTCATTTCTTCTCAGCCCTGAGATGTGTTTCAGGTGAAACAGAAAGATGCTATGAGTATCAGAATGATGGTATATGCTTATCTCTTCAGTCAATAGGATAGTTTCTAAAATGCAGAAAAAGCAATGGAATCTAGTGCTGCCATCTTTTATTCAGCTTTTAATTTGGGCTAGAGTTCCATTCACATGCTAAAATCTTGGAAAAGTGGCTTAATTTCATGATTTATCAAAGAGTCTTAGTTGAATCTATATAAAACTTGAATGATATACCTCATGGTGACCCTGTTTATGTACATGTTGTGATTAAACATGCAAATGTTGGTTGACATACAAATAATCCAAGGTTTTAAAGAATTTTAGCATTGCATCTATGGAGATTTGGCCCAAGTTTTTTTTAAATTGTCATGGAAAATTATTCAAAATACATAACTGTGTAAATCAAAGCTAATATAGGAGAAAACAGTTCACTGAATTCAAAGATGCCATTTAAAAGAAGGTAATGTAAGCCATTGGAAGTCTAATATGTAAATCTCTTAAAATCTCACGAAAAACGAGATTTAGCAAGATTTCAAAAGCTATATGGAAACTATACTATCACAATAGTCTTTGAATTATTCAAAATTCCTGATATATTGCAGCATACCTACAGAATAGAGCTGTGTTCTCAAAATATCCAAAAACAAGACATTAACATGCAAAATGTCACTGCCTGCCATTTACTTAAGACACTGAACACCAACTGCCAAATGCCAAACACCAACTTCCAAACACCACTATAACCACGCGGTAGTATCTCTTCGGGACGTATCGAAACCACTCCGTCCCGAAAAACCGTTAATTTGAATTTAAAACCTACCCCAGTGTTTGAAAATCAAGGATTGTGGGTCTCACACTTCACTGTTTTTCTTCAAACTTGTTCCGTACAAAGCTTCACAGAAATACCTTTCAGTCGATTCATTGTTTTCGTGTACAAAGTACCTCGTTTTAGCGGCGTTTTGGTCCCCAGCTGTGAGATAAAGCAAATTTTCATAACTTTCAACTGTAAGTCAAGTTATCTCGCCAGTCTTTTACCCATTCTCGCCCATAATTTCAGAATGGACTCCCATTACAACCTTCCATCGCTACGTCTTGACTTTTGGGCATCAAACGCAGCAGTTTCTAAATCATCCACACATCTCTTCAAATTTGACCAATACGTCCCGTCATCTTCCACTACGCCCCGCCGAGTCTATCACTATACACGTAGAGTTGCATTCTAAAACAATTTGTCCATCGATGTGTCCGTTTGTAGGTTGCCATTGTCGATTCTAAATACCAATCGGATTGTGTTTTAAGATTTACCCATTCTTGTCCATTTTCAATATACCTATAATAGGGTGGTCCAAAATCGGCGGGGCGTAGTGGAAGGTGACGGGACGTATTAGTCAAATTTTAAGAGATGTGTGGATGATTTAGAAACCGCTGCGTTTGATGCCCAAAAATCAAAACGTAGCGATGGAAGCTTGTAATGGGAGTCCATTCTGAAATTATGGGCGAGAATGGGTAAAAGACTGGCGAGATAACTTGACTTACAGTTGAAAGTTATGAAAATTTGCTTTATCTCGCAGCTGGGGACCAAAACGCCGCTAAAACGAGGTACTTTGTACACGAAAACAATGTATCGACTGAAAGGTATTTCTGTGAAGCTTTGTACGGAACAAGTTTGAAGAAAAACTGTGAAGTGTGAGACTCACAATCCTTGATTTTCAAACACTGGGGTAGGTTTTAAATTCAAATTAACGGTTTTTCGGGACGGAGTGGTTTCGATACGTCCCGAAGAGATACTACCGCGTGATAACAACTTGTGGTGACACATTACCATTTCAGAGAAATATAATGGTATGCACTAATAACTGACATTTTCAGAATAAGTTATATTTCTTTAGTTTCCAGTTGTACAGATTATCAAAAGTTGCAATTGAAGTCCAAAAATCACATTTAGACCATAAACTTGTGAGAAGATTCTAAAATTGTTCTTTTCACAGAAATGTTTGACAAAACAGTCATATAAAGTATCACTAAAAGCTCCTTTTAAATAACAATGATTATGACAAATCACCTCAGATGGATTGATATTAGATAGCTAAAATGGAATGGAAAGGTAAATATTTCTATAAATGTGTTAAACATGAGAAAAATAACAATAGAAGTGATCAATTTCAGTCAAAATTCAGTTTTTAAATTGTCTTAGAGAGTGACCAGATCAGCTTGACCTAGAAGTTTTAACAAAGGCCATCAATTTCATTCCAAATATGGAAAGTGTAAAAATAGAACTGTCAATCAAATTATACTGTGGAAGAAAAAGTTGTACATGTTATCTGATCTTGATTTTCTTGGACCCAGACTTGAAGTTTTATAACAATGCTCAAAATTTAATTTGTGAACACTAAAAAACTATTTAATGAATATTCATAAAGGTTAGTGTGACTTATTTATAGAAAATTATCAAAATTCATATTCTATTTACCAAAGTAAAAGAAATTAAAATGTCAGAGTTAATCTATCTGGTAATGGCTGGTTTTGGTAAGAATATCTATTCCCATCAATTGAAACAAAGTATATGATTTTTTTTATATTTCTATACAATTTTAAGTCCACACTTCACATCTATGACAACAGTTCCTATGGTAACACTAATTCTTAATTCCCTGTTTTTTCTTCTTCATAATGAATCACAAACAAAAACACAAGACATAAACGACAAAATGCAACCACCTGAAAATGGTTGCAAAAGTATAACAACTGTTACAAAGGTCAACCAAAGGTCATATCTCAAATCTAAAGTCAGATGATTTTGAAAAATGGTCAATTTGAAGCAAGTTGCAAAAGGTTACAAAAGAGGAACAATTTTTACAGATGAAGGTCAACCAAACATCAAATCTAAGGTCAGATTTGAACTTCCAAGAACTTTGGTCAAAATTGGTCAATTTGAAGCAAGTTGAAAAAGACCTCTTCGACTTTTTTTTCTTCAATTTGTTGCCATGGTAACAAATATTGGCAGAAATGTGTTGGAACTCACAGGATGTTAATATATGTTGACAGTGAAAAATTGAAATCAGTCTTAATAGTACTTGATGTTATTGGAAGTTGTAAGAATTTGTTACAGGCACCAACTGCAAGATGCCAACCATCAAATGCCAACCACCAAACACCATTCACAAAACGGTTGAAGACTATAACAATATATCATCACGTGGCATAAAAACCGTTTGTCTTATTTTTCAGATGTTACAAGTAAAACGATGATATTATATATATATGCCACGTGTAAAAACTAGATTGATTTTCACTTTTTTAAAACAACAGGAAAATTGCAACATATGGTAGGCGTTTTTAATTGCGTTGTTCAAAGTAGATTGCATCTTTGGTCCAATAGTATTTCAATTCTTTCCATAGCTGCAATAGAAGCAAAGCCAGATCTTGAAGGATGAGTAATTGTTAAAGTTTGAATATCGACAACAATATATTGGATGTATTTTCTATTAATCATGGGAATTTTGACCAAAATTTGGAAAATTTCAAAAATAGGGAGATCCAAGAAAAGCAAAACTGTCAAATAATGTTGAACTCTTCGTTGTCAGTCTCCAACCAAATGTGGGACAAATGAGCCGCGTACAATAAACTCATACATAAGTAATAAACAGTATTATGTTTGATTTGACCTACCAGTGTAAAACTAAAGAAGAGTCCAAAACCTCCAGATACTTTTTTGGCATGGAACATAATTGGCTGCATTCTATCCCAGCACTGAGTGGAACAAGGACATCCGGGTAATGATTTCGGTAGTGTGGTTCCGGTACAGCATACATATGTTTCATTTGCTTTCAAATTCTTACAGCACTCAAGCTAAATTCAGATATTATATATGATCGATTATTTTGCATACTCACCAGTGTAAAGCTAAAGAATAAACCGGTTCCACCAGCAGCTAGGGTTGCGTAATGCATAGTTTTTCGTAGTCTTTCATAGCAAGTAGTTTTACATGGACAAGGTGGGTCTGCTGTGAAGGGTGACCCAGTACAACAACTGGCTTTAGATAGTACCTGTTTAACCGTACAGCAAGAAATCTGGAAGGTACCATAACCACCACTAATCACCACATATACGAGGGGTGATTCAAAAGTAATGGACAAAATTTTATAGGCATACTAAATTTCACCCAATCAGTCTAATTTTTTCACAGTGAATAGATCAATCAATTCTCTATTTTGTGTCGAATTCTCATTTAAATGCATTTGAAATTGTTTCAGCTATGCGTAACCATGGTAACAAGGGTAAGCATGGGTGGAATTGGTTTTTTAATGATAATTGAATGTTTTTGTCATTTTTGCTTGATTTCGTTTTAATGACTCAATTACCACACATGATATGTCTAACAAGCATGGTAATGCAATTGTCAAGCAAGACTCACATGCCCATGTGTTTGCTGTTGAGTTCTAAATTCAGCAACCAATTGTACTATGACATCACAATGATATTTCTAAGACAGGCACTTCAAAAGAAAAGGAAAGACACAAGAGAATCGTTTGTTACACATGGACAATGCCCCAGCACACAGGTCCAAGCTAGTTCAGGATACTCTTGCAGCATTCATGGACATGCCTCAACTTCCACATGTTCCATATAGCCCTGATACTGCTCCTTGTGATTTCTATCTTTTTCCCACCCTTAAGATGGGATTAAAGGGACAATCCTTTCAGACATTAGCTGAGCTGGAAATGGCTGTACAAAAACAGCCGAACACCATGGCTGCTGATGGATTTGGACATGAGTTCTCTGCATGGGTGCGCTGACAGAAGAAAGTAATTGAACTTGGAGGAGAATACATTGAGGATTGAATATAATTCAAATGGATGATCATCAGGAATAATAAGGAATGATATGGATTATTATTGAACTTACTGCGATATGCTTTTCATATACATCTTGCATTGCAAAATATATTGCACCAGCAAACTTTTCATTGAAAATCCATTTGTTATTTTGATGAAAATAGCCTTAAAAATGGATTCCGGGTGTATGCACCATGATCCAAGAGAAGTGCTCTATCTCAAAATGTATTTGCATTTAGTTAATAAAATTTTAACATCTAATAGATAATTGATTAATCTTTATTTGTACAAAGTTTCATTCAAATCTGGTAAAGGTAAGCGTGCCTATAAAATTTTGTCCATTACTTTTGAACCACCCCAAGCAATAGGTTAAAACAAATACAACAGAATAAATAAACTATAAATAAATGTGTTCAAATATCCTTGAGTCAAGGAAACTTTGAGCAAAGTGAAATGTTCAAGCGAGAATTTATGAATGTGACACCAAATCGAAGCCATCTTCCAAATAGATACATGGATCTATTTCTGCTTGCTAGATCAGCTTGGATGCATATATCCCTTTAGCAGTAAATCTATCTTGGCTATCAACTTTTCACCCCCTACTAAAATACATGTAGTCGGTTGTATGTTCAGTGTTCACACAAATTCAAGTGAATAAGGATTAGGAAACACTATTTAGTATATGAACATTTTAGCTCAAAGTTACCAGGACTCTTTGATTGAGACTGTTGCCATGGTAATCAGGCCCATAACCAGGATTTTCCAAGTTTTTTTTAAAATATTCTAGGGGGGATTCGCTTTTGACAATTTTAGTCCAAAAATGGCCAAAATCCCATTGAACACCCCCCCCCCCCCCATGGCTACAGACCTGCTGTTACCATGATATTACAAACCACAAGTGCATACTAAAAAGGGGATGAAACTAATGGCAAATTCACATGATTTGGCCAACTTATCTGTTTATCTTTGGTACCAAATATTTTAAATTGAAGTAATGATAAACCAGACAAGATGTAAATTGTCAATCTGACTATTTGTTTCACCCTGACCCATAGTAATAATTATGACAATTATGAACTTATTGTATAAAATGTAAGGGGTAAAGGGGTATGCATCGTTAGAAATTAAATTGAAAAATAAATAATGGTGCATAAAACAATATTGGGATAATTAAACAAAGCTTTAATTATAAATATATATGGAGCAATTCAATAAAAAAGAAACTAGAGATAGGAAATAGCTGGCACAAAATCTGAATATAGAATTAGATAATTATGGCTAAAAAACTAAACTTTGACAGAAAAATGCATATTGTGTATCTATCACACCAAAGGCTGTGTGGGCTTACCATTCGCCACCTTGTGAATACTTTGGGGCAGACAGTGGGGCAGGGTTAGATACATGGGGGCAAAACAAATATTTTACAGCAAGATATCCCCCATCCCACCAAATATAAAAATTAATTAATTAAAAAATTAATTTCTTAAATAAGCCACATGTGGTGAATGGTAAGCCCACACGGCTAATGTGAGATCTACTTTAAAGGGACAGCAATTGAGAGAGTGTATTATGACCGTAAAATGTTGGAAGCAAACTTTTTAACAGATATGTCAATGTTTCCCTTGTGATCACTTACTATATACATTGTGTACAGTAAAACCTGTTTATCTGTTCAACTTGGAAAGTGTTGGACTTAAATAGCGGTTCAGTTTGCATCGGTATTCAGTAACAGGACTTGAAATTGTTTGACTTTCGTGTTTCACTTAACAAGTTTTACTGTACTAAAAAAGAATTGAGATATCTGGTCACGCTAGGAAGAAATTGACATTTTATCAAAAAGAGACATCCTCTTTTCTGGTTTAAAGCAAAACTACTTTTAAAACATTTTCATTCAATGAAGCTGTAACATTCATCTCAATCCTTTGCTGTCTCTAAAAATCTATAAGTTGGAGTTTTGTTTACTTTATTTAATTACAATTGTGCCAAACAACTATTGAAAGTTATACCTCGGTCACATTTGATCTATGGCAACAGTACCTACAGCAGCATTAAATATAGGAATAAGCCGTACAATGTAGATTTTCTATATCAATTTTGTGACGGCTTCCAAAGAGCAAATGTGACGGAGGCTTTAGAAAGCTTTATCTTTGTTTTATATATTTTTGTTAGAATATAATTACACTTGGTATTTAATAGAGTACATAAATATGATAATACACTAGGAGGGATTGCATATAAAGAATATCTACATTACAAGGGAAGATATCAATATTTCATTGAGGTTTAAATCCTATATCTATCCTTACCAGGGAAAAGAGGATTTATCCAATGATCATGACAATATTGAGTGAATTAACATATTTTGCCTTTCACACTTTTTGACCATGTTAAACAAGGTTATCTATTCTGATCATGGGTTAACTTAATACATATAATTAAATGTAATCGAAGATGAACCTACCGCATCACATCCTGGGTGTCCCATACCTGATGGATCATTGACACCCAAAGAGGCATTTTCAAATCCACAACATTCAAAATTAAATTGCACATTGGACTTTGCTTGATTAGATGCGTGTTGCCAGCCTGTTTCTGCGATCATTTTTATTCCATTGTCACCAACTGCTAGGCATGCACATGACACAATGAACATTATGATGAAAACAAATCCAAGTAAAAACATATTCTGAACAGAGTTAAGGAGTTCTAAACAATACAAAGTAATAATTATGCATTCCTGGCATGCTGAGTTTACATATAACAGAATTAATCTTTAGTCATCCTCTGAACGCAGGGTTCCAGACATCATCCACTAAGTTTCTTCCTTCTTCGAAGAAGGAGGTACGAGTTCTGGAGGCCTGTGTTCGGAGGATGATCTTGAGGGAAAAGATGATTAAATGGCGAGTAAAAATGATTTATATATTTCTTTTATTGGCAATAATATCAAAACGTGATAGTTTACATAAATCTATGCACAATCCAAGACATAAAATCAATCTAAAATTAACTGCACTGTACTATTTGATACATAAAGTTAAATAAATATTTCAGATGAAAATGGTTCCCCTTTTAGAAATTGTCATCTACCCACCTATTTGATGAATTATAGATTTTCTAGGTTCAACTTAACTGATCCATAAAAAGGCACTGAGAGTGAAGTATTTTGAAAGTTACGAGCAGTCAACCTGGGAAACTTTGATTGCATGATACCTTAACAGTATCTATTGATAAATAATTCATACAAGGCATTAACATAAAGAATATCACCACCTGACATTTGTTACACATGCCAAACGCTGAACGCCAACCGCTGAATGCTGAACACCGTCCACAAAAAGGTTTGAGACTTTAACAATATGTCACTGGCAGAAAAACTTTAACAATATGTCACCACTTATGTTGCTGACACAAAAAAGTGTGTATTTGTAGAAAGTATTTCAGATTACCAACCTTCAATTCTACAGAATACCTGACAGGACAGAAGTAAACAGGGGTTCAGAAATTTTCCCAAAATGAACCTGACAGTATCTAAAATACCTGGCAGGCAAAAGGTTAACGAAGTGAAACCAAAATACCAAGTTTTCATGAAGACATATTTTCCTTTCATGATATTCATAAAAAATATCAAAGCACTGATAAAAGAAATTATAATCAAATTAAACTTGCATTGATTTTCATCAAGCAAATACAATCTCGTAGTAATCTGTACTGTATACTTTAAGTTCCTGCTGTAGCCGTAAAATACCAATATGTTCGTGGTAACAGCTGTAATACTGAATTAACCAGGATTTATGTATAGTCTGTATTATTTACAATTAGGTATCGAATCAATACTTGGTATCAAAGTATTGAGTTAATTAGCATACTGAAAGGTACATAGGTTATTACATGAACAGTAATTATTGCAAAATGCAAAGTGATCAATGTGATTTGCAATTGCAAACTATTATACATTACGCAATATTTTTGATTATAGGCTCATGATTCAAATAGGTGGTCCATAACATGCATAAGCCATGGCCATGGTGAGTCCATGTGGTGATAGCTTTAAATTGCAATATTCTACCTGTATCTAACCTCTGACCAATCATGTATCCTATACATTTGATACTGACTTACCACAACCATTAAGAAACCTTGATATACTAACTACAGTATGGGCAAGATATTGACCTTTTACATTTCAGGATATCTTGACAACGTGACCTTGACTTCCAATGATCCCAAAAATGATGTCAAAAACGCTTATTAACGTATACATAAAAATAACTTCTGAAAATTGCTTTGGAGGCGAAGTCTCGCGAGTTGCTTGGATATAACCAGGCAAAAGCTGGAATTCATTAGCTATAAAAAATAAAACGACCTTCCCATATGACCTTTCAGATTGACAAATAGATTGGAGGCCTTCAAATATTACATCATTTTGACCGTATATTGGGTGATTGGGACAATGATCTTTACATAACTTCAAGTCAAGGGACACATATAACATGTAACATCTTTATACCCAGGTGATGGCCAGAGAAATAAGTTTTGATGTTGAAGAAAAGGTTTTTGAAATGAATTAAATTCTATTGATCATGCAAGATTCAATTCATTATAAATTTTCCAAAACATTTTGGAAGAATTACAGACACAGAATTACATAAACTGCCCCTTAAAGTGCATATTTGAATTGAAAGGATACGCAGAAGAGTATCTTAGTGTTCTCAGTGATAGCACCAATGAGGCCCACACTAGAGATACCAAGTAGAAAGACACCACATACTATGATGCCTACAATCACTCCTATAGCTCCTAGTTCCCCAGCTGCTTTGTATTGAGTACCAGCAATGATAAGTATCAGCAATGCCACAATCTGCAAAGATAATAGGAACAAAAAGTTCATTTTATACATTAGGGGCTTGGAATGAAACAAATAGTTGAATAATGTAGGAATGGTTTGGGGTAAAATCACTGTAATTTCACAATCAGTAATCATTTATTTAGCCAATGAACACAAAAAAGTACCAAAACTTTGGGCCCAAAGCCCCCCTTTATGATTATATTTTTTTACAAAAAACTGTAGCCATATTCCTTCAACCGTCAACCAGAATTTTAGTTATTTCTTTACAGACGAATGAAAGGATAAATTGATGAACAGCTTCTTGAAATCTCGAAGGTTGCTGCTGCAGCATTCCTTACCGGCAATTTGTAAATATTGACAAATATAAGGTATATACAGACAAAGATAATGAAAATGTAAGTCTATGAAGCATAAGAATAAGCAATCAAAGGACCATGGTAAGGCTAAAAACAAATAATATTCCCATTAATATTGCACCTTGGTACTTTGATTGCTTATTTCTTAGGTTTGAATGACACAAGGGTTCACTTTATAGAAATCAATTGAAGTTCTCAAAATGGTGAAACTGAATGATCTTGGCTTCTCAAAGCCCCCCCCCCTATCCCACCTTGGCTACGGGACTGCAGACTTTAGCCTATTTATTTTCCATGTTAAAAATAAGGGAATTTTCAAGAGGCCATGCATCAGTGGATGAGATTATACAAAATGTAAAATATTCAAATTTTAGGGGATACCTATCTGGACAATATTGGAAACTATGGGCTTTCAGACGACCATGGTTAGGAAATGGTGATAGAAAATCCGGGGTCTGCGCATTATACCGAAACCCATTAAACCGAAATCCATTATACCGAAATTGATTATACTGACGTGCATTATACCAAAACTCATTATACCGACGTGCATTGTACCGAAAGGCGTTATACCGAATGCCACAATACTGACGCACATTGTAAAGTTTCCTGCGTGTATCTGTGTGTAACCTTTAAGAGACATTGGAGTAAAATATTAGACAGTTTTTATGTTTTGATATATGATATTCATTAATTAGAATTGACAAAAATCTTTACAAACGAGAGAACATGTATTTTGAGACTAAAACAACCTGTCATCAGAGAAAAAAAGCCGCCCGTTTGTTTGTCTGTTTGTTCGTCTATTTATTCTATTCGGAAAACAACTCAATAGTTTATAGGAAAACGCCTAATGGCCATAGGATGTCTGATATAGAACAATCTTCGAAAATGGAGGCCAATTAAAAAATGTTGCCGCCATAATTGTAACATTTATTCCGTGTTGTCGAGCCTTTAATTCAAGGATCCCTTCTCGAGGGCAGAAAACGGGCTAAAAATATAGATGAAATATTTTCACGAACTGACAAAATTACGTACATTTTTATGATTTGAAATACCTAGCCACATTATACAACGCTCAACACACCATTGGAAAGCTTATTTTGTCTTCTTTAGTCTCCTTTCTAACAGAAGTGAATCAACTGTTACGCATTGAACTTCATTAATAGATGACAAAACATTTTTTGCTGACTGATAATATTACATATGATTTGAAATAGCAAGCCACGTGTACATCACACCATTGGAAAGCTTGTTTAGTGTTCTTTAATCTCATTCATAACAAAATCGAACCAAATGTTCACGGACTTGGAAATTAAGCGTTACGCACAGAACTTAAATATTAAATCACGAAATATCTTCGCAAGCTATCAACATTACGTACACCTTTTGTTTATGATATGAAATGCATTGTAAAATCTATTTGATCCAAACTAATAAGTGCCATACAACTTGTACATGAAGGTTTGACTTGGGCTGTGATTTTAGGGTGTTTGCGGTTTTGAGTTTCCCTTACTTGATGAAGCTTATACTAGATTAGTATCCTGTTGCCATTTCTTGCCTGGTCTTCCTGATTAAATGTGCATGATTTTCAATAATACTTATCATACTCTTCTACTATTATCATACATCTTCCATTCCAAGCCTTTTCACATCACAAAATCATGGTGTCGGACTGTCGGTATACAGTAATGATTTTCGGTACAATGCGCGTTGGTGTATTGGTTTTCGGTACAATGCACGTCATTATAATGGGTTTCCGTATAATGTGCGTCGGTACAATGAGGTGATCCCGAAAATCCACCTGTCATCTAGGGCAAAGGGGTGTAATGTCGACGTGTGGGGTAATGTCGACATAATAGACAGGGTAACTTCGACACTTACGTATTAGAAGTAGAATTTCCATTTTCCGCCATGTTTGATTTCTGGAAAAATTAAAATCTTGCGAGATCTCGATCCATGCGAAAAAAAACATAGATCAGAAATTAGAGCAAATAAACAACAAGGTGTCGAAGTTACCCCACATGTCGAAGTTACCCCAAAATGGTGTCGACGTTACACCCCTTCTCCCTATCATGTTCCAAACTGTAAGATGGAGGATTATTTACTTACAATGTACGCAATATTGAGGCACATCAAGAAGACCCTTGAACAAGTGCAGTCGGTGATCCCCATCTTGCTTATCTCTGACCTTCAATAAAATAAGCTAAACTGTCGGTATTCTGCAACACGAATTGATTTTGCCACGACTAAAAATTTCAATATTTTTTAGAATTTTATTCTGAGTTAATAATTATTCAAATTAGGGTTTCGTATTTTTTATTTAATGACGTTTCGATGAAATTATATGAATTCAATTGACATATAATTATCAAATTACTTTGATTATCATTTAATGTATAATTTTTGTAAGCCTATTGTGTTTTATCAATGATCTCGTTCAAAATATGAAACGATAGGAATAATTTAGTAGCTCCGAACATTTACAAAACTATCATGACATTATTCAACTCCTCACGTTTTCACTTCAGGATTTATTTGAAATGATTGTTGAACTAATTTATGTTTACCTTTAGATAAAATCATGTCTAGTTCATATGATGACAGGAATTTGGTGGTACCTATCACCCCTGTTCAACAGATGTTTGCATCAAGTTGTGGAGCACTCTTGACTTCTCTCTTTGGTAAGCTGCTTCTATATAAAGATCATGTGATTACATATTATTGCAGTTGCATTACATCATCTCATTTAAAAACTTCAATCTCACTTTTTTACACGTAAATTTATATCAATATGGTGGTGGCTGTAGTTTACTCGAGTCTCTAGCCAATACTTGGCTAGAGGGGATTCATCTGGAATACTGTGAACTCTATTTGAAAAAAGCTGCCGGGGTGTCATAAATTTATTGAATATTTTAAAAATCGCCAGATAAATAAATCATTAATCAAACCGGACCCAGCTCAAATCCTTGATGAGATATGACATGATTTCATCAGGATTTCGTCTAAAATTAAAACAAAATGGCTCCAAGAAAAATGGCGATGTTCGAAAACTGGACGAAATGTCGTTACGTCTGACATTAGTAACTGGCTGTAAATTCTAAGTTAGCGATCCAGAAGATGTGCACTAATACACTGATCACTTTGTGTGTGTTTTGGAATTTTTGGTGAGGTAATAAGACCAAAACTCGCAATTCAAATTGTGATGTGGAAAAATGGCGGACATATGATTTCAAATTTTATGATTACGACATTACCAGTTGTTCATGCAGGAATATATCTGTACTGGAAGGCCACGATACAGTGGCCTTAGAAGAAGGTAAGCTGTAGTACACTACCTTTTGATTTAGGCTATCCATCGAAGTACACCCTGGGTTTTTAACAACGCCGTCCTCCCATTATGAGGACGTAAATAAATAGTCATGGACGCAGAAAAAAATTGTTGGTGCGTTCTTGGGACGCATTACTCACCATAGGTTGCAAACACATGTTATTTATCTTGAAAAACTTCCCTACAGTGCTCACCATAAAGAATTACAAAAAAATTACATGCTGTCGCACATGTAATAAATTTTTACCTCAGTGTATTCAGTGCTCTATTTTCTCCGTCCTTGTAAGTCCAGATATAGTGGAATTCATGTCCATAATGACAAAGAAGAACTTAAAAAATTGAAGTGGAGTTCACATGTTAATGCAGACTCTTCAAATGTTGAGGTGATTTTGGAGTCGGATTACGCGGCAATGTGGATTGGCTCCCAGAATGCAACACGACACGTGTATCTGCTTAAATGGGCTTATTAGCCTTTTGCGGATTATAGATGTAGATGTACATGTCAGCTTTCAAAATGCCGTTCCAAAAAAATTCCAAACACAAAAGAAGAGATCGGGATATTAGTTCAAATCTTTTGGATCGCTGATTATAAATTTATAGCAGATTTATAGTCAGTATAATGTCAGAAAATAAGAACATTTTCAATGTTGGCATCTCTCAAGGTCATCAGCCATTCTCCAACAATTGTGAAATTCTCTCCACTTTAACAACAAATTGTGTAGATGGTGACATTTTGCATGTTAATGCCCTGTAATTAACTATATTGTTTCATTTTCCAGTCACACCACTAGATGTTGTAAAGATAAGGCTACAAGCTCAACAGAAACCAATAACAAGAGGGTGCTGCTTCACATACTGTAATGGCTTAATGGACAGTTTAGAGATATGTGCCTGTCTCAATGGGGAGACTAGTACTCTGAAACCATGGTACAATAGACAACCCAAGGTTCACCTTAATGGAACTATGGTAAGGGGAAGGAGAAGTACGATAGTTTAACTCTAACACAATCACATGCCTGTCTAAAGGATTTCCCTAGGGGGGGCAACTTTTGCCTATTTTTGCTTTTGTGCTGTTGACACACCAGATGCACGAAACATGCTCCAATTTAAAACGTCGCCAACACAGAGCTAGGGTGGTCTGAAAATTTTAAACTTTTAACTCTTTCTGGTGCATTGCATACTGTATCTGAAAGCTATTTCACGATCTCTAAAAAAATTTCTGGAAAAAAGTGGGGGTGGTGACCCCAAATACCCCCCCCCCCTCTTGTGCTGCAATAGTTTGTACTACATTTATTATGACAGGGTACTCTCAACTTATATCTCTGGTGCTCTAATTACAATATCTGATCAACATTGTTATAGTCTCCAAATTGGTGGTCGGCATCTGTAACAAATGGCAGGTGGTGATATTTTGCATTTTAATGGCTTGTTTGTTTTATTTTAGGATGCATTCATGAAGATAGCACGTTATGAAGGTGTCAGTTCTTTATGGAGTGGACTACCTCCAACACTGTAAGTACTTATTTCAACCAGTTGAAAATGCGATAAACATTTATCGGTGCTTCATAGAGAACTATCGTACAATGAAGGGAGACCAAATTCAAAATGTTTCTATATTGATTTGATATGTGATATGTGAGGATGATATCATTAAATGACAATGTAGATTAGGTTAGGCCAATATCCCAATTTTTCATTTTCCTGTAACACTTTGAGGAAAGATATTCATTGGAGAGCAGTGGTCAGTTAGATAGCTATTCCTGAAAAAATGTTCATTTAATATATTCAGTATTTGTATTAATCATTTTCCTGAGACTTGAAAATGTTCCTGAAAATTACCTAAATTTAAGTTGGGGCAGTTCCCATGACCCTACAAATTCCCTTTTCCTATAACATAACATTAACAGCCATAATAACATGTTATTTACTTTTACTGTAGAGTAATGGCTGTTCCTGCAACAGTTATATATTTCACCACCTATGACCAGTTAAAGTACATGATAGGCTACAGTGAACATGAGAAAGACACTTTATGGAGAGTAATGTTAGCTGGATCTCTCGCTAGAAGTAAGCCTTAAATTTTACAAAAATGCCCAAAATGATGAAAAACTACAAAAACGTCCACATACTTTCCTCTCCTACTGATAATTGCAGGGAGGCTTGTTTATGTAAATATTTATATTCAGTATTTTAAATCAATGTCTTGATTATGTATAAAACACAGAAATTAACAAGTTTGAAACTACATAACTTTGTATCCTCTTTAATGGTTGTTCATATCCATTTACATTAGGTGTATCTGCGTGTATTTGTTTTGTAGTTGGTGCTGCCACTGCTATCAGTCCATTAGAACTCATCAGAACTAAAATGCAGTCTCAACAACTAAGCTATACCCAAATAGGCCAAGCAGTAAAAAGCACCATCGGTCAGACAGGCCTCTTGTCTGTTATGAGGGGACTTGGGCCAACCATACTCAGGGATGTGCCCTTTTCAGGTAAAATATTCAAGTAGTCTTGATAAATGATGAATGATTCTTTATTCATTTCCAAATTTTGTTTACTAGCTAGGTAATCAGTTATCACATGTTTCAGTGTGTGATACTGGAAATCTTCCTCGTAAGTAAAATTGTATCACCACGAAAACGAAGCTTGAGTGGTGATACATTTTTCCTTGAGTGGAAGATTTCCTGTATCACACAAGCTGAAAGGTGTGATGACGATTTTATCACATACTATGTTAAATTTTAGTAATTTGATTGGGCAATACGTACGGCTACTTCTCATTACATGAAAAACAGCCAACAACAATCAGTAACTAGAACGATCAATAACAAACAATCTAAAATATTACTTTGTTACGTCATGGACCCATTTCTTCCTTGTGTACCCGTTCAATTTAGTAATGACGTCAGTGTCCTAGGCAAATATAGGACACATCATAACTCGTTGCCTCTTGTAACATGTGAGATGGGAAAACCCACACAGTAATCAACCAACCAGATTACCAGAATTTTACATAGTATAGTAAAGTTCTATTTATGTAATATTCCTTGCAATGTAATTATGGTAGTTGCTGAATTTACTGCTGAAGTTATCAATCTAAATTGAACAGGATCAGGCCCGTAGCCAGAATTTTCCAAGGGGGTTCACTTTTCCAAAAAATTCTAGGGGGGGTTACTTTGGCAAAGGACGATTCTCGGTTTGGAGAACGAAGTTCATCAATCTAAATGAGCATTATCCCTGCTTCGGACAAATTTGATTTTTTTACATAATATAGATTTGAATGTCTTCTTTTGAATAGTCATAATTTAATTTGGGTAATATTTCTAGATTTTTCGCAAAAAAATATTAGCGCAGTACACTGATGAACTTCTTTCCCCAAATCGAGACTTGTATTTGTTATTTTTACATCTTGTAGATTTAAATGTCCTCTTTTGAATATTCATAGTTTAATTTGGGTAATATTTCTATATTTTTCATGAAAATTTTTTTAGCCCAGGAGGCTGCTCTCCAAACCGAGAATCGTCCTTTGGCCAAAAATCACTCAAAAAATAGTCAGAATGGTGAAAAACTGCATAATTTTGGCCAGGGCGGGGATCGGGGGGTGGGGGGTTCGCCAGGCTATGGGCCTAAGGATTTTGTAAAAATATCTAATAGCATAGAAACTAGAAAGGAATCTCATAGTCATTCTTGTATGTCATGTGTAGTTTCATAAAATGCTCTGGAAATGATGCGTAAGGGACAAGTGACATCTTTAAATACTACACAGAGTTATAAGGCTCAACATGAAGTTTATCAACCTAGGATTTATAGATGTCACTAGGACAAAAGGTTTCAAAATGCAATTTCAAATTTTTTGTTTAATGGATATTTGTTGTATACTCCAGGTGGTGTACACAATGTGTATATAATGTACATCTCCATGAAAATTTAATTTCAATTTGACAATCTTCTAAATGGCACATGATTTTGGTGAAAACAACAACCAGAGAAAACAAAATATTGTTTTACATTTCAGCTATTTACTGGTTTGGTTATGAGTCCATGAAGTCCTATATTATAAGAACACAGAGCATAGAACACCCATCATTTCTACAATGTTTCGGTGCAGGAGCTATTGCTGGTTCAGTAAGTCCTCTAAATTATCATCTACATGTACAGTAAAACCTGAAATAATGACCACCTCTTTAATTTGAACATCTCTCAATGTGAGCACCGTTTTGGTTCCATTTTTTAATATCCCATATACTCTACACTTTCATGTGAAAAAAACTCGATATGTGAACACCTTCTAATCTAAACATTTTTGGCAGATCCTATTGGTGTTCGGATAAGATAGGTTTTACTGTATGCTTCATCTGGGTTTTTCTAGTCAGCTGTATTGTTTGATGACATTGTCACTGTGGGGCTTATGCCACGTTGATATATGGATAATATAGGTTGTAATGTTGAATAACATTTGAAAAGACAGGATTATTCCATTCGAATAATCATCACATCTTATGTTTTCAAAATTCTTGATAGGAGAGGTCTCAAAATTGTCAAAAAGTGGTTTCTATGACCCACCCGATGCATTTGTTACTTACTTTTCTTTACTTTTTCAAATGCCATTTTATAATAGAATATGTCAGCTGTCTCTGTTTGTCATAAGTGAATTTACAATGTTCATATTTCAGGTAGCAGGGGTCATCACTCTACCCTTTGATGTTGTGAAGACACATAGACAGATAGAACTCGGAGAGATAGAGTTAAGAAAAGGTAATAAAATACTGTTCTAATATTTCATTATGTCACCACCACAAATGGTGACATATTTTTATTGTCTCCAACTATTTTGTGGATGGTGTTTGGTGGTTGGTTTCGGCATGGGCTTTCAACTAGAATTGAAATTAAAAGCCCATGGTTTCGGTGGTCAGCATTCGGCATCTGTAATAAATCATGTAAATAGTATGGTGACATTTTTCATGTTAATGACTTTTATGTCACCACCTCAAGTGTTTGGTGGTTGGTGTTCAGTGGTTGATGTTCAACAGTTAGTGTTTGTTATTGTGCTTAGAATCAATATCATAATGTCTTATTATTTTGTGAAACATTGACCTATTTCCTACCATTATTTTCACAGGTGAGAACCATCACTCAAAAGATTTATATTCTGTTTTAGCATGTTATCACTAAGCTCATAGCCAGTTTTTGGCATGGGGGTTCACTTTTCGAAAAATTCCAGGAGGGTTCACAAAAGAAACTTTGGTCTAAAATCACTTGAAAAGTGCTCAGAATAGTGAAATACTGCATGATTTTGAACGATTTTTTGGCGAGGCCAATCACCAATTAACTGCCATCACTTCTGGCTTGAACACCAGTCAGTCTATGTTAAATTGACTGCAATATTCTGTTTCTGTATGTTGTAGGTAACAATGGCAAGCCCACCAGTACCTGGTCACTTCTGAGACAACTATATTCTAGCAATGGAGTCCAAGGGCTATTTGCAGGTACAGTATACACAGTGAAATGAAGTGTCTAGTCTTGCTTCGAGACTGTGGACTCCCCCTATCTACTTCACCAATACTTGTAGGGATATGTGTAGTTGGGGGACTCACAAGGGCTTATATCTAGACCATATATATTAGATTAGAAAATGAAGATACAATCAAATCCATTTGATCAGTATTTCAAACACAGTTCACCCCCTCACTCACTCAGAAAAATTTCTTTTGTACATGCACATAGTGAATGGGGGGTGAACTCTTATAGTGTCTCAAGTTGAAGAATATGCAACTTTAAAATCTTCTGCATGGTATTGTATTATTCTAGAATTTAAAAATGGTTCTCTACTTATGGTGGATATACTTTAAAAGCCTTGAAATGTGTGACATAAGTTAAGTACAGTGCATGCAATACACTTCTTTAGTGTAATCTAAATACAATAAATGTATATCATACAGGGGTTTCATTAGCAGCAAGCAACAGGCGATTTTCACCAGTTGTTTTCACAAAATTGCCTGTTGTTTTTAAGGACTTTTTAATTTTTCCGTGTTAAATTTTTGATTACCATTAATTTTGCCTGTTGTTTTCATTTATTTAGCTTGTTGTGAGAAATTCTAGTGAAACCCCTGTCATACATGATTTTGAAACCTCTTACAGTACATGTAGGAAGCATTCCTGAAGTTGAATTCAACTGCCAGCTGATGGATTAACCTACTATTTTATGGCCAACTCATTTTAGTATCCGCCACTATTCCATTCATATTTAAATGAGTTGGCCATAAAAAGCAGGTTCAACCGTCAACCATCAGCTGGCTGTTGAATTCGCGAATCCTGCCTTAAATAGAACTGATTGATAACTCAATGCACAGAAATCATTATGATTCAATGCTTTTTTCTTGCTAATTTGAATTCAAGAATTATCTTTGTTTGCAGGTTTAATTCCAAGAGTAGTCAAAGTTGCTCCAGCATGTGCAATAATGATTAGCACATATGAATACAGTAAACGTTTCTTCCGGACTTACAATGAACAAAAAGCTCTAGAAGTGTCATAATACCTACTTCATTATTCCATTTCTAGAATATAATTAATTTAATAAATTCAGATACTAGTCGGAATGAAGTGCAACAGCGTCTAGTATAGATATCAGCATATTAGTGCCCCTCCTTAATCTAATGGATGATTGCAGCCCAACATTGTGGTAAGCCACCCATCTTCATCTTTGTCCTCCTGGACCGATGCACAGTGAGAGGTGCTATGAACATCAGAATGGCAGCTCAAGGCAATGTTGGAATAAATTTGTTCTGAATAGGTCTTGGAGACCTTTCTTTATATGAGGAAAACTGTGGTCTTTTTATCAAAGTCTTGAATCCTGACTACATGGTGACTTGACGAGACACTAGGTGTATAAAAAGAACTTCAAACCTCCTGATAGAAGTTCAATGACAAAAATAATCAGCTGGACAAGATTGAAATAACCAGCCAGCTTGACAAGATTGAAATTAACTGGCATCCAAGATTTAAGATTATTATATTCTTATTCCTAGTGCATTTTCACAGAGACATATTAAACATGTTTTATATGTCTCTGATTTTCAGTAACAGAAATTCAATGTTTCATCTCATAAGGCACATGTGCATCACATTAATGGGGTTGATCACAAAGTTAAAGCAGTGAGTAGTAGATATTATATGTGAAACTACAAATAGTATATCTATCACTTATTTTCTGAAATAAAGTACACACTCAGGCATGTAATTTCTGCATGAGAGCTTGTCTTACTTTTACCTGACGGTGTACTTGCTAGTAATATAATGCACTTCATGTTGGACTTTAAAATGATGTTCCTGTTTATTCAGCTGCGTTACTGTTATGAAAGGGGATTAAGAAGTCTTCCTTTGTCTTAGACAGGTTGAGTACAGGCACTTATTTCTAGACAAGATTAAAAGATCATACATCAGTGATCATACTGTACACCTACAAATTGCAATCAAGTTTCTTAATCCTTTTTCCAGACAGGTAGTTGATTGAAAAAATATGTTTTTAAAAAGAATCATGGTTTTCTGTTGTAATCCCCCTGGCAGTTTGATTTCCTGAAGAAAATTGTTACTACATGTAGACTTGCTTCAAGGTTGTGTATCCCCCTCCCCCAGTGTACTTCACCTTCACCTTGAAGCACGGTGAAGTAGATAAGAGGGAGGGGGTCCAGTGGTTACATGTGAATGTCAAAGTTGTATATTACCACTTATTATGTCAGTTTGTATAATTATATGTTCCACAGTATTATTTAGATATTTTTGTAACTTAGAAATTCAATTTTGAAATTGAAACCTAAAAAAGTGGATTTGTCATGCACCATTTTCCCTAAAGGCATGTTCGTTGTATTATCAGCATTTAGTTCTTCAGTACAAATTAAAATCATGATAATTATTATTCAAAAGCATATAAAGTGACATAATTGCATGTAAAATATGGGCATAGTGCATGCAATTTTAATCATACCCATAATCGTGAAGTCTTGCTTCAGCGGTTGTTGAAGTAGAAAAGGGGGTGGGGGGGAAGTCCGGGGGTCCAGGGTCTTGAACCAAGACTGGTAATCATGTGTTAGAATCAAAAATCTTTCTAAAAAGAGCATGATATATTACTAGTACACTGTTAGGAATTAATAAGACACTAGATTAGTGTGTATGGATTAGTAATTGGTTGATTGATTTTCATCAGAGTGTCAGATGTACAGATACTACGCATATACTAGTTACATGTACAATCTAACTAGAAAAAATATAATTATGAACATGTACACGTATATATATTTTAACCCATTTTTGATATGGTTTTGTTAACACACAATCTAATTCTTAATATTTCATTTGCTTCACTGCTATGTCTAAATTTAAAAGTTCTTAAAATATTTGTTCTACACATATCTTGTATGATTAGAACAGTTATGCCATACAGTAGTATGCCTTTTTTTTCCTGTACATCTATCAGCCCGTTGCCGGGCCGTTAGCCTGGGGGGGGGGGTGGCCTGGCCCTGGCAAAATTCTTTTTTCAAAATCAAGCAGTTTTCCACCATTCTCAGCATTTTTCATGTGAATTTGAACTCAAGTCAAAGCAAACCCCCCTTGGATTTTTTTGAAAAGTGAACTCCTTTGCAAAAGCTGGCTACAAGCCGGGCTACAAGCCGGTCTATAACATTTATAAGTACCCATGGACGTAGCCAGGTTTCAGTCAGGGGATGTGACCATGGAAAACAATGTCAGTTTACAGTCAGGGGGGTGCAATCGTGGCATAAGAGAGCCAAACATTTGATGTAACTTCTTTCAAAATTGAGCTAGAAACTTCAAATAAAAAGCATTTAAAGCTCTTTTCTTCTATCTCTTTTATTGGTTATGGGGGGGGGGTGCAATCGCACCAATCACAACCCCCCCCCCCCCCTGGCTACACCTATGAGTACCTGTAAATAAATGGGCCCGGGTAAATGGGGCTTGATGAAGATGATCTAGGAATGGATGATTGGGTCTAGAGATGATGAATGTATGTATCTTTATTAATCCCACATCAAAGTGGGTTTCAAATGTATTTTAAAATCTTGATGGTCAGTGTGAAAAGTCAGTTCTGTGCTAATGTAAAATTACACTGCGCCCAGAGTCTAGTTATAAACTAAAATGAAGAGACGAAGCTAAGTGAAGTCCAACGAATGCAAAGGGTAATGTAAAATTGTATTATAATTTTGCATAATTTGTACAATATGTGTTGATATGAGAATAAACAATAATATATTTTACATACACCAATTTTTTGTTACACATTTAATTAAAACATGTCCTTGGGCAAGATCGGGGCTCTCAAGTTTCTTCCTAATTTTAAGGTCAAAAGTTAGGTTGGGGGGGGGGGGGGGTAATGTAAGACGATGGGAGGTTTGACAGAAAGCTACTGTAAGACTACATCTTTGAGGTGCACAGGAGATTGATTTGGAAGTTTAGACAACTGATACCTATACGATAAAAATATATTTGCTCATAAATAATATAATTTCAATTTTTACCCGTTGTGACATTTGTGATAATTTTTAATTCAATCATTTTTCCAAATGTAACAATAAAAACATAAGGATGTTTAGATAAGGGATTGCTCTCCAAATAAATGTCTGGGATCACCGTTGATCTCATCAACAGACTATGATCATGAGTTTAGTCGGAAACAATAAACAAACTAAAAGAAAGTTTCAGTTGCTTCAACTTAATTCGTTTACAACCACATTGGAAGTCAAAGATGTGCTTTTCGTGGTAAACTCCCCAATTTGAAGACCCATCCCTGAGGAAGGGGTGTACACTTCCATTTTTGGGTTTCTGCTATAGAAAAAGCTAACGAAAGAAAAAAGGTAAGAGGAATGCCAAAAAAAGATTATATCATTAGCTGATGCCATCAAAAGATTGTTGTTATATTGTTCAAGGGACCTCAAAGGGCACAGAATCAAAGAACGTACCCCGGGGATGGGGTGATGAAAAGATTACGATTAAGCATAATTTTGATGTAATATTGCGATATTGAATTGATAATAATGTGCAGCATTCAGAAGTTTAAGAGATAAGTAAATCAAAAGTTGAGTTGTAAGAATATGAATCCCCGATCAGTACCCAGATCAGTAATCTATTTCGGCGATCAGTTGATTGCATCAGCGTTCTCTGATCACGCGCTCACAAACTTGTCCCAAGCGCGTCAGGTGACTTAATTACCTTTAATTGGGCTTTGTTTCTTTTAACACCCGAAGCATTTGTTTATTCAACGCAACTAGCGTGTCATCCCTGGGCGACAAGTGTCTGACCAAAGATTACGTGGATTGGTATAAAGCGGAACCGCTGATGAGACCAACCAACACTTGTTGTCAACACCTCGAACAGTACACATCTCAGCGAATATTAAGAATAATCATCAAATCGGCGTATTTTCTCGTGTTAGCAGATCGAAACTTGCTATCTCAGTCACAAGAATGAATTCAATCATGGCCTTGAACAACAACACATTGAGGGGATCATCCGACGTATTTCGAGCATTGGAGATCGATGTTGAGGACTACCCTGGACATCCAAGCTATCTCACTCTTCCCTTAACGCCCGTTCACGAGCCAGATTATCACATCAGAGCAGAGCCTCTCGCCCATAGTACCCCGGCGATGTCAGCGGATCTAGGGAGCGATGGCGAGCTAAGTCCGACGTTGAGCGAAATAGACTCAACATTCCTGTACAACACAATCAACGATGGCCCGGAGCTGGATTTATGGAGCGACAATGCATGGGACGCACTTGGAATCGTGGAAGGGGACCTCTCGGTTGACATCGACTCTAACCCATCAACACTCTTAGATCTGTCATTGGCATCATCTGGTAAGTTGATTACACTTACACAGTTATCTTATAGACCCTGGACCCCCCCCCCTTATATTAGATGGGTGAGTCTTGAAGCATGACTAAAAAACTGCCGCTTGTGCAACTAGTTACAAATGTGCCGTGCAATATTTATCACAATCAAAACCATCTAGTATTACGTGTGACTTAAAAATGAAATGATAATTTATTTTTTGGTTTATTGATATGTGATGCGAATATATTCCAATCAAATATTGCAGATTGAAAAAATTGATGATATAGTATTTCCAGACTTGTAGTTAGTATTTCAAATCATGGTCTCACATATACCTATCACATTATCCAAATAAATAAAAAATTTATATCCTGAATAATTGCTGTTTGCGTTGTTACAATTTGCAAATATAAATTGTGTTTTTTTTGTATTGCAGAATTCTACAGTAGCGAGTCTGACAGTTCAAGTAACCATAGCAACCCGGGTGAGTCCCCGGCTAACAACTCTACGAGTTTCGATAGTGACATTCCCTCAACGCCAACCAGTCGTCCATCAAATCAGCAACGTACACGAAGAGGGCAGTTGTCTTTGCGTCAGAAGTCACAGTTAGAGGATGCGTTCTTTAAATGTCCCAACCCAACAGAGAGCCAGCAGCGGAACCTTGGCAAAAAGATTGGAATCACAGTGGACAGTGTCCAGGTAAGATTTGCTTTTTGGATGGATCATCAGTCAAGTTAACGTTCCAACTTGTGTAATGGGTATCCACTTCTTTCTAGATAAAGAAGATCAAAACCCTTCCTCGGTCTGTAGTACTAAAATGACAAGGCTAGTTTTAGCGTGACTAACTTTATTAAAAACCGTGAATTATGTGAAAAAGTATTCATGAGCAATAAAAGATGTCAGGCTTGTGGTTGATTAAAGTAGACCTGATTTTACATTGATTGATCCAATTTTTATTTGTATGCCTGTATACAAGTTATTTCTCAATCGCATATTTTAATGTGGAGATTTTACTATTTTATTAAAAGTGTTCTATTTTGTAAATTTTTAAATGTGTTTAATTTTGTACTTTCAGAAATGGTTCAGTAAACAACATGCTAGGTGTATCCGTGACAATCACCAGTATCTCTATGACAACTTGGACATCTGGATGGGTGTTACTAGCAACCGTACCTATCTTCTTCCCGTATTGTCTTCTTCTACGGATCTGGACTCAGAGGAACTCGTCTATAGTAACCATGATTGAAGAGTGCTGCAATATCATCTCTATAAGTGCTGTAATATGATCCCTTCATAGTGATACTTCATCTGTACATAGTGCTACATCATCTGTACATAGTGCGACATCATCTGTACAGTGCTGAAACTGAACATAGTGCTCCATGAACTGTATTGCTGCAATACTAGCTGTACATAATACTACATCAACTGTACATAGTGCTCTGTCAACTGTATATAGTGCTACATCATCTGTACATAGTGCTCCATAAACTGTATATAGTGCTTCATCATCTGTACATAGTGCTCCATAAACTGTACATAGAACTGTAATATCATCTATACTTGGTGCTTCCTGAACTGTATATAATGCTGCAACATAGAACAAACATACACTGTATAAAGTGCTCCATCGACTATACATAGTGCTCCATCAACTGTACATAGTGCTACAACACCATCTGTACACAGTGCTCTCAGAACAATTCATGTGATTTGTAAATAGTGCTTATACACATATACATGTAGCTAGCATCAAATAGTACTTCATGGACAATCTATCTACACACAGTGCTTTACCAATAATTCTTGATATTTTTACAACCACACAGTATTTTGCTAAATAATCTCATTTTCTGAGTGACTTTAGATTGTAAAGACAGTGTACGTATTCTGTTCATTTTTTCTGAAAAATGTATTACATGCCAAAATTGATATTTGCCACTAAAATGAAACGAACTAGGAATGTCTCTTTATGCACTAAAGTGAAACAAACTAGGAATCTCTCTTTATGCCAAAATCCTCAACAGTATCAATTATATTCCTAAAGGTGGTGTTTGGAAATTGATAAATCAAATTGAACAATGATAATTTTTTAGATAATAATTTCAATTACTATTCCTCTATGTACATAGTCAAAAACAAATATTTCTGTAATTCAAATACTAAAACTGCTTTTGTGTAGTAATAAAATGAATAATTATATGTAAATATAGTAATTATCAAATTGATTTAATTTGTCTAGATGTAAATAAATACTACAACTTTATGATGATATATAACTTCAATATTTTGTTCATATGTATGGGTTTAACAAGTTCAAACATTGCGCTCCAATAGCCAGGATTAATTTGTTTACTCAAGCAGTTAGTCAATTAGTCTCAATCAAAAGACATGGAACATTTTGTTCCTTTTTATTATCCCATATTTGTATATTCATATGCATATTAAGTCATATTCAACCATGTTATTATTCTATCCCTTATTATTCAACCAGTTCTTTGATATTTTCCATAGTAACCCAGCTGTTAAAATCAAATTGTTTTAGCTCAGTTTTTTGGTCAAATACATTTTCCCATGTTTAAAAGGTGTCACTAGTAGAAATGTACTCCTGCCCTCTGATGAGATACTACCTTTCCAAGATTCTAGTCCGAAAATGTTGCCAAAGTTATTAATGTGGGCATACAATGCCATCTATAATGGTTCACGCCATTCCAAAAAACTACACTATCGGTGTCTCTATCCCAAGATATTATTGAAACCAGTGTATTCCTTCTGTTAAATGAAATACTGTGATGAGCCAAGATAATTAACACATGGTGACTGATTTGTCAAAATGATTTACCATCATATGTTCAATTTGAAGGATTATTTCTTGCTATTACAGTGTCTTGAATGACAACCTGCTTTTCCAAAAATATCAAAACTTGATAGAAATTCCTCACAGTACAAGTTCCAAAACTGGAAAAACTACTTGCACATTTTCAATTTTACAAATTTCAGGGAAGGAGTTGTACATTTGGCTAAAAACTGGTCCGAATGGTTTAAAAATGCATGATTTTGATTTTGTTCGATCAAACCCTCTGAACCCCCTGGCTATCATCCTCCTCACAAGCAGGTGTCCAGAATTTCATACCTCCTTCTTCCCCCTGCTATAACCAATTTGGAAGCACCAGATTTAACTGAATCATGTGTTCTAATTATGCGCAATGACTTCTACATGATTACTGTCGCAGTGTTGCGACAGCCAACCAGATTGCGAGTTCTTAATTGGGGAAATGGTAACTGCTTATCGCAGGGGGTAAAAAGAAAGAATATATTCTGGATTTTGGAGCACTGTGATCGGAGGATGCCTGGCTATGGGGCTGTTCACGTTCATCTCAATCAAATTCCTCATTGGAATACTAATAATTTCAAGGTGATACTTTTCTTTACATATTATTATATAAAGTGTAAGCCAACAGGAACTTAATCTGTTATTGCTCGAATATATCTTTATGATCTGACAATTTAATAAAATGATCAAGGGATACACTACAATGGGATAAAAGAACATCTATTGCATCTGTGTTGATATGTTCTAATCCACTCTCGAATAAAAATTCAGTTATTTATCTCTCTTGGACGCAAATCATTGATAAAAATGAATGCTTTCAATTATCAAGGTATTTAAAACATATGTAAAATGATATCCTAATTACCGGAATGTCAGGACATCAATACCTTCAAAGAAACCCTAAGTATTAAGCAATTCTAATATCAATCCAATTTAATAAAGCATTAGTATAGATATTATATCATATAATTTATTATGAAACTTTATAATATACAATAATGAGAACAATATCACAATTACAATTTACAATAAAGTATTTTGAAGAATGTCAACACATTTTTATTTATCATTAACAAACATATACAAATTAAAAATTTCCTTTACAAATTGTGTATGACATATAATTCTATGATACTAAAAGAAATCCAACCCCAGGTATGGCTTTCATTTACATTTATACACCACGCTATAATCTTAATTACATGCAATATACATGTAGATGTACATGCACATGGATAGTTTAGTAAACTTCTTTAGCTCCATCTCTTGTTACTGTTTAACACAATAATATCAAAAGTTGGATCAACTGCAGGCCCGTAGCCGGGGATGGGAGGGGGAGGGTTCGAGTAAACCCTCCCCTGGCCAAAAATCATGCAGTTTTTCACCATGCTGAGCACTTTTTAAGTGATCTTCGCCATTTTTGGACCAAAATTGTCTAAAGTGAACCCCCCCAGAATTTTTCAAAAAGTGAACCCCCTTGGCAAATCCTGGCTACGGGTCTGAACTGGCTATGCAGAAGTATATTCAACTATTGTATATGTATGTTTGTCAGTTCCTTAACAGTCAGATTGCACTGGTTTTCATATATATATTACATGGCAATGTCAAGCAATGAATGAGATTCATTATATAAATATTCCATTTCGGTACTTATTGTCAGAATATCACGATAGATTGGTGCTGTAATTACAGGTAAATCCGACGCAAATCTGCGGGTGACGTTATAATGTTGCATTGTGGGCAAAGTTTCTTGGCACCTAATGTACGTAACCAGCATTCTTCACAATGAACGTGCCAGCATTGGATTGAAGTTAGGGGATTAGTATACTGCTCCTAAAAAACAGAAAAAATTTGGTCGATAAAAATTTGGTTGATACTGATTTATATTTCAAATAAACCTATTAAACTTGATGCTGCGCAATCTTTTAGCCAAAGGGAAGTCAACTTGTGTATTTTCAAATATCTATGCAGACTTACCATACATATCAAACACTTGTTCCTTGGGGGTGAGTTAGGGGCTCGTTTGCCAGGGGACAGTTTGGACTTTGGAGAGCTGTCATTCTTATTCTCTGGACTACCCTCATTGCTGTTACTCAAACCATTCACTAAAATGTAATAAATATTAAAAATAAATATAACTAATACTAGTTATACTAGTTTTCTATCTAAAATTTTAAATTTTGATTATAAAATGTTTGGTTTATTTATCAATAGCAACTCTTTGTCGGATCCACAGTCTATTATATCCCTCTCACAAGCTTTAGATAAAGAGAGACTCTGATAAATCAGAATGGAGCTGAGTGAGTTATAAACAGGTTCCCACTATGAAAAAATACTGTGGATTTTAAGGCCCTCGTGAACCCTGTTCAAGTCCATGAGTGGGTTGAATTGCTACTCACCCATTGAGGACTCCCATTTACTATTCTCTGCCATAGATGTCGTTGGTGACATTTGGTCCCCTGTGGCTTTAAGAACTGCTCCACGAAGAGCTTGACGTGCTTTCTCCTCACTCGGTTCATCCTCTATTGTTGGTATGATGTTTACCTCACTATATTGGGGTTTACCATACAGGTCATTGTCATCGTCATCAACGTTTAACACACCACTATCTTCTTCTTTTGATGAGCTTGCATAACCTATAAGAACCATAAATTAAGATGAATACAACTGACACACTTTATAAATGTGAACCCTTTTCTTAGTCTCAATTTTGTTATCTCCCATTGGCTCAAATATTAAGAAACCTTGAAATGTGAACACTTGTTAATCCGAACAATTTTGGAGAGTCCCAGTGTTGTTTGGAATAGACTTGTTTTACTTTATACAGTTGTGAACATATGTTGAGGAATCTTCTTACCAAGTAAGCCTCCAGGCACCATAGAGGTGGCTCTGACCCTAGTCTGGCCTGCCCAGGTATACTCCTCATACTGCTCATCGTCACCCTCAACATCTACTGGCCCAGCAATGTCACATCCTCCACGCTAGAACCACAGAGAAAATATCTTGTAATTGCAGAGTACATACATACAGGGTCACCAACTCAGGCCAGTAGTCAGGTGAGTTTCTTTCAAAGTCATGCAACTTTTTTCTATTTTGAGCACTTTTCATGTGATTTTATGTCAAAATTGTTAGATTTGAACCGCCTTTGTAAAGCTGGCTACGGGTCTAATCTCATCCACACTCTAATCTTGGTTCATCCATTATCATGGGGGTACTACAGAATATTCATAATAATATTACACATGGTTGCTCTATAACCTCTGACTAACTGACTGAAATTCTAAGACCTTAGGAGGAATGAGAGACCATGTCTTAGCAAACAAATTATGTCTTTTCATAAATTGTACTATAGATGTGAAAACATGGTTTGACCAAGGCAAAAAATCTCTAGTTCAAGTCAATAGAACTAAACTGAAATGGCTATGAACATGTACATATGTAGATTATATACTTTATGAAGGTGGTCAGATTTCTTTCTCACATTTGTCATTTTAAAAACTTGTCAGTTCATGATAAATGCCAGGTCAATTGTCTGGCAAAAAGGCTATGGGAGTGAAGTGTTAGAAGTTCAATTCCATTCTTCCAAGGTCTTTAGTGACCACATAAAACTTTGGGAATAATATGGATGAAGTCCATTGCATTGAATACACAAGTACTGCGTTGAATACATAGAGTTTATGAGCCGTAGAGTCCCATACAACACACTATAGTTCACTTCCTAGCTCCTCACAACAACCTGATTAAATCGCAATTACATTAAAATTCGTCCTGTATGGCGTTAAGAATGGGAATTAATTCTGGTAGTTCAGAGTTGAACAAGTTCATTACAAGTCAGTGGTGTGGCTAATTTTTGAGTTGTGTGATTGTGTGAAAGTATTGGCCTGTAAAAGAGCACAAAGGCCAGTGGTCAAGTCACATAGGGCACAGCTGGGGGAGGCAGATTAAGTAGAGAGGGTGGGGCACTCGACCCTTGCTCATGTAACAAATATCTCATCCTTATTATAGAGTCACTTGATTCATGTCATGACAAGGAAAAACTTGTTCGATGGAAATTGCTAGTTTTGTATTCAGAAGTGGATTTTAGATTGCGGCAAGGAGGTTGACTCATTATTCCTGGGATCCGAGATGAAGTGATAAAGACGTGTTTATGTCCCCATCAACAATATCGCAACATAACATGGTAACTCAATAAAATAAAACATCAATTCAATTACATGCCATATCTCGCATTACAAATATTAATATTTTGCCCTGACTCCAAGACGATAAAACGGTAATTAAGTGTATCATGCACCACTCGGCCTTATAATAAACAATTACTATCAGCTTTTCATTTGTATTTTCACTCTCTAATGGCCCTTTGTTAATTTAATTTGCTTAAGATCACAACAGTTGAGATTATAAATATGAGATGAGACTTTTATGAGGCAAGCTGCATTTTGCTATAACTAATCAATACGGCGTGTTAGGACAATTACAACTTTTTTATCATTAAACTCCAATAATTATTCGAGCTGATAGTTTAACTCATGGAATTAATTCATTACTTGAGATTAAGATACTCGAAGCATATGTGTAATTACATCCCATAATAACATCTGATATAAAAAAATATCTTAAAAAACAGTTTGTCTCAAATATTTCAAAATAAAAAAATGCAAATTAAAATACAGTGAGCTAAATGCCAAATGAACCTCATTACGTAGAACACCTCACAAGTGGAACATTTTTAAGAGGTACCAAATCTGTTCCACTTAGACAGGTTTACTGTACAGAAATTTTAATATTTTCAAAATAAAATTCTTAGTAGGGCTATCTCTAAGTAAATACAAAGGAATTGTTCTTACTCGTTTTAAACAATGTTCAACGTGTGAATTTAGCTCTTCTGGTGATCCCACCATTTTCTCGTCACATACTGGACAGGCACTTTCCTCTTGTTTGCGACGCTTTATACGATTTTTGGCTGCAAACAAATTAAATTGTCATTAAACCCTTAATTTGGTGATTGTGGTAGGGTTCTACAGACAAAATACTTGAGGATGTTTGCTATGGAAAAACTAATTTCCCTTTTCTTATTCCTTTTTATTACAGTTCAACAAAAACATGTTTTACTGAAATTATTTGATTTGTACCTTATTAATTAGGTAAGTATTTAAATGGCACCTACCATTCAACCGCGACTGCCTGTTAAGTTTAACACGGAGGTATGACTCAAAACGAGACTGAGCAACTGCCTCGAGACTTGGGGTACCTCTACGCCCAGAAGATGGAGTTAGTGGTACATTCTACAAATATATGACAATAGACACATTAAAGCTACTGAAAGATTGATAAGCGCAGGATAGCTAAATCAGTAGAAAATATTTAAATATTCGCTACTACATATAACAATCCTTGAATTTATATTTATCAATTTTTAGAATTATAATTTTGGTGTAAACTTTTGCCAGAAAAAGATTGATCAACTAGTATTAAAAATGATGTTTTGTGATGCACTAAATACTTCAACTTTTGATCCACAATTAGAACACAGTATACATGACAGCATATATTTTAATAAAATATTTTAAATGGTTCTTTTTGATGAGTTTCAGATCATAACTGAAATAAGCCGATAAACGGCATTGACAAAGAAGTTGATACAATACCAGATGAAAGTGTAAGTGATAAAAGAATCGATGAAGCGTGCCGATCTACATGAGACAACATAACACATAGACTGCAAGGCTATGTAGTGAGATGTTCTTTAAATTAAATTAATACAAATAGACATTCCACATGACAGATACTGTCAGTTCCTTATTTAAAACCATCCATTTGAAAATTAATTAGTCTGCTAATGTAACAGTTCATTGCTGCCGGATTGACAGTATGTATTGTCACATGTGTGTTCTGTAGATGCACACAGAGCTGCAAACTTCCAACGAACATCTGACAACCCTCCGACAAATAAAAATGCTAATGAAACAATCAAGGCTCGCTGCTTTGTAATAGTGATATCTTCATTTAGAATTTTTAACACCATTTATTTTTTATTTAGGCTTTGAAATTATTCATATTTGAAATGTCAATGATATGGTTTTTGGAGTGGTGATAGACAACTTAGGATAAAATGGCCTTCTAAATGTAGAGTATTAAACTCATGTAAACATTCCTATCTCTATATATGATGGAGACGTCAATGGTTCCCAAGTCAACCGATTTAAATATATGCTTAATTTTAATTAACTTGTCAAAAAATAAGTCAAGACTCTTGCCGAATTCTAAAAAGAGATTTCCAATTTCCATCAAATTAATAACTTTTTCACATCAAAATAATCATATTCAGAATTTATTTTATTGTGAATTTTATAATAAATATTTTCAAACATTTATAACCAATGTCAGGTTTGTAAATATTGCTGTGGATATAATAATTTCAAAGCAATATTGTAAACAGGCAATTTTTGCCCCTGAATTTTTCTGATTTTTAGTACATGTACATACTTTTTAATTTGTGATTATTTTGAAGAAGTGCATATGAGAGAAAATGTAAAAACATGAAAAGTAAATGCTGAACAAACACTATAAAATGTTTTACAGTATTCACTTTTTATGAAGTTTTGTTAGAAAATTAATATAAAATTGTGCGAGATTATTTGTCAGAAGTCAATAGAAACATCACGCTTCACTAGTTATGTACTAAAATAGATATATTGAATATACCGTAATAAATATCATATTTAACTTAGTTCTTCCTTCATCAGTATTCTATAGGATAAACACAGCAATGAATTTCCTAGAATATTTAACTTATTGGCCATAAACAATCAATAGATGCACATTTAAACTCTCTTTCTCCAGTGTATAGGTTCCACATGAATAACCACATAGTCAAACTTTATGAACATATTAACATTAATTTCTATTTTAGAGCCTGCAAATGTCACATTGATAAAGTTTGAATGATGAATATTTTTAATTCTGCTTTACAAGCATTTACACCTTATTCAAGAAGCAAATGACTGTGTTATGTTAGGAAGGTAAAGTATATATAGGGGGGGGGGGGCACAGTCTAGAGGCAAGACTAGTAAATTGTTTACCTTTCTTCCCAGGGGAGTTGATTCTCTGGAGGCCCCCTTTCTACTGAAAAAAAGAAAATATAAATATGAACAACATAAATATTTAATCAAAAGACAAAATACAATAAAAACAATGTTTCATCAGAATCAAGAAGGATTTACAATTCACCGAAGCACTTGATAAACTTGGATGCTGCCATTGTTATGAAATTAGGAATGTGTTATTAATTACAATATAAAAGGCTAATCTTTTACTAATTCCAAGTTGAAATCGATAAATAACTAAACTTAAGATGCATAGTGCATATTGTTATGGGCAGTGTGGCAGTCGACACTGATACGAGAGCCTATTGAAACTTAAGCCTGTAATTTCCTGACTCTGATAAGAATTGTCGGGAGAAAGGGAACTACTTGATGTTTTGATTTGATACTAAACAATAATCAGTTAATGCTATTAAGCGCTAGTAAAGAATGCTAGCAATTATTAAGTAATTTCCACAGTTGTCTTCGTGTCAAACAAGCAATCTAGAGAATGTTATGATTAAGAAGATGGCAATAAAAGATCAATTGTTCTCATTGTTGACTCCAGGTACTAATCTGACTAATCCACAGAGCCAACAAAGCATTCTGCTGGTTGCTACAATACTAACTAAAAGTGTTATTTCACTGCAGAATTTCTTTAATTTAACTCTGAATTCAACCAATTGTGTACATTAAGAAATGTGAAGTGCATGCTACTTAACAGTTTTATTTCACTGCTTTTAATTCACAAACACCAAGTATTATTTGCATTTTAATTAAATTTACACTAGCCATAGGATCAACTCGTCAAAATGAACAATTCATATCAAACAACGTGATCAAACTGACTCAAACAAATTTCAAATATTTTAAAACCTAGTCATTGCTGTAAACTAAGCCCCATCTGTATACGCCTGAAGTTGTCTAGATCAACTTTCATTGCTTATTTGATTACTAAGTTGAGGAACCTTTAGTTTGTTTAGATTGACATCTAATATGTTACATGGTGTTCTTTAAGTCCTCCGGTGATTACTTGTCAAGTTTCCCACCCTCCACCAAACTGATGTCAGAAAAAGTGACTAATTAGCACATATCGTATGATACAAAAAATGAATAAAAAATTGCTTAACTTTTTTTCCCCAGAGCTATCTTTCAGGAATGCTTCTTTAAACCAAGACAGCCTACTAAATATGGTTGTTTTGAAGAATCCTCAAATATTATCTTAAATTTGTTGACGTTGCAATTATTCATGTCTCAATCTTTGATGAAATAAAACCACAGAAATAATCCCCAATCTGACCTATGGATTCTGTGGCTTAGAAATTAGCGATAAGCATAAAGTCCGGCACTTCTCAATTTCACATAAGGATTTTGAAGATCTAGATTCAGATGATATTACTTGATTACCTAGCTGTTGAGATCACATTGAATTTATCTTAATTCACAGACTTAGGATGATATGTTGTAATACATAGAAGATGATAGACTTTACAGGGAAAGTAAAAAGCGAAAAGTTTTTTTGAAGTATAAAAAAGTTAATGGATGAGTAAGGTGGAGGTAGGATTGCAGGTCTAACGAGAACCTACTCCTAAGACCACCTGATAGAGATGTGTAATCTTAGTGCCAACAATAACAAGATTAGTGGAACTTTTTACACAAGTAACTCTTGGTTAAAGTCGACAGTTAACGCCAGTTGGCTTAATCCCGACTCCCTAATTACACATTTAGTCTTAGCCGAAGCCTAATTGGACAGTTGTAATGCTCGGGACAGGATTTATATCCCCACTGGGGCACTTCTAGCCAATCTCCCACTCTAAGAGGCAATCTCCCACAATTACCTATTAACACAGGCTAGATTTGTGGCCGACCAATTAAAACGTCTCGTAAAATATGACAAATCCATAAGGTCTGTGGCCACTTTGGAACTACTTTACATATTGTGTTTTAAGTTTATCTAAATTAAGGAATGAGGTAATAGCATGGGACCATGGGGGAAAAATGGTATGTTTTCAAATCTGCTGATCTACGTGACCACTCCCACAGTGTTCGGTTGCTCAACGTATTGCCTAATGAGGTCACAGGTTTAACAGTTGTTACTGGTTTTTTATGCCACGCTCAATGCTATCAAGTTTGTCAAGACTATCGGCACATTACGGCATTCAGATAAACAGAGTGGATTCATTTCCGTGTAGGAAACTTTATCATCACACCACAAATCTGACACTGCTATCTTCAACATTAAAGGCTTGTGATATCTCCAGCATCTATTTCTGCGCTACATTGCAATAAATTAAAACTCTTGCAATTACATGATAGCTAATCATATTAAAGATGTTAGTTGGTAATTTGCCGATTGTTTTCCACAGCCAGTTACATTACCATTAAAGTCTTAATTGATATTTATTGGGAGACAGGGATACAGCAATTGGTTGTAAACACAAGAGATTAGTCGAGGGGCAGTTTGTCAACTGCAATGGGTACTCCAATGACACTTTGCACTTCTACATTCTCTTGAAATGCTCTAAAAGAAATTACTTCAGTAACATTCTTCTTAATTAGAAGTTAAGTAGATACCTCTCACAGTCACAACTGGCAGTCGAAGCTCAGAAAGCTTCTTGGAACTTGTTCTGAATCCCGATAGTTAATCCCTTTCAAATGGAATATATCAAGGGTAGAAGTGAGAATGGAAAGTGGATTACTTAAAATGGGGAGCAGAAATTAATTTATAGGCAAACAAGCCTGAAGAAATCAGGACTTACGACACTCTTGAATCAAGTGCAGATTAGAACGTGCCTCCTTTATTACTCCTTAATTAAAGTCAGCACTATTACAAATTGCTATTCAAAACAACTGTTCTTATATAAATTGGGCACAAATGGAAATATAACGTTATTTCAAACCTGTATTCAAACTACATTGAGAAATAGTTGATTGGATGTCTAGGACCAAGAAAATCATTTATAGCATTGTTTTGAAATTCAATTTTAAAAGAAACAAATCTCTGATCTCTGATCTGAGAAAATATATAACACAATACCCTTTATGTTCAATCGACTTCACATCTTAAAAGAGAGCTTCATCTGTAGTTTATAACTAGTCTGTGTGCGCAGGGTAACAACATAATACATCTGTAATAAAATTCTGTAAATCTGTTTAGTTTTTTACTCTATTTAGTACAATTAGTAGAGTTACATAATTACCTATTGGAGCGTTCTAGACGTTCAATCTCCAGGGCATAGTGGGACTGTATTTCTCCAACACGCAGCGACAATCCACACGCGGGACAGACAGTTGCTCCATCTATGAACACACCAGACTTTTTTCGCTCTGAAAATATAATCAGGGAATTGGATTACCTTGATTGGGTGAGCAGGAAAAAATCATTAAATACTTTGAACTAGTTTCACAGGTGTCGGGTGTTTTAAATAGGCAAACAATTGAACCAAATTACTGAATATTTAAACAAATAATCTTGGTGTGTTATTGTTTTATTGGTTGATACAGTTTTATGTCCATGACAACTTCATCTTTCAAATACAAGAGTTCAAATAATTTGATCTTCCTTCAACATCCTGATATAACTATTTTGTATTTGTCTTGAATAGGTTGTATTTACATAAATTGCACCACAAAAATAATGTAACTAATAAACAACGGAAAAATCTGACTTTGTTGATCGTGTAATTGCTCGCATTTTAAGAATATGAATACGTTTCTGATATCTAACCAACAAATTATATCATTCTTAGAAAGGCATGCCTCAATTAACGGCAATAGATTACCAAGCTTATTAACAAAAGGCAAAAATAATCACAGGTTCGATGTGATAAATGAAGTTCTTGGCATTTCGACACCATTACTAAATGATTCTGTTACCATTATGATCCGTCAAGAAAACTTAGCTTCACTCTTTCTGATGAAAAACTCATTAGCACATATTGAAAAGCTTCGATCTGCAAGTTCTTTAATTTGATAATTATGATAAAGGTCATATATCATGTTCAGCTGTCGGCAAAGATACATTTCAGATACATAATAATCATTCTAAATCCTCATCCTGCCAGTTGATTTAATTTTTCGTGAATTCGTGTTTGAATACCTCGTTCTTAAAATATTTCTTATCAAGGTGACATTGCTTCTTCTATTGTGTCATATGCATTTTGTAATCTCAATAATATTAAAACTCGGAAATAGAAAAAAATAATGACAAACCGATGAGTTGAAGTATTTCATGTCACCATACGAAGAATTTCAATCTCAATTTTTCAAGCAAATCATTTCTTCATAGTTTACATAGAAATGGACTGCCACGATTATGACTGTAAAATGGATACAAATTCCCGGCAATTAATCTTGAACTACCTGAATGGTAACATTGCTATTGTTTTTAGATACACATACAAACCCGGCTCAATTTTTTACCATCATTTCGGAATTTAATGATCATTATGCTGCAGTGCAAACAGTACCGGTTTTTACTAAGTCATTATCCTGTTATACAAGACTCAATCGTCAGGGTCTAAATCACTCGTCACTTTCAAGAAATGTCACATGAAATATTGTGCTGGCGGTAAATCATCATGATTCCATATGATGTTATCTGGATGAGAGACAATTAATGGTAGAAAAACAACATAAAGTGAGTATTTCCTTTAGACTCGTTCCTAATTTCCTGTAGGATAAAACGTCTACCTGAACAGTTTCTGGGGAAGATTCTACAGATAAAGTACCTTATTTTTTATGATGCTATATTTATTATTTTAAGTGGTTATCGTTCATTTTTACATTATCTGCTTCATTACTTTTCTCATAGAATTATTTCAAATCATTTTTTTGATGGTCTTCGATTGCTTAATCTTGAACCACAAAATACAAAAAATCAGATTAATGGAAATGGTATAAATAAGACTATACAAAACAAGAGAGGATATAAGTTTTATGAATGTACAATTATTTAACATTCAGTTTCGTTCTGGTGCTGAAAGGAATTCAAATCCTCATTTTGGTTCTTATAAATAATAAGGTTATCAATCAAAATAGTTGATTCTCCAATTTCTGACACAATGATGAGCACAAGCAATAGAAGGCAGTTTAAATTCATGGCAGGTAATGATTGCCTCACATTACCACAAACATAAAGAATATCAGTTTTACATCATTTTACATTACAAATAACAATACAGGTCTAAACCACCAGATATGAATCTTAATTTTGATACCATTTACAGCAATAATAGTCATGGGAATATTTTTTATTGGTACCATAATTGATTTTGAAATTGAAATAAGACATGATATTGATCAATGAATTTAAAGCGATAGCAAAGGAGAACAAAAAATTAGAAGCAATCTTTTAAAAAACATGATAATGCATTCTTTAGGAACCCTTAAATATTTGAAAACATTTGATTCAATTTGGAATTGAAGACATTAGGTGCAGAAATATCAAAATTGAAAAAAGGATGGTCCATTTTTAAGAATTATTGCTAAGTATAAAAATCAAAGCATTTCCATGATAAAAACTATATTATTTGTTGCTATATCTTAAATTCATTGAAACACCAAATTACAACTTTCATATCACTTTTGTATTAGAAAATGTATTTATTGGAATTTTGAAATATTATCATTATTAAAAAGTTGCTTGTTGGTGATCTCATTTGTTGAAGTAATGTTGTGCTCAACTGGTTGGCATCTAATTAAAGCAAAGAACAAATGTATTCAGTGAGTTGATGGCTTCAGCCCAGTGATGCATGCATATATGGATATAATGTGGTTATAGTTTGGACATTTGTCATTTTCCATCTCAATTTGTCAAGTATGAATCTACGTTAATGGCTTATTAAAAGATAATACCAAACTATGATCCATGTATTTTCGCTAGCTATTCAAAGCTGTAGTTAACGGTTTTGATATCAAAATGAATTAAATAGTTGATCAACATTAAAACGGAAATAATTCTATAAAGTGTCAGACATAAAAAGTGAAATACAAAACATAAATTCAATTAACATTTTATAGCAATATTTCAATGATCTGTTAGAAATAAAGACGATTTGACAACTTTGTCAAGTATCTTTAAAACGGTGAATGATGATTTTTGAATGAGTTAAAAAAAGTATTTTTCTAATTTTGTCATAAAATGTTAAATGCATTCTCAACACAAAACAAAGTCAACTGTGTTCTAGTATAAGACAAGGTGTATATAAAATGTCCCGAAAGTGACTAATAGACCTCTGACGATCCTAAAAAGCGTAAAACAATCTGGAATTCACACCTTAAATACAAAAAGAGCAGTTTATTTTCTAATTTGTCATGCTAGAAGTAGCAATGTTAAAAGCCCAGGTGTATCATATTAGGCCATTACATATCTTATAAACAACATAAAATGGAATTCAAAATTTTAAGCTTGGTGATTTCAGTTAATTTTCACACCGCATCTGACAAACGAATTTCTGTTACTTCTTAGTTGTGATGACTGATATAAATATGATTTATTTTTTCAACCATTTAGTACAAAGACAAGTCTGTAAATTTATTTCAATTTGATGAGCACTGTAGCATATATTGAAAACTCTAAAAAGAAACTTGGAAACTGTCTGAAACAAAAATGTGAAGACGTTATCTCGCTAGTAGTTTTTACAGCTTAATTATATGTTCTTTTATGAGATAATTAAGGGGTAAATTAAATCTATAATTATAGTGTATGGAAGATCAAACTCCATAAGAAAGATTTTATTTATTGAGATGTCAACAGAAACATATTGTACATTGACAAGTGAAAAACTAAAAGAATCCTTTCCGCGTGGAGTGTGAGCCTTATATGGGAGGATAAACTAGGAGCCAACTTCTACATTAACAGTTTGTGATAGACTCAATAGAAAAGTCCAATTCACTTTCAATGGCCTTCCTAAACACCTAATAAATTAGCAAAGAAAATTTTATGTCTTAAGGTGTCAAACAATTTTCAATTTAGCGAGTGAAGAAACAGACAGAAATCAAACTAGCGATGAAAATAAGGGACGTTGTCCTATTTTATTTTGTTATGAAGAAGCTGTTTAGTGATGATTTTGGCCAAGAAAAGCATAAAATAGAAGTTGGAGGTCATTTAGAAACCAAATGTGGAATAATAAAAGTATGAAATAAAATATGGAAAATAAAATAATATCAATATGAAAAATTAAATGTTAGCAACAGCAAATCAACATTTTTAAAATTTCATCATACTGAGGAGACATTTGGGTGTTAAACGATAACAAAAGTAACTTCATTTTCCCCAACTGCCTCAATATTTAGATACCATCCCTAAGACATGTAATGTTCAAATTAAAACTGCTACTTAGTTGATCCTTGGAAGAATGAGGTTGAAAGTGCAGAATTCTGTTTGCTCAAAAAACAAAATTAGTGCTTTAATCAAGAGCTGTTTGGAACAAGAACAACACAATCAACTCTAGTTGCCACCCTAAACAACCAGTACAAAGGAGTAATTTTCTAATCTGGACGCTAAAGATCCTTCTTAGAGAGTTTCCTAGAGTCTCTTTATAACATTACAAACACACTTTGGCATGGTAAATAGACAAATCACACCAAAGTTCAAGACTTAAATGTCTTTTTATTTTGTCTTAAAATTTTTCTCATGATTTCCGAATTGGTTTGAATTCTTGGTGAAGGGTCTGAGAAAAACTTCACTAGTCCATGGATAAACTCATTAGTAAGGGACATTTTAACAAATTATAATGTTCTCTTTTTATTTCTGACCTCTCCAAAATGTCAATTCGCTAAAACACATTTAGACATTAAAAATACCATAATTCACTGGTTGTTCAAATTATAATTGCTTTTTATGTTTCTTTGTCACCAGCTTAAGTAAATATAACTTGTATTGATTTGTCTAAAGCAAAACTGTGAAAGATGTTTTCTCAAAAATTAATGAAATAAAAGTTTTGTTAACAAAATTAATTCAAGTGTTATTGGCCATCATTTTCAATTGATAATGCATGAAAAAGGCATTGTAGATATAGTGTGACGGAGTGATTTTCATTTAGAATGCGGGACGCATTCTTTGGAGGAGAAGCAAATGTGACGGAGTGATTTTCATGTTGTATTTTATAATTAATATCTTATACTTTTACTTTGTTTTTACTTTGTAAATTAATTAATGGAAACATGATACAAAAAGCATTTAGATAAACAACAGGTCATGTAGTACACCTGGGATATCTCTGGTCAGTTTCTCACATTAAATATGCAATCATTACAATTGTTCAGAGCATCTTCAGACTTACAAATGTTTCTTTAATTTACATTTAATTTACATTTCTATATCT